GTCATTGTGCTATATACAGTGTTCCTTGTATCTTTGTCGATAAATGTCTCTATTTTCCATAGTATATGCCTGGGTACTGCCTTGACAGACCTCGTATTTTTTCCATGCAAAACAAATACAATTTAATGATCTTAAGTGCAAAAGTAGAATTAAAAACACAAAAAAAAGCAAAAGAAAATGAACAGAGCTCAAAATGTCAAGGCAGTTATGAAAACTTTGAAGGTGAATCTTTGAAACTAAAGGTCAAAAGTTTTTGCTAATCTTGTTAACTGGCAAGAAACAAGTATTTTTCTGCTGAGTGTGCACATGAACACGAAGTTTCAAAACAAAATCCAAAATAGAATAAACATCTGGTACTTACAATAAGGGGTATGAGATCATAACACAATGCTCGAATGTTTGTTATTAAAAAAATAGTGCGATTGTATTCATTTGAACTACGTTGGATGCCCTTGGAACTGGAGAAACAACTGTGAACAACGGTACCCAATGTGGGGGCCGCCACGCAGGCCGTCATGGCCAGGAATTGGGGGTGTCAGAGCAGCAACGCGCTCAGGCCGGACTGGCGCTCAGATCTGACCGGGAAATGCCCGGGGTTTCCCTGAAGCCCGGGGGGTCCGTTGCCAGCGGCGCCTGGGCTTGGGGTGCACATTCACGTCCCCACTGGAGCGCTGGGCCTGCCTCGGGAAGGCTGCACCCAGCATGAGCCCCCTTCCCTGGGGCCGGACCCCATCAGACGGGCCTCTGGGCACCTCCAGGACCCCAGGGCTGTTGGACGAGGAGGTGGCAGCGAGGCCTGCTTTGGGAAGCAACTTCATGTCAGCCGAAGCGGAAGTCACTCAGTGTTGAAGTGATTGGGAAAATGTGCGCCCGGCATCTAAGAACTGACAACTTGGTGATATTGAGTCTCCCTGCCCATGAACATGGAACCTCTCTCCATTTATGTAGTTCTTTGATTTCTTTCAGCAGCTGTGTTTTTTTCCTCATATACAGCTGACGTATTTTTTTTGTTGTTATTAAATGTATACTCAAGTTTTTCATTTTGGGGGTGCTAATGTAAAAATGGTGGTGTTTTTCATTTCAAATTCCACTTGTCCATTGGCAGTATATGGGAAAGGGGCTGATTTTTGCATATTAACCTTGAATCCTACAAACTTGCTATAATCACTTATTGGTTCTAGTATTTTTTTTGTCATTTCTTTTGGATTTTCTACATAGACAATCACGTCATGGGCAAGCAGAGAGTCCTTTTCTTGTCTTATTGCATTAGCTAGACTAATGTTAATGGTGGTGTTTTTTATTTCAAATTTCAGTTGTTCTTTTTGATATACAGAAAACCAGCTCTGTTTTCTTGCTCACCTGACTGGGGTTCCATCAATTTTATCTTTTCAAACAACTGGCTTTTGGTTTTGTTGATTTTTACTCTTTTCTTGTTTTCAATTTCAGTGATTTCTGCTCTAGTTTTTATTACAATTCCTTATTTTAGTAACAAACACAGGATAAAGTAATATAAAATCTAAAGTACATCTTAAAACATTTATTTTTATAATATCTGTTAATAAATTTGTAAGGAACAAAGAATGCTTTAGTCTACTTAATGGAGTTTGATCTTAAAGATGGTAAGATGCAAAACACATAATGAGAAAAATTATTAGTAATTTGTAGAAATGTACTTTATTTCATGCAAAGCTACATAATTTTCTATATTTTAACAGCAAATCAAACATTTCAAAAATGTATTACATCACAATAAGTTAAAATACTACAGAGCAAGTGCAAGTCCATGAGTTTGTCAAAACCAAACTGAGAGACCATTATGCACAGATAAGGCCAAAGATGCTAGTTTACCTATAGATAGCACTTTGCAGCATTTTTCCAAATACATATTTGAAAATGTAGTGAAAATATGCAGAGAAAAATAGTTAAATCCACAACCCACTGATCAGATATACATATCAGATAGCAATGGCTGATTAAAGATAAATTTGGCATCATGCACCACAAAAAACATAATGAACATTTTGAAAAATTATGATCAGATACACATTTGAAAAAGACTTATCTTTTATTTCAACTAATCCACTGAATTAGATAATTTGCACATACTTTATTAATGCAACACAGAAATTAGGCGTTTGTTATACTTTGCTTGGGTACTGATATATATAAAAAGATACTGAACAGATATAGGAATATTTCCAATTCACACTGGACTAATGAACTTTCTGAATATTGCCCTAAGGAAATAGGTTCTGGGCAGAATTTATTTGAGAAAGGTTTTTTTTTTTTAACTACTTAAAAGCAATACTACAATTAGTTACTTACAAAACATTTTATAAAAATTAAATACTAGGAATTAACAACATCAATATCAGAACTCTTTTTCAGTGCTGTAATTTATAAATATATATTAGATTACAGTAATTTAAAAGACAGGTCCACATGTTCTCTACCTTCTAAAATGAGAAAAATTCTTCAAGCCTGTTTTCAAAATATGGACAAAAACAAATCCATTGGATTACTTTAAAAAAAATAAATACACAGTCTCTCCCCCACAACTCTGCACGCTCAGTAGGGAAGATGCTAGCCAGCTCTCCTTTGAGAAACACAGCGCTAAGCGACTAGGTTGACAAGATTGACATGAACAGTATCAACTCGAAATGGTGTTGTATAGTCAGATCAATACATTTCGACTTTACCCTATATGTCTGCCACAATGAGCCACTCTATTTTTTTCTCGAACTAAGTACAGCAAAATTTCTTTTTGCAAAAATAATCTCAGGTCAAAATAATCACATAAGAAGAGATTTTCAGAGGGAAAAAGCTAATTTCCCCCAGGGAGTATATTAAAAACAAATGTCTTTTAGGGTAGCAATGAGGAGAGGAGTGTGTCATTATTCTTGCGTTATTAACAAGCTTAAAATTACAATAAGGCTTCCATCAACCTCAAAGGGCAGATCTTTGGAAAGTGAGAATAAAATTTTAGGAAAATCAGGCTGAGCGTGAAAGACATTAGCGGTGAGGGTGCGTTCCCACGGCAGTGGGTGGGGCCAGGGCAGAGCAGGGACAGGCCGGCTCTGATGGGGGAAGGGGCACACAGGGCCGGTCCCCCTGGGAACGGGGCAGGCAGTACCACCGCCCAGTCTTCCCGGTCTCTGAGCAGGAAAAAGTCAGACTTGGATGAAGGACCCTCTATAGAGGGAACTCCTATTTTAGAAGGCCTCCAACCCCCTCACACTGTTTCAACCTCTCCTAATAAAAATCTTAACAATGATGTTATAGTTATGAATTCCTCCCTTAAAAAAAACCTCAAGGGCTTTTTTTTTTTTAAATCCTCACCTGAGGATATTTTTTTCATTCCTTTTAGAGAGGAAGGGAGAGAAGGAAAGGTCGACAGGAGATAGAAAGATCAATTTGTTGCCTCCCGTAAGCGCCTGGACCAGGGATTGAACCTGCAACCCAAGTATGTACCCTGACCAGGAAGCGAACCTGCAACCTTTTGGTTACAGGACAACACTCCAACCAACTGAGCCACTCAAGCCAGGGCAGTCTCAAGATTTTTAACATTTTTTGCTTTGTTTTTTAACAATCACTGCTTTTGGAAATCCATTTTTATGCTAGAACGTTACACTGAGACTGATTCGTTTCGCTGAAGTGCCCTCCTTAGCAATCGAAGAGACAACACACCAGCGCGCACAGGCCACTAACATTTGACTGACTAACAAAACCTGTTCCACTACTTCAGGTGCACACCTGCCATTTCAGCAGTGGGATCTGCGTGGTTGAAACCATTTCCTCTGAGTATGCTGAGGATCATCAAACACAACTGTGCACACAAAACAACAGAATGATGGGGAAAAATACAATAAGGATTCAATAAAAAAAAATGAACAACAGAAGAAAAATCTGCCAAGACTTGAAAAGTCATCCTCTAAAGAGAGGCTTCGTAAAGGGAGGTGTAAGCAGAATGAGAAAGGAAGAAAGAAAGATATACCTCTAAGCCTATTTTCTTCTTACATTTAGAATTTAACCCAATACAATACAATACACTTCGGAGACTCAAGCATGTTAAGATTTTTCAAGAACAAGGTTTGTGGCCCTGGCTGGCGTAGCTCAGTGGATTGAGCGCGGGCTGCGAACCAAAGTGTCACAGGTTCAATTCCCAGTCAGGGCACATGCCTGGGTTGCAGGCCATGAACCCCAGCAACCGCACATTGATGTTTCTCTCCCTCTCTCTCTCTCCCTCCCTTCCCTCTCTAAAAATAAATAAATAAAATCTTTAAAAATATATAAAAAACTTATTAAAAAAAGAACAAGGTTTGCTTCTTAGTGTCAATATATTTATCCTTGTGATTTTCAGGCATGGTCCATTCAAATCACAAATACAAAACACAACTGAACAGTGTGTATTATAATCACAGAGAGGATATTTTTTCCTTTAAAATGGTAACCAACATACCATCAAGAACATTCCCTAAACCTATTAAAATTATAAAAAAAGTGAGGTTTTCTATTGTACATAAATGAATTCCTCCATTCATATGCTAAAATATACTTAAGAAAACACACATTGCCTTTCCCATCCACATTTAATTTTATTTGGGTACATAAACGGCATAAATTTAAGAACTGATCATCTAATCAAATGGTAGAGCCCAGAAACAAACCAACTGGCAGCATTTGTTCTTGAAGGTTTGGATTGTCAAGTTCTCTGATCTGTTTTTTATAAATAAAGAGCCATTGGATGTTTCGATTTAGCTCTTGTGAAACGAGGGCCTCCTGTGTGATGACATTATTCCAAAGCCCTTGTATTTATTTGGTAAGAGACTCAATTCTAATAATTCGGCTTATACCTTATTTCTTATTTTAATAATGATTTTTACAAAACTGCTCTATTGATAATAATACATTTTTTAAAAGATTTTATTTATTTAGTTTTAGAGAAGGGAAGGGAAGGAGAGAGGGAAAGAAGCATCAATGTTCGGTTGCCTCTCATGTGCCCCCTACTGGGGACCTGGTCCACAACCTAGGCGTGTGCCCTGACTAGGAATCGAACAAGCAACCCTTTGGTTTGCAGGCTGTCACTCAATCCACTGAGCTACACCAGCCAGGGCTATAAAGGATTATTGATGGAGTAACAAAAACAATTTGCAACTTACAGGTGATTCATGAAATTAGATTATGAATTATTACTTTCAGCAATGACTATTTTGAATTATTGGCTCACTGAATATCCTTACCTAACAATTATAGAAAAATAATATACAAAATTTAATCAGATAACTATTATTATATAAGAAAGACATCAAAAGGTAATTGCCAAAAGTAACACTTCAAGGAATGTACTTTGCATGTACAGTGTGTTAATTTAGTGATGTTCTGCAGTAGATGTTATTACATTTTAATAAGCTTTTCAGGAAAGAAATCTTTTGTACTTATGTTTTTCACACAGGTGGCTTAATAAATATCAACTTAGTTCCCTAGCAATAAACTCTTGGTCTTCAGTGATTAAATCACTACCTTCTGAACTCAAATATATCTAGCCAGGTAATTTTCCAAAATGACCATATATAAGATCCGGTAAGATAAATTCTGCTTAAAAAGTTGACTACTCTGGATCATTTAACCAAAATCATTTGGGAAGTAACTCAGAAGTCGTAAAGGGATCTACTGTTCATGAAGTATAATACTTCAGTTGTTATAATCATAAAAAGTAAATACTAACAGAAAATAGTACATTTCCTGATACTTTCCTATCAAGTTATCTTAGGGCACTGTAAGTTATAAAAGTAATTGAATGATTTCTTCTCTTTTTCTACTTCAGCTTCTGCAATAGCATCTGAGTTTTATGAGAAAACCTGATGAGAAACATTTTACATAAGGGAAATATTCCGAAGACTAAATAATAAATTAATACTACTTTCACAGGACTTTGGGTGAATTTTCCCACAGAGTTGTCGCTTTGGAGACATGTACGATTCTCTCTAACAACAAGACTCTGGACCCCTCCGTGGGGTGCTCATCTCCCCGTTCCACGCCTTCGAGCACCACTAGGCAGAACAGGACAGCTAGCGACTGGGTCTGGGTTCTTTTTCCGCTCCGCCACACAAACCTCAGCCCAACGCCCTCACAAGAGCTTGCGAGGTAGATCAGGAGGTAAATAGCGAGTTCCACCTTCATTTTGCAAATGAAGAGTTTGAGGCACTGAACGGTTACGTGACTTGCCCAAGGTATTCAGACGTCCACCAAGAAATTACAGACAGCACTGAATTACCTCCGTTCCTGGCCGGCTGCCCTCTACCCACACTTCACAACATAAGGCTGTGTGTGTGTGTGTGTCCTCAAGTGGACACTTTAGGTGACCTTTGATTGACAGTAAAACCTATCCATTGATAATTATTTTAAAAGGGAGCTAATCTAAAAAAAAAATGGAAGAAAATTAGGTTAACTAAGATACACCATTCCTTTCAGCATCTGTCTGCATAGATCTGTGTCTTTAAACACTTACATGATAACACTAAAGATGAAAACTGAAAAAGTATGACTCAGGGAAAGACTGTTTTTAAGAAACATACAATCACACTGTTAGAGTGACTATGTAATTCGTCTCAGACGGGAACACGGGGGAGCGAGCGCGAGCACTGGGAAGATTACACAGGGCGGCGGGCTCCTAGCCGCGGCTGTCGCGGGCAAGCTCGAGCACAGCCATCAGGGGGCGGGTCCACAGCGCGGGCCTTCTGAGACGTGAAAACATTTCAGGGACATAAAAAACTCTGCAACCATGTTTTGCCTCACTGTATTCACTGTGTAATGTGATAATTTAAAATATAATTCCTAACAACTCTGACTGAAACACAGAGGTTAAAAAACTCAATCTAATAAGCACGTTTAACCAGCAAGTTGTGACACACTTCCGCTCCAGTACACAGGCACAGCGCACTTTACTGTGCTTCGCCTTATCTGTCCCACAGATGCTACTGTTTTTATACATCGAAGGCAATGCCCTCCACCTGCAAAGAGGTGACGGCTCACTTTACTTAAGACTCACTTTACTGCTGTGGTTTGGGACCGATCTACTGCTGCGGTTTGGGACCGAATCCACAATATCTCCAAGGTCTGCCGATAGTTTTCTGTTTTCTACCAACCACAGTTAAAGTGTTAGTATTAATGGAAAATGGATTCACTTTTTACCTTTGAATAACCAGATATTCTTTTTCAAAAAGCCTAAACAGGTACCTTAAAAACTAGAGAATTCTGGGAGAATCTTTGGTTATTAAAAAAAATCCTACTATTTACAATTAATGTGTAGGATTCTCCCTAGATGGAATAGTCAAAACAAATCAACATGCTAATGATAACGATGAAATGAAAATCTTTACAAAGCAATACCAAAGGCATACAACAGTTTCCAGTTACTACCAAAAAATGAAAGAGCTAATCGTCACCCGATCAGAGCACACATGCTAAAGATACTACCACCACCGGCTGAAGTATAATCCTAATTGTACGTGCAAAAACCTCACTAATAATAGACATACAGAGCTGAAAAAGAGCTTTTTACATTCAGTTATGTTTGTAAGTGAGCTTTGTTTTAAGACATGGGTTTTGTAAATATGGTTATTATTCGAGGTCTCCAATTCTGTGGGAAACAGAGGATGAACATATTCTTTAAAAACAGCAAAAAAGTAAATCAAAAGAGCTGTATAATGTTATTAAGTTTGACTTAGGGCTTCCTTGGAGCTTTGAATCAACTCTCCTGGGAAAGGAAATCTGAAACGAACGGAGCTACTTGCTCTCAACATACAGCGATCTTTACCACGAATTCAACCCCTCCGACTGCACCCCTGCTTCTAAGGCAGACCCTTCAGAAACGGCATGTAATAAATTCTATCAGAAAAGATGCTACTCTATCAATGCAGAATGAACTGTTATTACTAAGCTGCTATTAATTTTCAGTGTCTTTCTTATCCTGACATTTCACTGAGAATGCAGTGTAAATTCTAGGGTATATAGATGTTCATAAAGACTGAACTGACGTGTTGATTTTGGTTTTGGTTAATTATTCCACGGATTCTTCCAGGTTTTAGACATCATCAAATATTCTGCTGCGAGACATCGAGAGGTATCGTCCACCAGGCTGATACCTGAAAATGGATAAAGAAATGATCTGAGGCGTCAAAAATAATAAAGGAAAAGAGAAAAACAGGAACGCATTAAAAGGAAGTGGCTACATAATTTGTCAGCACTGTGACATCTCCCCAGCAGCTGCAAGTAGAAGTCTCTTCTCCAATGCTATTACCCCAAAGGGATTCACATGGTCATAAGCCAGCCAACCACTACCTGTTTAGAGCCTGGAGTGCATGTATGACCGGGTGAGAGCTGGGACAGAAAAGGGGCGGGGAGGCATAAAGCACAGAACGGAACTCATGAGACTGAACCACCACTCTTGACTGCTGAATATAAATAGAATATTTTTTTGCTATTTATAGGCAACAGTATAGCAAATATCTTCATGTGCATCACATTTGCTTTTGTTTAATAATTTCCACACAGCATCGCGGCTACAAGCACAGACTCTAGCCAGAGTCCTGGGGTCTGGATACCCGACTGGGCCGTTTACAAGCTGTGTAAGGGATGGAGCCTCTCTGGATTCCAATACAACAGGAGTCGCAACCATAAAATACAGTGTCGTTGTAAAAGCGCTCAGAATCGTGTCTGGCACCCGGTCATAGCTAGGCAGCTATTGCTAAACATGATAAATTCTATAAATGAGATCATCAGAAACAGGCATTGTGAATTGAAGACTCTTACTATCACAGCCAGTGCTTGCTTATTTCTAATGCCACTAGTAGTTTTCAATGACCACCCCGGATGCTATAATTTAAAACACAGAAACATATTAGAAGGTATAAAAAGGTATCAAAGGCTGCTTAATACACTTTTTATGAGTAGTGAAGATAGACCTTTTCCGTATATTTATTTATCTTGTCAAGGCAGCATTATTCAAACGTCAGAGGAATGCTGGGGACACTGTGACAGCGCTGGGACTTACCTTCCTGATTCAGGTTCAAGAGGGTCATCGGTAAATGCTTCTGCGTTAAAATCCAAAGGTTCTGCATCTTGTAGGAGTTCTATTCGGTCCCTTTCAGTCCTATTATTAGCCCGGGTATATTTGGATGCTGCTGTTGCAAAAAAAGGAAGAAAAATGCTTACTTTTCTATTGTCTTTATGGGTCACAGTCTATGAACCGAAAGGAAAGTCAAGGTTTAAAGGATCTGAATTTTGATTGTGACAATATTAAGGAAAGATAACTACCTGGTTCCTTACAATCAGATTAAAATGATTAGTATGACGGAGTGCTTTCAGAAAACTTAGGGCAAACCCATTCCATCATGCCTTGGACTCTGCCCTGCATCCCATCTCTGGCTCCCTCAGCAAGCACTGGCGCGTGCCACGTGCCCTCTAGCCCTCCACCCGGAGGCTTCGTGTCTCCTCTTACCCGTCCGTTCTCCCGTACTCTCAGACCCTTCCACTCTGCGAACTCCTATTGCATGGTAAGCAAGCTTCCAGATCCTTCTGTAAAGTCCCCCCTCTGTTCCCTAGCTTCATCTGAACTTCAGCTCCCCCTTTCTCCTGCCCTCAGTGGCATTCACGAGCACCCTTTCCTCTTCATCTGCAGGGTCACTGCCACGCCAGGCCCTCGTCAGCCCTCGGCAGCATCACCAAGGCAGACGGCAAACTGGTTTCCAGTTCTCGCTTCCCTAAAAATCATGAGTTACACTCTGTCCAAATCTTTCTGGATCAAAATTCTGAGTGTGCTTCCTTCCGGGTTGAAGTCTTATGTTTGGGATAAATTACAGACTTCTGAGCACAGTAACATCTGCGTCCAAACTATTTCTGTAGCCTCCCTCTTTCCGGGCTCCTCCCAGGGGGTCCCACCTTTTGGTGTCTCTGGGCTGCACTGGAAGAAGAAGAGGTGTCTTGGGCCACACATTAAATACATAAACACTAACAAATACTGATAAGCAAAAAAAAGTTTTTAAGTAAGTTTACAATTTTGTATTGGACCGAATTCACAGCCATCCTGGGCCGCATGTGGCCCACAGGCCATGGGCTAGACACTCCTGCTTCAGGCTCTAATCAGAGAAAAACTTGCATTTCCCCAAAAGTTCTCTCCTGTCACTCACTACTACTTCTGCTGGAAACACCTTCACCGGGAGAATTACATCCTTTATCACAAAAATCCCTTCCCAGTAAAGAACTGGGTCCAGCCCTGCACAGAGCTCCCTCAGCACCAGGTGTGCATCGCTGTGTCTCCTCCAAAGACAGGCGGCCTCGACCCCCACTCAGTGCCGCTTCTGCACACACACAGGCCTCCTGCAGCCCTTCCGGGGCAGGGGACAGGGTTAAGGACATGGTGATGTTTCTCAAACTGATGGCAATTGTCTCCTGCCTGGTATCAGCTCCTCACTGATCATGAGCCCCTCGAGGATGGAAGTTTATGTTCTCTATATCCCTGTATACTTGGGAAAGTCCCCAACATATAGGTCAGTCAGTAAACTGTTATAAAAATGAATTTAGGCTTAAATCCAGTAATACGCAAGTAAAGAAAAACATCTAGGTAAATAACAAATAATCAGGACCTGCCTAGAACATGCCTGGGGTAAGTGCTATTATTTAGGGTAGCACGATTACAACTGTTCACCTACATCCCTGATGTCTCCTTCTGCTGCCAGAATGTGTATCTGAGTTTCCCTTCCTCTGATACACTTCCCCAAAAGTTCTGGGGAACAAAAAAGGGAAGCTCACTGCAGAACCCCATTTCTGAATGGGTATCCGAATCCTCAGTCTCTACGCAAGCACGCATAAGGAAGAATCACTCAGACAATAAACTACTTACATCGGTTTGTACTGATATCTGAAAAATTCGACTCTTTTGAATCAACATGAACATTTCTGTTTCTAGTGGAATCTTCTCTATTATGCCCATAACGTTCTTTCCACTCCTAGGAAAGAAACACAGATGAGTATACAACCAAAGAACTCACTGAAAGAAAATAATTCATAGGTGTCACAGATTATATATGTATAGAGTAATGTAATTTAATTCTTTTTCATCAGAAATTCATTAGATAATCAGTGTAACTGACACAGTGTGTTTAAAAATCATAGGTCGCCCCGACTGGTGTGGCTCAGTGGACTGAGCGCCAGCCTGCGAACTTGAAGGTCACCAGTTCAATTCCCAGTCAGGGCACATGCCTGCAGGCCGGGGCCCCAGCTGGGGATGTTTCAGAGGCAATCGATGTTTCTCTCATACATTGATGTTTCTCTCCTTCCCTTTCTCCCTTCCTTCCCCTCTCTCTTAAAATTAATAAAAATAAAATATTTTTAAAAAGAATATCAGAGATTCTGATATTATAGAAAAATCATAGATCAATAATTTTTTATCTTTACATGATTTTAATAGTTTGCAAACTTAACTTTCACAAACATAGACATACTTGCTAGCTATGATTATTTTGTCATTCAGTTATTTTATCTAAAATGTCAAAACAATATCACAACCACAATAAACTTACCTTGACGACATAGAAGTTATGAGAACACATAATTAACGAGATGTTGACAAAATCCCCTTCTACCCAAGGTAACTACAAATTTAGAGACCTCCAAAGCCGCTTCTGAGAGCAGAGTGCAAGCTGTCGGCGAAGACGGTCGGATGACGACTCGCACGGCTGTGTGTGCAGTCGTGGACTCACTACACCCGCACCACCCGGGAGCCTGTGCACTACGTCCGAGAGCTGGCCCCTGAAAGGGGCGTGCCGAGAGGCCACCTAGTTCCACTGCCCACGCAGAGCAGGGCTGCATCCAGGGCAGCCACACCAGGTGCGTCCTGGCTCTCTTACTGGGTGACGCGGGCGCTCGCACACACGGTCGCCCCTGCGACTGCGGTAAACTGAGGCTGCTCTCACAGAGAGGGGGGCTCCGTCTCCAGGGACGTCCACCCTCGGGCTCTGGCCACGGCTCTGCAGTGAAGGACGCGTCTCCTGTTATGAGACAGACTCTACAACCCGGGAAGACGAGTCTCGCGTCTCCCGGGCCTCCGCTTCCCTGGTACGATCCGCCTCGGGGCTGGAAGTGTGTGGCGGCTGTGACCGGTTTTTCTCACTTCTTGCCTTTTCACTCTCTAGGAGGAGGTCACTTTACCTCAGCAAACGGAAGAGTGAAAAAAACTAGTAACAGTGATGTCATATTATTAAAAAAGTATAATTTGCCCTGACTGGCCTAGCTCAGTGGATTGAGCGTGGGCTGCGAACCAGTGTCACAGGTTCGATTCCCAGTCAGGGCACATGCCTGGGTTGCAAGCCATGACCCCCAGCAACCACACATTGATGTTTTTCTCTCTCTCTCTCTCTCTCTATCTCCCTCCTTTCCCTCTCTAAAAATAAATAAAATCTTAAAAAAAAAAAAGAAACACAAGTACCTATTTTTAAAAAAAGTATAATTTTAAAGCAATCAAAATTACTTCACTATAAGTAAGACTGATGAAGTGAGCCATTTGCTTGGTAGTTACTTACTGAGCACCCGCCCCACTCCAGACCGGCTGGATGCTGGACAGGCACTATCACCAGCGACTTTCTGAAACATGTCTGACGAGACACCTCGCATGTAGGTACGAAACTAGTCAGGTCACCTGTCCTTACAAATAGATCATGTCTTTCCCAACCATTCTCTGGTCTTAGCCAATTATTCTACGTCAGTGAAATTCTTAGGATATTTCACATTCATCTTTAGGTTACAGCAATTTAATGAGTACTGTACTTACTCTTCTTCTATTTTCACCTTCTTCTTGCCTTTGCCTTTTTCTCTTCTCTAGAGACAAAAAAGGGGTCTCAGATTTGGTGTAACAAGGTTTAGTTAGATGTAGAGCAACTGCAGTCAAGTACCAGGCCGTGGCCTATGTCCTCTAAATTACTACAGAGTCAGAGGGGATGGGTTGTTGCTGGAAGGCCCTCGGACCCCACCTAACTGCCCAGTGAACGCCTCCTGCACTCTTGCTGGCGGTGGCCCTGAGGCTCTGCCTAGTCCCTGCAGGGGTCCCTGCAAACAGTTCTCCTGCAGGGTGACCTGAAACTTGTTTCTCTGTAGCTTCTCTTTTCTCCGTGTTCTATCTTCTAAATGAAGCTCACGCTTCTTTCCACGTAAGTGTCTCTCCCCTACTCTCTTCTGGCTGTCTAGCCAGTGGTTTTTTCCCCCATAGGATGTGCTGTACAGACCCATAACTCTGGCCTCTAAATAGCTTCTGACTTGTCACTCTTATTCTTGAGAACCTTACCAAGGACTGGATAAGATACTCCAGATGAGCTCTGATTAATGCAGAGAGCAGCAGAACTGGTATATTAACTAGACACCGCCGTCCTATGAGAGCTTGTGAAGGCTACACCAACTTATTTTAGAGCCGCGACACTGGCTTACGTCTGACTAATGATCGTATAGAAGCCCCCGACCCCAGTAGGGACAGCAGCTAACAATCGATGTCCCCAGACTCAAGTTTTGTTTCTCTTGTTCCCTGTCCTACCATCACCTGAACATCAGGGAATTTGATACATTCACAGTTTGGAAATTAGATTCTAGTAGAGTGCCATGTATTCTAACAGGTGGTTAACGATCATTCACCACATTGTAAAAACCAGCCTTGGCTTGAATTTATTTCCTGTGCAGTATTAAACCAATCTTTTCTAAATTAATGAGTTTTACAGTTGTACTGAACCTGGCGTATCTGCCTCAAAATAAACATAAAGATGACTCCGACACAACACAAGGGCATTATTTAGCTGCAGACATGCTAAGGAACTTCTGCTGCAGAATTTCTTAAAGACAGATGAAATAAGCATTTATGTTTTCAAATTATTTTTGCTATGAAGGCTTGCCCTGGCTGGCGTAGCTCAGTGGATTGAGTGCGGGCTGCGAACCAAAGTGTCACAGGTTCGATTCCCAGCCAGGGCACATGCCTGGGTTGCAGGCCATGACCCCCAGCAACTACACATTGATGTTTCTCTCTCTCTCTCTCTATCCCCTCCCTTCCCTCTCTAAAAATAAATAAATAAAATCTTTAAAAAAATTATTTTTGCTATGAAGGCTTTATGTAGGTTTTTAACTAAAATATTAATTTCTTAAGATACATATTACAAATTATATGAATATTAATTTTATATTTTGAGTCTTTGCACTTTCCCTTCATTTATTTTAAAAGACAAGTCTTACCTCGCCTGATTAATTCTTTTCCTTCATCGACTAAGTCTGAGGTCATATCATTGTCTCCCATGAACTGCTGGAAACCAAGCAGATTCAAACAACGAGTTCCCAAACTAGTAGAGTAGATTTCCAAAAGAAAAAAAAAAAGCATTATTTCACATTGTAAACATGCAGACAAGCTGTCACCCTCAAAGAAGCCCACGTTTCATTTTTAGCTATCACGGCAGGTTAACAGAGTCACATTTGTCTCTAAGAAGTGCCTACTTCCCTTCTAGGAAGCTCAGTGCACGCGCAGGACGGCACGGACAAGGGTATGCAACGCATGCAGATTTCTTAAGGAAACAAACTAAGTCAGGCCATTAGCGCACCTTTGGAAAATTATTATACTAGGATGCTAAACCACAGCTATAATACAAAAGCAATTTAGTCTTGTCTTACATCCACACAGCAATTTTAATACTGCTAGTTCTGTGATTTTAAGTATTCCCTTGCCACCTTCATATCCTGTGGAAATACTATACCCCCTAGGGCAGCGGTGTCCAACTCACTTTCACCGGGGGCCACACCAGCCTCGCGGTTGCCTTCAAAGGGCCGGAATAATTTTAGGACTGTATAAATGGAACTACTCCTTAACTGCTAAGGAGTTGAAATTACATTCGGCCCTTTGAAGGCAACCTCGAGGCTGATGTGGCCCCCGGTGAGAGTGAGGTGCACACCCCTGGTTTAGGGTGAGAAGCCCTACACTACGTAACTGTCTCTGGAAAGGGCTTAGCTGCATGTAAAGTGTCAGTGAGCAGCCTTACCCTCTCTAGACAGTTAAATCTGAAAATCAGCTCTGGGTATGGCTGTGTCGCTAGGAGTATGGGCATTATTTACACCAGTTATGGCAGCATTTCAAAAAAAAAAGTGGACCTATAAAGTCAAGTTACACAACTAAATAAATAAATGAAGTCAAGTTACCAATGAAATGCCAGCAAGACATTGCTTCATATATTCCTATAACAGAACATCTGCTTTGAGAGATAATTTGAAAATGGAGAAATACAACCTTTTTTTCCTTAAAGACAAATTGACACTCAAGGTTTATTGTAATGAAATCTATAATAACACTTTTGAGGAGTTACTTTGAAGTTTAACAATTTTCCTTTGAGACTAATCATTCTTTATATTTAAGGTGTTAGAGTTGACAGAGCACTGTCCCACTCATTCTTTGGTCCAGCAATGATCTACTAAGGCAAGAAGAGATGCTAATCCAATCCACGTAACTACTAACGTGACATAATTTACACATCACAAGCTCTTAATGTTCCATTCACAGTTTAATAGACTTTTCAAGGGAATAAGCATATAATCAAAACTTAGCTTCAAACACCAAAAAGATGACCGTTCTCTGCCTGTAATTCATGATGCTCACAGCATAAAGCTAAGTCTTTTCTACCTGACAGAAAATCTCAAAACAATAGATTTATGATCCGTTCACATTAACAGTTTTATTTTAAACTATAATTCTTTAGCTCCTTTACTTATGAGAAGGCAAAATACAGGTGCTTTAAAAAATTCAACTGAGAATTTATTTCAAACAATACTTGTGTATTTACTCCACAGCCTAATGTGAGCGCATATATATTATTTGTAATAACCATGTAATGGTATTACAAGATTTAGATAAAAAGCTGTTGGATAAAACTTACATTTTTGTCAGGAGAGCAAACTCACATCAACAAAACGTGTCTTAGAAAGCGGCCCCTTTGGCAGTCAAGCAGCGTTCACTCGGTGAAGGGGGGCAGGGGGCAGGGGGCGGGACGAGGGCCCCTGACACGTGCAGGTGGGGAGGAGGCGTGCCGGACCCCAAGCACCCCGTCCTTTGCTCCCTTCGAGTCCTACCCCTAGGGCCCCGCCACTTCTCCCAGGCCTGCACAACACTGCAGCCCGTGCACTGCCCAGCTTTCCGGGCATGGCCCGGCCTCCTGTGCTGGCTCCACCTGAAGCATGGAGAAGCTCGGCACTGACCGTGGGGACAGCCCGAAGACTAATCTGTGTCGCTGGGCAGGAGCCGGGCGTGGGCTGTTTCGTAAGCGACACTGGCTGTCAGTGCTGACAGCCAGGACTTCGAGTTGGCATTCTGTAATTCATCCCATCACTTTGTAGCCTAGATGTTTGTAACAAGTAACTCGACCTCTCTTTTCCCGAAAACATCTTAGGAGAAAGAGCCTTACCTTATCACTCAAGCAATCCTTTTAAACTATTCCCAGCATCCCTGAAGCCACAATAAAACGAACAATAACCAGAACCCAACCAATAAATATTTAAAAGAGCTTTAAGAAGAAAAGATATCCAGATCAGGCTAAGAGTGTGTGGAAACATAAATGATGTTAGGTTGCTTACCTAAAATAAGTAGCAATGCAGAGAATTACTACCAGCATAGGATAATATATATAGAATCCATCTGCAATAAAGGATAAAACTTTCATGGAACCCATAATCTGAGGAGCAAGAGAAAAATTAAATCAGTACAGTCTATATTTTTAATTTTTTCTATCATTAGAAAATTCACACAAAACCACTTATATTAATAAGTTTGGACTTTTCAAAAAGTAGAAATAAAGCACTGAGTGATATTTAAGTTCTCCTCATAAGAACAAAAAAGTTGTTACTGAAGTGATGAATAATGACTAAACTTACTGTGGTAATCATTTCACAATACATGTATATATCAAATCATTATGCTGTATGACTTAATCTAATGCAATGTTATATGCTGACTATACCTTAATTTGCTTATTTATTAAGGTTTTCTCCTAAAGAAAATTAATATTTTATAAACATCATGGAAAATTATCCTCTACATTAAACTATAAATATAAAAGTTTACATTATTATAGGTCAGGTCTATTGCTACTACTCAGCTGGATGAGCTACAGGAACCATTTTTTGTAACAGAGTGGGGAAGGGACTCGACATAGAGCACGCACGAACGACCCGTGGGCGTGGGCAGCAGTGTGGGGGTGGACCGAGGGAGCGGGGGGTGGACTGGGCGGAGGAGGGCCAAGGGGGGAGCACTGGGACAACTGTAGTAGAAAAACAATAAAAAAGTCTTAAGAAATAAAAATAAAAATAAATAAAATTTAAAAAGCAGAATCACTTTTATCCAGTCATTAGCAATTATATACACAACCTTTAAAAGGAAGTTTTAGTTATTTGAAAAAGGTCCAAGTCATGCCACAGAACTTTTCTGCATCCCAAACCCCAGAACAGTAACATCTATACGGACAGCGAACACAAAGAACTCGGCTCCCCGACCATACGTACAGACGTGTAGGCTGTCGGCTGCGTGTTCTGGTGAGAGATGGAGGAGTCCATGTGTGTCAGACCCAGGAAATTAAGACATAAGGGAGGAGTCAAGCGGCAAAATAACCTGCAATAAGCATGTATGAACAGAACAGGTGAAAAATAAAGCAGCAAAATTACTTTACATTATACTGAACTGTATTAAGAACATTTCAGATCATTGTAACTGTTATTACCCTCTGTCTGTATTATATATATTGTGAATTGTTAATGTGACTCTCCCCTACTTACTTGGGAGACACTCTGGAAACCCTATTAATCACATCTTCCGCAAAAACATCAACACCTACAAGACAAAGCTCCAGTCTCAGGCTGCCTGCTCTCGTGGTGTTGCCACTGCTCTACCCCAAGAATCCGTGGAGCGCCTGCGTGTGCGCCTCTCCCAAACCTACGGGCTGTGTGACCCGCCCCAGCAGCATGGCCAGGGCACCAGCTTCCTTGGGGCGAACTGCACTCGCTACATGACAGGCCTGCAGTCGTACCCAAGTACGTCACTCTGATGACTACAGGTGTAAAGAACTGTCAGAGCTCGGTGTGTCCTGATAAAAAGAGAAACTCACAGAACCACAGAGGCGAGACTAGGGCAGAGGAAAATGGAGGGTGGGCGAAAAAGGTGAAAGGACTAAGAAGCACGAAGTCATAGTTACAGGACAGTCACAGAGATGCAAAGGACATCACAGGGAACGTAGTCAGTGCTGGTGTAATAATGATGTGCGGAGCCAGGTGGGTACTTGAAATATTGGGGCGGGACCACTCTGTAAATTATACAACTGTCTAGCCATGATGCTGTACATCGGAAACTAATACAGAAAAATACTGAATGTAAACTGTAATTGGAAAAAAGAGAGAGGTAACATGAAGAATGCTTTTGTGGTGATAGAACAGTCGTGGTTACAGAAATCTATACACACACACACAAATAGAGGATAAAAATGAGAATTAAATAAGGTCTGTAGCCTAGTAAACAGTACCAATGTCAATTTCCTGGTTTTGATACTGTAGAACAGCTACAGAAAATGTCCCCACTGGGGGGGAGGCTGGGGGAGGCAGGTGGGGGAAGGTTCCGAGGAGGACCCTGTATGATACCTGGCAGTTCCTATGAATTTATAGTTATTTGGGGAAAAGGGTGAAAAAAAGGCTTAGAGAAGCTTTGTATTCTTCCTCTCTATGCAGATTCCTCTGCGTATCTGCATATCTAGTCCAGCCCTTACAAACATCCCCAGTGTGACTAATTGAACAATACGGACAAATAATACATAGTACAAAACAATATGGACGAATAATAGATTGTTCAGCCCAGCCCAAGCTGAAGTACCCTCTTGAAATTTGTGAGGTCTCTCAGTAAGCGTTGCTCCTGTGGGCTCTCTCAGCCCACCACAGTCCAGTCTGAGTCCACTGGCTCTCAGACTACTTTCTAGGTCTAATCCAGGGCGTCCAACCCTCGGGCGTCTCCAGGCCACACCGGAGGAAGGAGAGTTGTGCTGGGCCGCACGTTAAATGCACACACACCTAATGAACACTAATGAGCTAAACACAGGTTTTAAGTAGGTAAGTTTCCCATTTTGTGTTGGGCCGCAGTCACAGCCACCCTGGGCCGCACGCGGCCTGCAGACGGAGGGTTGTTTCCCTCTCAAATGTTTCCATTTTTTTTTACTAACCCATTTACTGACTCTCTGATTGGTAAATCCAGGTTCACTATGCCTTTCTTTTCAATCCTAATCTCGCATTCCTATTTTAACTTCCAACTTCGTGTTGTTTAGCTAGCAATCAACAAACAACTAATTAACATTCAAACCTAATCAGTTAGTTCAGAGAAATACAGGGGTTAGTGGCATTAACATTTAAACCTAATCAATTAGTTCAGAGAAATACGGGGGTTAGTGGAAGCCCCCAGAACAGCAAGAAACAAAAGAAAGACCCGTAAGGGCACATGCGGCGGAGGTCTACTCACATGCCACTGAAAAGGAGGCTGTAAGCGTCAGTCTGGTGATGTGAGGCCAAGTAATAGTAGTTAAACACACGGATCCTGAACACAGTAGAATACACACAGATACTCAGGAAGAAGATGGAAAGGAAGCAAGCAATCTGAAAAAAACAAAAACAAACAGACAAAAAAGCCCAGATTGAGACTAATGGGCTTCATTCAGTACTTTGCAGACTGTCAGAGCATTAGCCTTTATTGCCAGCTAACAAGTGTGGACATTCTAAAATTGAAATATATTAGTAATGGATTTTTTAACCACTAAAGAAAACAAAATTATGAAAAAAAAAATCTACAACTCAACCATGTCACATCCTATCGCTAAGCTCCAAGTCCCCCTCCCGAAGGGGGCCCGTCCTCCCGTTCCCCGGGCAGCTCTTCAGGTGAAGACTGAGAGTCAGGTCGCCTCACTGGCGTGAGGAGGATCCACACAGCCTCAAGAGCTATTTTGCACTGTTCTGTATCTTTTCATTTCTCCTCAAATACGGCCCTTGTTTCTTAAAAAAGATTTTATTTATTGTTAGAGAGAGGAGAAGGGAGGGAGAAAGAGAAGAGGAGAAACACCGATGTGCGAGACACACATCGGCCAGTTGCCTCTCGCACGTCCCCAGCCGGGGACCTGGCCCACAGCGCAGGCATGAGCCCTGGCTGGGAACTGAACGGGCGGCGCCCTTGTGGCTCGCAGGTGGGTACTCAATCCACTGAGCCACACCAGCCAGGGTGGTCCCTGGTTTTTACAGTCTGGGTAAACTGATGAAGGTCATTTTTGGAAGTCTGAATGACAACACCGTGGGAAACTTCACTGCTTCCATTACTGCTAGAAGAAATACATCGGGACAAGCTACTGCTGTTAAGGACTGCACTATGAACTAACATTTACTGATAACGGGTTTAAAGTAAACTGACCTCGATATAAATATAATTGTACGTTTTCTCGGCCAGCTGGATGAAGACTGCGAAGAGGGACAAGACAGGGGTCGTGCTGAAGAACGTGCACTCGGACCACACGACAATCACAGAGAAGATGGACAAGACCACGGCAAGCATCCTATAAAACCACGGTCGCAAGAGACATTCCCAGTACCATTCTGGAAGATAAAAGAGAAAAACGATTAAGAAAACCATACGGGAGTAACAGGGTATTGACAGTGTTTCAAGATGTCTCCCTCTAAGATGCACAATTACAAAGGGAAAGACAGCAGTCTTCCAGTGGAGGAAGCAGGCAGGCACCACCCCAACCAAATGATCATGGGTCTCGGGGCAAACAGCTCACATGCCCTCTGCTGTGACGTACGATGAGAACACAGCATCGCTGCTGGGGCATCCCCTCCCCCCAAAATACAGAGCCTGCACCTAATCACGAGAAAACGTCAAACTCAAATTCAGGGACACTAAAAAAACCAAACTGGCCTGTAGTCTCCAAAAACATCAATGTCATGAGACACCACAGACGTGGCAATTGGTCCAGCTCAAGGGGGACTAAGAGACATGACGACTGAACACAGTGTATGGCCTGGGGATTTTCACACACATTGTTGAGACAGCAAAATCTGAGCAATGTCTGTAGGTAACAGTATTGTTTTGATGTTGTTAACTTTTTGACCACTGTATTCAACACTTGGTTATGTAAGAACATGCCTTTATTTTTAGAAAATATACCCTGAAACATTTAGGGGTCAAATGGCATCATGTCTGGATTCAACTTTGAAAAGATTGAGGGAAAACAGATACACAGAGAGAAAGAAAATGAATATGGTAACATGTTAACATTGGGAGAGTCTGGGTGAAGGATATGTGGAAATCCTTTGTTATTATTTTGGCAACTTTTTGTTAAGTCTGATTTTAGGGAAAAATAAAAGGTAAAAAGAGAAGAAAGCTCACAAAATTGAGAAGGCTATATTTCACTTCAATCAATGAAGAGCTGGCCGGCAGGCGGGCACTCAGTCCACTGAGCCACACCAGCGAGGGCGGTCCTAGCTTTTACAGTCTGCGCCCCCGGCCCACTCCGAACATCTTCAGCCCTACTCTCAGCGCAGTTCCTGGTGAGGTCAGTGTCCACACAGGGGACACTCCTTTTGAAACCCGGGTCTTTCACTCCTTTGACTCTGTCCTCCACTCCATCTCAACTACTCACTGCCCAACTCCAGCCCTTCCTTGTAATCTCAATGCAGTTTCCTGTGTCCAAACAGCACCTTCGTCTGTATTCCAACTCCACTGACTGCCTCAGTCTGGAGCAACTGTCCGTTTATTCTACCTTTTCATTGCCACTTAACACCCTCCTGCCCTTGGCTGCTTTCTTCACTCAGCTCAGGTTCCACCGTCTTTGCAGGGAACCACTCTCCAATATCCCAACTCTTCTGCTTCCTCTCCCTTCCCTGTACTGGCTAAACTGATCCATACCCTGGCTGCCAACTCCGTGGCTACCCTGAGTGTGCTGCACGGAGCTGCACACTGCAGGAATAAGACACAGCTTTGTTGACTCGCCTCACTGTTAATTCTTAATCACTGGCTTCAAGGGGACCCTTAGCAGTGCCTGGCTGGCTAGCCTGCTATGATTCACCAATTTTCTCCCATGCACCATCTCCCAAGTAACGATTTTGCACCTTTTCTTCTTTCCTCAATTCTCCAAAATGTCCTTCCTTACAGTTACTCCCAGCACTTCCATGAGCAATAAAAGCTGGCAGAAGAAAACCTCCCCAAGTCTCCACTGCTACATCTTCTCACCTGCTCGGCTACCTCTGTGCTTCATCTCCCAACCTGAGGCTTTCCCCTTCGTTGTTCACCACTTCCCACTGCAGCTCCCCCGTACTCGAACACGGTCCCAGCCGTCCTTGGTCTTACCAACTTCCCACTGAGACACTCTTCTCGAGTGACGCGCTGCGATTTCTCTCGACCCTGCTGTCCTCCTTCAGCTACTACCTCCTGTTTCTATTCCCTTTTACAGGGAACATCTTGAGAGTTCTCTGTTCCTGCTGTTTCCACCCACTCTCCTTCTTGTTTCTTTGAAACTCCAATCAGGCTTTTTTTTACTCTTACCCACCTCGCCTCTCTGAAATCCAGTGGGCAAGTCTTACGACAATCAACCAACCTGCAACACCTGAAAAGGCACTTTATATACCCTTTTCCTCAAAAGACTCCCCTGTCCCAGTGGCCCTATCTCGTTGGCCACTCCTTTTCTCGTCTGCTGGCTGGCTCCTCCTCGCCAGCCTGACGTCTGAATTCTGGGTGCCTCACGCACAGCCCTCAGAGTATTCCTGCTCCACCCCAGTCACTTCTTTGCTGATTCTGTCCAGACCCATGGCCCACCTATCCTTTAACAACGCCCTACTTCACACTCGCAGACCGGACTTCTCCTCCGAGCTCCCATTTCTATAGCCAACTACCAACTCAGCATCTTCTTTATACACTTATGTGCATTGCACATTGCTTGTTTTCCTCACTGCACAAGGGCAGAAATGTTTGTCTTCTCTATTCATTGATATATTCCAAGCACCCAACAATACACAGCATGTTAGAGCACAAATATCTGTTGAATGAATAAAAACAAGTGTCACACCATTCCCTCATTTAATTAGGAAAGTCCTTCACCAAAGACTTCTAAGATACTTATAATGACCACCATTATGTCTTCATACTGAAGATCAAACATGCAGAAGAGAATCAAGTGAACCTACGTATCTGTTTGAATATCCAAAGTACACAGAAGTTTTGATACTGCCACTGGTCTTTTCATTAAATTCTTCATACTAAATTTGATAACAGTGAAGAAAGTGTCATATACAATCATAAAGGAGACGGCAATAATTATGACTCTTGAGTGTAGGTTTTATAAATAGACTAATAAATGTAAATAATCAAGGAGTATTTCTTAGGGGAACAATTTAGTAGTATGTCAAGAATGAATGATCACAACTATCAACAACTGAACCTAAAAACAAAAACTAAAACTAAACAAACAACTAGAACAGTAGAGAACCACAGAAATGGAGATCACATGGAGAATTATCAGTGGGGAGAGGGTGGGGAAGAATAATGGGAAACGGCACAGGGAATAAGAAGCATAATAGGTAAGCACAAGATAGACAGGGGGAGGTTAGGAATAGTATAGGAAATGGGGAGGCCGAAGAACTTATATGTACGACCCATGGGCATGAGCTAAGTAGGGGAGGGGAGATACTGGAGGGTGGAGGGTGCAGGGAGGAGGGGGACAAAGGGGATAACAAAATTGGGACAACTTAAAGCATGAATTTTTTTAAAAAATTAAAAAAAAAAAAGAATGAAGGAGAGATCCAAGCTTGTGGTATAAAATTGCTTAGAATTCTAATTATTTAAGTATGTATTATATATACAAAATGTGCTTGATATATTGCATATATTTCTGCGTAGAATTTTAATTATCTGTGAAGTAACAGTGCAGAATGATAGATGATATGTTATATGACAAGTAAAATAGTTTTTTTGAGGGGGGTGTAGTTTATCAGATACATAGTATTGCCACATAGTATAAGTCAAATAATATAAATACAATTCAACTCCACACTGGTGAAAATATATACATTTTTCTTAAGAAAAATTATCATCATTAAACTTTGAAATGTATGTCAAATTACATACCAACTGTAGGAGTATAAAAATATTGGACAAATCTATTTTCTGGCTCTGGTGATTGAAAGGTGTGAACAAACTGATGAGTAGCACTAGTTTCATTTTTTGCTACATCTTCTAGATAAAATGCTTGTTCCAGAAGAATCTGCCATTGTACCTGAGTTCGACGGTGCCTCTGAACTGAATAAATAACCTAAAAAAGAGAACAGGAAATACATCTGTCCGGTGTTCTGATCCAACGGTGGTTCAACTCCTCATTAAGGAGCCTGTCTTCACTGTCACAACAGTCGGAAATATTAGGGACATTTCCTGGGTGGGGCCAAGGGCGTTGCCATTCTGTAATATAAGTGCTACTACGTTCAGTGATTAATCCCCTCCCCCAAAGGCCAGGAGTACCCCTGTCAAGAAACACAATTAAAAACATTTCATTCAAAACTCCTTTCTTGCGGACAATAATTATAAACCTAAAATATTGGTATGTAATACAGTTCTTAGTAATAAAGTTACCTGTTTGTGTAGCTTCACCAGACTCTTTTCACTAGGATAGGTATTATGCTTTTCATCAAAATCTTCATAATCATCCATGTTCCTACCCATTTTTTCTTGATACTCTGTGGGGCACTGAAAGGAACAAGCAGATTGGTAAAAATCTTATTTGCAGAAAGATGAAATTTTATTTTTATTAAAAGTCTTTCATTCTTGGGCATTTCTAATTTTCTCAAATATATCTTTCTTATTGTCATCTCTAAATAGCTGGAATTTCAGGTGATGATATTTTCTTGAAAATGTTTTAACAGATGCACTGGGTTTCTCCTTACCTGTATTCATATGGACCTTTGTGCTCAGCTATACGAGCTGGGGATGGGTAGGGCAGGGCTGCTCGCCTACATGAAGCAACTAGTATTTGAGAGGATTAGTCTAGGTAAGGACCTAATGAAACTGTCAGCGGTTTTCCTAGCTAAATAAAGAAGAAGAATCACAACAAACTGAAGATGTTGAAGTTTTGAATAGTACAGAGAAACAAATACATGATTTGAAGTTATCTGTCCTGCTATTAGTCATTTATTATCTATATGCTCTTGGGCAAGTTAGTTAACTTCCCTGGATAGGTCTCAAAAGGTAGCAAATATACGAGAAATGATTAGAGAACTGACTTTCATGACTATCATCTTAGCCGCAAGGAACACTAGCTAACTGCCAGTATAGTGAATTTAAAGGACAGGCAGAGAGAGGGCTCGGTGGTTCCACGGTTGCAGAGAGGACAACTGGGGAACTCGTGTTGTGAGTAATCATTTTTGGAAGCATATGGATACTCCTAATTCAATAACAATACATCAAACCTTAGTGGTATGGCTTCTTATTAAATATGTGTTAAATATCTCAAAGGGCCATTCATTTGATAATATGTGAAGTATGCCTATAGCGACCACATGCAATGATACTTTTATAAACTGTAAGGGTCCATCTCCAACACTGTGTCGTGGAATACTGCCAATAATTAATGTTTAACTTATAATCACAAAGGGACAAATTCTAGGTACACATTACGACTGGTTTACATGGTCAATGTTTCCAAGAAAATGAAAAGGAGTTGGGAAGTCTTCAGTTACAGGCTGTTTTCATACTTACAATATAGAAACTTTCTCAGACAAACAGATGCGAATATGATTTAATTACCTTTTTAAGTATTGTGTCAACACATTTTCTCAATGGGTGGTTATACTTGATGCTTTCATTCACTTTACGAACCTCCTATATGACAGTAAGAAAAATTAAAATATTTCCATTTCTATAGATTGGAACATTTCAAATGAGACTGCTCTAGGTACTGTGTAAATATATATATTCTCACAAGTTTAATTTCAACCCAAATTACTTAGCATTTACGTGAAGCTCACTTAGCTGAATAAAAGTTCTTAAGAACACAAGGAAAAATACATACCTTCTATACAAAGTTGTGCAGGCTGGGCAAAAGTAGGTTTACAGTTGTTCGTGTGGAAAATAATACAACAAGAAATACTAATACAAAAATACTTTTGCATACTCACAACTGTAAACCTACTTTGGCCTCACCCTGAACAACCCTTACACTTTGCATTACTTTGTAGATTCACTCCCTTATCATTTGTTAACTTGGTACACAAAGATGAATAAACATAAAGAAGTCACACAGGATCAAGTTTTGCAATCCTGAAGGAATAGGACTGTGCCCCTTCACCTTGCTCACCAAACTGAATTATCTCGTTATCTAAACTTCAGTGAAGAAACCAGAGGAAGCAGAGTGGTTACCAACATCACAGAGCACCTGCTCCTTCCCAGTGGGAGAAGCTGCACAGCGCCCCCACTAATGACTCATGCCGTGTTTACTAAGAGCACATGAGAGGCCGGCACTGCGCTACAGGCAAGGTCACCACCATCCCTAGTAGAGGGTGGACTGGGAAGGCATGTTGTTATAGATGTTTGACCAAGATTAGAGTCCAGTGATGAAATAATTAAATAAGCAATTTAATGAGTATGAAAGGCATAAAGGGGTTAGAGGGAGGGATCTTTAGAACCAATAGTACTAAAAGAATCGTAATACTCTATTACAGTAATAAAATTTTGAAAAAGTTGAAACCAGCCCTGGCTGGTGTGGCTCAGTGGATTGAGTACCAGCTTGCGAACCAAAGGGTCACTAGTTCGACTCCCAGTCAGGGCACATGCCTGGGTTGCAGGCCAGATCCCTAGTATGGGGCACATGAGAGGCAACCACACACTGAGTTTCTCTCCCTCTCTCTCTCCTTCTCTTCCACTCTCTCTAAAAATAAATAAATATTTTTTAAAAAAAAGTTGAAACCACTGTTCTAGATAGAATAAACAGCACATTCAAAGGCTGGGAGACAAAAGAGAATGGACCAGAATATTAAAAGGAACGTTCTGATTGTAGGGTAGAGAATGGCCTTGAGGTACACAGCACTGGAGGCAGGGAAGCCATCTGGCATATCAACGAAGTTATGAAAAAAATACTTGTAACTTATATGGCAAAAAATCAGTATCCTTCATATACGGAGAGCTCTTGCAAATCAACATAAAAATGGAAAGATGCAAAAGAAATACAACTGGATGATAAATGTCTGAAAAGATATTCCAGCTCACTGAACACAATTCCAGATTTTAAAATGACAACAATTCCCTTATAAAATTATTTTAAAAAAAGATATCAGGTAATGAGGTAAGATTATGGGGAAACAGGTCCTCCTATACCCAGTAAAATGCGGAAGGCGATTTAGCAATATCCATCAAACTTTAAATGTGCAGACCCTGTGAACAGTGTGTGTTACAAGGCACTGGCCCTGTCAAGGTGCTTAGCTTCATGAGTGTGAAAACACCTTCTTCAAAGAGAAATGGTGAGGGAACAGCTCTGTAATCCAGTGTGGAAGACCGTGATGCACTGACTATGTAAGCTGCAGTGAAAAGCGTGAGGAGCCAGCCCATCAAAGGCGCAAGAACACTCCAGGTGGAGGGACGGCATGCAGGAGGGACGGCATGCAGGAGGGACGCCATGCAGGGGGGCCTCTGAGCAGAAAGGAACAAAGAGTTTCAAGGAGCTCAGAGAAGTCCAGTGTGAGCTGGGAAGAGGCAGGGCCTGCGAAGCCCTTGATCAGGCTGAAGAACCGCTTCAGCCTTCGCGGCGAAGTCCCAACAGTGCACCTGAGGTCAACGAGTGCGGCCTGAACACAGGAGCAACGGGGCAAGCCGTGGGTTTTTGGAAGGCGCTTGAAGCATCAGGATGTAACACTTTTCCATGACTAAGCTGTCCTAAAGTTTCATCGACTTGTTAGCAAAACTTTGAATGTAAACTACACAGTCTGGTTATGTACTTATGTACGAAATATGCATCCCCTTTACATTCTTTAACCACACTGAACTAAGTACTGAAACAGTTAACTATTTACATTTGCTATATTTATTATTATAAGTTTCCTTCAGAAGTTCATAACTGTTACAAAATGTGGAAAGCATTTAAAACACCAGCCTGCTTTCTTCATAGAAAACAACATGAGCTGGAGCTCCGTCACTGCTGTGCCTAACGGGTTCTCTCCCAGGCAGGTCAGACAGCACCCATGCAGTCAGCAGAACAGGCGATCTCAGCATTAGTAAGTGGCTGTTTCCCCTCTCCAAAATCCTCCACCCTAAAAAACGACACAGGCTTCTCTGCAGACGCATCAGTTACATCCACGTGATCCAGTGCGTCATTCCATGCCACAGCATTCTCGTGCCCAGGCAGGTCTGCCCATTGTTGGCAGTGGGGAGTTAAGATGCCCTACTATAAGCGTGTTGCTGTCTACATCTGTCTTGAAGTCCTCCCAGGTTTTCCTTATATATTTGTGTGCACCTATCCTATGGTTTAACTTTAGGAAACCGGCAGTTATCTAACTAAACTGGGTCTTGAACAGAAAGGATTGGGAGAGAAGAGAAAAACCCAGGGCGCAGGAGAGGTAATGGAAGGAAATGAATGAATGGTGATTAACATTAGTAGTTATAAAATAAATGCATCTGGGAAACTCCTGAGTTTATAAACATATTGGGAACATCTATGTATGTCATGACAAAGTAATCAAGACATTATTAATAGGACATTGACTTGATTTACAGTCAGTCTGTATGCTTTTCTGGAATAACTAACTTGTGTTAAGAACGTGGTCCTTAATGTTGAGACAGAGTACACCTCCTAGACAAAAGTTTACTGAACCTTAGCCTCACATGTTTCAAATTTCAATACACTAGTTAATTGTATCTGATTAAATTATTGATGATGTTACAACAACAACAAAAATGACAAAGGTAGAAGTGACGTCTTTGGCCATGCAGCAAATACCCTGTGAATCGCTTGATATGACTTGTGAGTTTTATTAATGCTCCAAAGAAAAGTAATAGATAATCACACAGATGTAGTATGCATTCACTTCAGAGAGAAACTGAAAAACACTAAAATGTTTTTTATAAAACTGCATTTGGAAGATTTAGATGGCTAAAAATATAATCGCTATTATATAAAAAAAAAAAGATGACTGAACTTTGTGGTCTGTTAAAAGATGCGCTCGGCCTCCTCCCCAGCAGGGGACTCCTGTTCCGGCCCGGGCTTCCTCCCGCACAGCCCCCTCAGAGCACGGTTCTACGCCCAGAACCACGTCTCTTCCCGGCTGGCCAGGTGTCCCGGGCCCTCGCCGCCGATCCCTGTCACGGCGTCAGCGGAGGGCAGGCTGCCTGGCCCTAGCGCTCACTGGCTGTGTGACTGCGGGACACTCAGCGTGAGTGTAACTCATTCTCTTCACTTACGGGACGGGAACTGAAAAACATGCTCCTTCGCGATGTTGGGAGAAGGAAACATACTGGCACACGTGAGGTTCTCAGAGAGTCATTCGTAAGCAAGTAAGTCTACATGGTTGTTGGCTCTTGTCATCCCCATCGTTAAGTTGGAGGAGCCAAACCTGACCAGCGTGAGGGAGACAGAGGCTTCACGGTAAGGGCGGAGAGCCAAGCACGGGCCAGGCTGTTTCTCAGCGGGCCCAGCGAAGCACTCGGGTTCACTCTGACGCGACTGCACGGCCTCCGGCCTGAGGCTACGGCGGAGGGTGACTTCACAGTATGGCCTGTTTCCCAGCAGAGCACAGTGTGAGGGGACCACAGCTGTCCCTTTTAAAGTCAATAATCGAATTGTGTAACAGCAAAGTTTTATAATTTGTTATATGTTTTTATGTGTATTATTGAAATTTATACTTTCATCAACTTGATGAAGTTAGTTCACGTCATCCATGTTTATTTATTATAAAATAAGTGCACCTGGGGAACTCCTGACTGGGTTTATAGGAATACTGGGGAAATCTATGTATGTGATGACAAAGTAATAACGAGTCAAGTGAAGTGTCTTATTAGGAGTACTTAGAGTAATAAGAGGAAATGAGTTATTGACACAAATTCCCACGCAAACTGTTCTCTAAAGAGGTTTCCAGACGTGGTGGGGTCATTTTGGGTTAAACTTTCAGTAAGAAGTGTCTTGTGACTCCTAACTGCCACTCCCGCTGTGTCCGGGGAGCCATGCAACCCCACCCAACCTGAGAAACTCGCGGTGAAAGAGGGCACTGCAGGGTTTACCCGAAGACAACACCTGTGCCCTGCGCTGGCGAGTGTGTTTTCCCTGAATCTCTGTCAGTCAGAAGACGCAGATGACCTCTCATGGAGCTGAGCTGCCAATAAGAAGCCATCCTAACAGATGAGACCTTCTTAAGAGCTGCAACGCGCCAAGAAATTAAGTCTGAAGTCCTTCAAGGTGTTAGCCAGGACGATGACCCCCCCCCATGTACCCACAAGCAGATACACACAACTCGCTGTTGACTCTAAGGGGTAAGTAAGCCTGCCTACCTCCATGACATCTTCCAAAGTCTCCTCCGCATCTGCTTTCTCTGTCATCAGTTTGGCTGCCTTAAAGTAAGTTTTCATAAGGAGGTAGCCTCTTTTCGCTCCGTTCCAGTACGACCGAGGAATTTCCACCAAGCCGTACCCCAGCAACAGCACCAGGAGAAACAGGCCCCAGGTGTTCGCAGCAGCGATCCCAATGGTCTGGAGCTGGTTCCTACGAGAGCAGAAGCAGGCAGCTGTGACGGGAGAACTTTTCCCACAAAAAGGTAAAATCAAACTAATGACTGTTAAATGGTTTTTCAGAAAACCACCACCCTAAAGGAAGGCTAATTTTTATAGGAAAAAATTAGACTTTCACACCCTCAGCTACCCTTTCAGGGACAGCAGATGCTATTCCCTATTTTCCATTTTAGTAGCACAGATTACTCAGATATTTCTCTATTTTCCATCTTAGTAATACGGATTACTCAGGTATTTTTTGAGGCACCTATAAAACATATAACTTGTTATGTTTCTTGATGAAATGTGTGTTTACCTACATATGTGAGATAAAAATTAATTTTATAAAATGGAAATATACAAAGAAGCAGTGTTAAGAAGATGATTTTTCTTACCATTCTAAGTGCAAATGTGGGTTTACAGCTACATAAATTAAAAATGCTCCAAAAATCAGCAAATAGGTGCCATAGTAGATTGCATTCTCTATCAGTGCAGTTTTGATCTTTCCAGTGATGGAAAAGCCCCCTGATCTTGCGTAGGACTGCATAAAAGGCAACAGGATCCTAGACAGGTGGAAAAAATATGATTAAACACACTTGATATATCTTTTTAATCTCAAAATACCAGAAATATGTGAATCTCAACTATCATGTATAGTTCTTTTCACAAACAAATGATTTTGAGTAATTATTAATACCAAACAAACTAAAACAGGGGATTGAATATTTCTGTAATATTAAATCTGGGGTAGAACAAAGCATATTCATGAGAGCAAAGGAGATCACAATGACCAGCAGAGAATACAACAGTGAGTGATTTACTCTAAGCCTAAAAAAAAACCTTTATGAAGAGTTTGGACTATATTCAAAGAATAAAAAGGAACCATTTTCTTGAACAGATAGGAAACATGATCAAATTTTAGTTTTCTAAAGACTGATCAAGTTTCAGCATGAAGAATGGCCTTAAAGGGAACAAAACTGGAACTATCCATGTGGTAAAGAGCAGGAGGGGAGAAGACTGGTGGCCAACATGCTGACGCTGAAGTGCCCGGGACACATCCCAAAGGAGCTGCACGGGAAGTCGCTGGCTACCCAGCTGCGGAGATCAGAAGGCGGGGTTAGAAGCACACCCAGACTCAGAGTCATCACATCGACCATACTGAAACAACATCCGCATGAGAGCTGGAAGGGTGAGTATGTGGAGTGAGCAGCAAAGAACTGTGGCTGACCCCTGAGAAATACCTACTTTTAAAGGAGAGCAGAAGAATGGGAGGAGGAGGAGAGGCCAGCAAAGGAGACTCTGACAGAACAGGAGGGAGGCATGGAAGAAAACTCAGCAGGATGTATGGAGCAGAACCCAGGAGAAGCACGTGTTTTCAAGTGGAGACAGAGAGCGATTAGAATCAAATGCCGCCAAGAGGTCAAGTAAATCAAGGACCTGGGAGTGTGCGTGGAGAGGTGGGGGTAGGAAAGAGTTCAGTGAGTTGAGGAAAGAGCAAGCGGTGAGGAAATGAACACACTAAACGCAGACAATTCATTTAAGATGTTTGGCTGGGTAGCATAAATGATGGTATTTTTTAAAAAGTGGAATATTTTACAGACATGAAAGAATACCAATACATATAACACAACACAAAAGAGTCTTCCAAGTATATAAGCAAAAAAGAGAGACAAAAGTGTATCCTGTATAATTCTATGTTTCTAAAGGTCAAAAACAGGCACACTCACCTGTGGGATGAAGTGAGGATCACGGTCACCTCTGGGGAGGGTAATGACTGGGAGCGGGGTGGGGGCTTTGAGGGAAGCTTCTGGGTGATGGGGGAGTCAAGAGTCAGAAAATCTTAGTTTTAGGAAACAGTTAAGAAGCCTAGTCATTAATGCATGTGAAGCTATTATTGTTTAAGGAGCTGCAGGGTGGCCCCCCCCCCAGGAGACCACAAGCAACTGGCCTCTGTGCTCCAGGAGGGACCAGAAGCAATCAGGGAGGTATGCGAGCCATAGTGTTCCAGGGAGAGACGGGACTCGGGTGAGGACAATCACCGGTCAGCGGTCAGCGCATGAAAGGATGTTGGGGAAACTGCCGACTGCAGCTTGTTTCTGACTCACCTCCTTCCTGAATGCCAAACCCCTCACCACTTTTGCCCCCTTATAAGAAGGTGGCTTGAAAGGAAACGTAAGATGGTCTGTTAGGGTGCAAACCCACCGTCTTCTCAGATCCAGGGCCATCTGAGTAAGGCGCCCACACAGATTCGGTCCCTGTCTCTGCTTATTGGGTCCAGCAGGTGACAGGCTGCAGGAACGCCAGCTTTTCTGGTTTCACGCGGACATTGTTAATGCTCTTTATCATCATCTGAGTGCTGGTTACACGGCTGGTCCACTTTCAAAAATGTCAAACTAAACAACAATCTGTGCACTTTTCTATACTAGTTGATACTTCAGTTCGTCTCCAGAACAATTTAACTGTGGTGAGGAGCAGATCATTGAGGTGGAAGATAGAAAGCTGGAAAGGGTTGGGATTTGAGAGACTTTTAATTTCTTTTTTTTTTTAAGGATGAGAGAATTGTGCACGCTTTGCACAAACACAGGTAAGTGCAGGTAAAAAGGGCTGAAGAGAATGGGTCCACATTTCAGGAGGAGGGATTAGTTTTAGTAGTGACGCTTCCATGTTTGGTGGGCAAGGAAGGAAAGATGGGCAGGTGGGAAGGAAGATTTGTTGGTGATGAGCTAACACCCCTGCCATCTGATGACTTCCGTTGTTACTGTGAGGTAGAAGGTAAAGGAGTTCAAGGGCAGTGTTTCCAGGATATGAGAGAGAGAGAGTCACAAGGGGAGCCGCAGAGGTCTGAAGCGAGTGGAAAGACGTGCTGTGCGGAGCGAAGAGCACACGGCCTAGAGAAACAAAGGAGCGAAGCCTGGCAGCGTGGAGGGCCCAGCTGAGTCCAACGAACATCAGTTCACAAGGGCACTACTCTACTCCGCTGCATGACTCTTCTCTTGCAAAGCTGAAGACCTCTAGTGTTAGAGCTCAGCTGCCTGCAGAGTATCTAAAATGCTCAGCAAACAGTCAAGTGTGAGTCTGGAGCAGGGCAGAAACACGAAGCTGTAGCGGGTAGAAGAAAACATCTGGAATGAGCGCATCACAGGCAACGAGAGCATGGCTACGAGGAAAGCTGTGCAGGGAGAGCCAGGTAACAACAGGACGACCAAATACGGGGCCCCAGGGAACGTGAACATTGAGCAAATGGACCACCGAAAGGGAGCCCAGGAAGGGATGCGGAAGGCCGGGCTAAGGAAACCAGGGCCGGGCACAACGATGCCCTGCGCAGGAGCAGTTTCCCACAGTCACGGGACTGGAAGAAGGCTGTCCAACTGAAGGTCAAGAGAGAAAGCAGTAACTGGAAGGGAACGGTGACAGGGAAAATGATTTATTCTATTTTCTTTCTCTTGTTTGTTTTTTTCTTTTCATTGCTTTTCTTTTAAGATGGTAGAGACTTGAAGAAGCAGAAAGGCAAAGGATAAAAACTTAAAAGACAAAGTAAGTGACATAAGTAAATTCTAAAATACGAAGGTTCACTGAAAAAAAAAATCACTTCTTTTATTACTTTAGCCAGAATTTAACAATTTTGTTCTTCACTGCCACCTACCATGTCAGAAACTGTGATGTCCAGTACACTACCCTCCAGAAAATCGGCATGATCCCGTCGGGAATGTAGCTCCACGGCTTGAAACATGGGTGATGGCTGTTGGATAACAATTTAAAGAAAATTAAACATAAATGATGACTAATTAAATGAACTACACAATCGATTTATATACGGCAGTTTATTTACATTTGGATTTTAAATTACTGACTCCAACTTATAAAACTTCATATAAAACTCAAAATCCAAAGCTGACTGTCAAACTACACAAACACACACAAAGTGAGAAAAGCAGTTTGAGGACGTAATGTTCACCGCATAGACTAATAATGAAACTGGACCTAAAAACAAATGCGCTGGGAAATCAAACCTGTGATATGATTACCCTTAAAAGTGAAGACTGCCTTTAAAACACACACTCACCCCACTTGTGGGGTTGGTTCTTCGGGGTAAGGGGAGCAAGGAGGACAAAGACATTAGGTGATCAATTCCTGGAAATCAGAGAGCTAACTAATCAGTCACTATAGCACAGCTCCTTGGAGATATGTGCCAGCACCTACGTAGAATTTTTTTCTGTTTGAATTTTCTGATATGTGTGCCTGACCATAGACTCTTCCATCAACACTGTCTTCCTAGACTGGGGGGCATCCTGCAGTCCTAGGGCTCCCGATAATTCACAGTTGCTGCTGATCTGTATCCAATTTTTAATGATGCTACAAAGGGGAGTATCTGTGTTTTAAATTCACCCTTATTTGTTAGATTTAAAAAGTAAAATAAAAGCCACATAAAAAGCATGCACATACTACTTTAAGCACTGGTAAAAACTATAATCAATATTTATTAGCTTTTCACCTAAGCTAGTGTGTATTTGAACAATAAAATAACCCATGGTGCTAGAAGTTAAACATATTTAGCTAGCTTTGTAATTCTATTTGGAAGGTAATTGCTATGAGCAGAAGTGAACCGACAATTTTTCAATGCAAAAATTAAGAGACAGCATTGAGATCAATGACGGAAAACTAACGTTAGCCCAACATTTTCCTAAGAAAGTCTGCCACACCTTGTGTTTTCTATTATGAGATTCTCTGCTGGATCTTATCTTTTGTTAAGTAAACGTTTTTGTCCTATGAGCCGCCGTCTACTTTAATACTGGCCAGGTATTCTTTAGATTCTCTTCACTAGCGTATCTCGTGGGTTGAAGAAAGTATACAATACACATATAAACATACACTTCTCTGCTACCTCCCACCTTGTTTTCTCAGTAAGACCCACTTATAAAACCATGTTTAACATTTTTTTGAAGTAAAAATTCATTTCTGAATTGAAGGTGAACACACACACACACACACACAAAAACATTAGTTTTTTTTTTTCATTTGGAAGTTTGATATGAATTCATTACAACCTTTTGATAATTTGAATTTTATTCATTCTCTTTGTAAAATTATAACAACTTCAAAGGATGTGCAATACGAAAGGAATACTCCCAGATACAGAATAACCTCCTTGTGCTTTAATACGCAACCTTGTATATTAGGTAGAAGAGAAAATGGATGCCCCACATTATAGCTCAGAGAGTGGCTGAGAGGAAAAGAAGTTTTTGGAAGTCACATTCCTAGTAAGGGGTAGAATCAGGACTAGAGAACCAGGCCTTCTCCAAGTTTCTCATTAGCATCTACTGAAAGGCCTTGTGCACCAATAAATATTTCAAACTGATTTAAGATTTAAATTTAAACAGAATAAAATGTAACTAAAAGTCTACTAGCACAGGATGGAGGGATGAGTAAAGAATGAACATAAACTTTTGTAAATATAAAATCTGGTTATAAACTGACAAACAGATGGTTAAAAACTGACAATTTTTAAACAATTTGGCTTCTATTATATGGGAGGAAGGAAGGATGGATGGAAGAAGGAAGGGAGGAAAGGAGGGAAGGAGGGAGGGAGAAAGGAAGGAAGGCAGGGAGGAAAGGAGGGAGGGAGGGAGGAAGGAAGGAAAGGAGGGAGGGAGGGAGGAAGGAAGGAAGGCAGGGAGGAAAGGAGGGAGGGTAGAAGGAAGGGAAGGAGGGAGGGAGGAAAGGAGGGAGGGAGGGAGGAAGGAAGGAAGGAAGGAAGGAAGGAAAGGAGGGAGGGTAGAAGGAAGGGAAAGAGGGAGGGAGGAAAGGAGGGAGCAAGGAAGGGAGGAAGGGAAGGAGGGAAGGAGGAAGGGAGGGAGGGAGGGAGGAAAGGAGGGAGGAAGGAGGGAGGAAGGGAGGGAGAGAGGGAGGGAGCGAGGGAGGGAGACAGAGAGAGAAAGGATACCTTGGAGCTGGGGTAGCAGTTGCGTCTAGTCCGGAGCCGTTGCTACTCTCCGGAGGGCTTGAGTTGGCAGCAGCATGTTTGCAGCGGTTGTATATCGTCTAAAGCAATGAACGCGTGGTTTAAAAATGAAAATCAAAAGGTTACCAAGTACGTAAAGGAGACTGGAGGGTATCAACCTATCCATCCCAAATCACCTTCCTGGCTATGCTTTCTAGTGGTCAAATTAACATAGTAACATTTAAATTCAAAATATAAGTATAAACTTACACAATTTAGCTGTCTTTGGACCTAACATATCTCAAACGTGCTGATTACAGCTGTCTTTTAAATTGAGAAAATCAGTGTCACCTCTTACCGTACTAACATCCAACGGCAGTATGAAGACAATAAGAAAGCAGAGATACCAAGCTAGTAGTGTTCCAACAATGACAAGTCGATGCTGTTTCTTAAAGTCTCCATATCGATGAAGTAGAAATAAGGCCAGAAAAAAGACAAAAACAATCTCGAGTCCCAGAGCTGCACCACTCATTATTGAATGTTCACTCTGACTAACCGAAGTAATTCACGTACAGGGCGGGATCATATCTGCGGAGTGAAAAACATAATGCAGGGTTAATACAGGAAATGACCACTTGGAAATTTACTAAGTATAGTTTATTAATGTATGAATAAATTCTTTGGAAAACTGTCAGGCTTTACAATGGACTACAAATAAGATGAAAAGGATAAGTCCTGCCCTCAAGTTCTTAATATCTTACTTTTAAAGCATATCTTAAAATTTTACATAAATTATATCTCCAGGAAAAAAAGGTATTTTAACTAAGATTACATCACTTCTAAAAACAGTACAAGAATACTAGATATGGACAGTTTCAATACGGAGTCAATGAAGCATTTTACACAAACACGCTACCGACTGGATCCTAGGGAGTTAGAGGTTTCAGAAACTAAAGTCTCCAAGTCACCCACAACCCATTACTTAAAATTCTCTGAGAGAGATGGGGGGAGAGGTGATGGCGAGAGAGATGGAGAGAGACCACTGCGCCACACAGTCCTTTTCTTCACTGCTAACCTAGTCTAGCGGCTTTCAGAACTTGAGACTCCTAATTCACTGCTGCTTCGCAACACATACTGATCCCTTTCCATTCGTCTCTATAAATCTTACTTTCTTTAAAGAAAGTTATTTTACCTATGTGTAAAAACTTATCAATGATTATTGAATAAAGTCACACATTGAAAATATTTTTATTATAAATGCTGGTGATACAGGCAGAAGCAAATGCTTTATTTGCTATAGCTCTACTCATTAAATAATTGGCCTTTGCTAACTGAAGGCAATATGTAATTTTCACCTTTGTAAAAATCAATGTCAGATATATTTTTTAAAACGTTATTTATTTATAGAGAGGGGAAGGGAGGAAGAAAGTGGGAGAGGAGCATCAATGTGAGAGAGAAACATCAACTAGTCAATTTTATTCAGCACTACATCTCAAGTCTCTAATATAGTGTCTGGCATAGAGTAAATATTAAAAAAATTTGTTGAATAAACAAATGAATAGAAAACATTACTGTATACTCGTATACTATTTTTAATTACTGCTGACTTCAAAGGCAGCATAAAACTTGTTATAATCTCCAAAGTTGATTTTTTAAAAACAATAACATTTTCTTTTTTTTTAAGATTTTATTTATTTATTTTTAGAGAGGGAAGGGAGGGAGAAAGAGAGAGAGAAACATCAATGTGCAGTTGCTGGGGGCCGTGGCCTGCAACCCAGGCATGTACCCTGACTGGGAATAGAACCTGCGACACTTTGGTTCGCAGCCCGCGCTCAATCCACTGAGCTACGCCAGCCAGGGTTCCCAAAACTGATTTTATAAATACTTACTACAACTCCAAAGGCTTAAAAATATGTTCATTTACTACTACTCAAAATTTCATAATCTATTAAAAAACTTACCCCACCACAAAAAGAGTGAGTCAGATCTTCTCTTGAAGACCAGATTAAGTGTTAGAAAGCAACCTGATGTAGGATGCTAAGGAAAACCATAACCATCTTCAAGATCTAGCTCTTGGGAAAATACTATTCAATATGAATTAACATAATTAATACCTGAAAAGTACTCTAGGAATTTGTCTGAAATTATTCAATTTCACAATTACAGTGAAATTGCACGGAAGGTGACAATCATAAAAAAAAAGACTATCAGAGAGTGCCAAGGAAATGCTAAATGAAGTATGGCAGAATCAAGTGATAGAATATTACTGAAGTATAAGAAATGGTGTTTATTAAGATTATTTAATAACATTACTACATTATCATAAAATTAACTGAAAAATAGATTCATGCATTTTCATATAATGTGCATAAAATGAATAAGACAATAATCCCATATATGCAGACATCAATAATAGGTGGTAAGATTATGGGCATAAGCAAACAACAAAATCACAGTTATAAACTTGCAACTAGCTAATAATATATGTTTTTTTTACAATGTTTCATTTTTTGGTCTGCTTCATTGCCAGTACTTTAAAATGTTATAGATGAGTGAACAGAATTAGGGATCCTTTATTCTGGTGATAAAAACATGATTTGTTTCATCTCTTCCCATACTCATTAGTCTCCCACTGCTGTCATAAGCAGATATTGTAACGTAGTGGCTTAAAAAAACACCCGTATTTCATAGTTTACGTGAGTCAGATATCCAGGCCCAACATGGCTCAACCGAGTTCTCAACATTGAAATTTAGGTGTCAGCAGGTTTGTGTTCCTTCCCAGAGACTCTGGGAAAGAATCTAAATTCACTCAGGCTGCTGGGAAAATTCAGTTTGTTATGGTTATAGGACTGAAGTCCTTGTGAGCTGTCAGCTGGCCTTTGCCCTTAGCTCCAGAGACCTTTCTCCAGTGTTCGCAAGTGGCCCTCCATATCTCTGAGCCAGCAACAGATGCTTGCCAAATCCTTCTCGCTCTGGAAGTCTGACTTCCTCTTCCGCCCTCGGCTGGAAGAAAGCTCCGCTTTTATGGGCTCGTCCGGTCTCATTGGGCCCACCTAGATGACCGAGTCATATTTACTGGTTCCAAGGACTTAGGTGTCGAGATATCCTCAGGGGCCTATTACTCCGTTTACCAGAGTACCTGTTTCTGTCCAGGTTGAACTCCTGTTGCCTTGTTATGACACAAGGTTATAGGCCTAGGGGTGCCACGAAATTGAAGATGAAAATTGGGGCTTCTCTAACCTGAGATGAGAAGAGCAATAGTTTCAAAATCCGTATCTTGACTTTGCCCCTAAATTCAAGTGAGGAATTTTTTTTTTTTTACAGTCCAGAATAATAACACTTTCCAAGGGTCCTTATGAATTTCTGGAGCCTGTTTTTGCTATTTCATCTGAATAACTTTCTGCTCAAAGCTAGGGATACCTTATTCTCCATCTGACTTAGTTATTCGTATATTAAATTCATAAAACAACTGTCAACCAAAATCTAATAAAATAAACAAAGATCGATCAACTCATTTGGCTTATTAAAAAGAAGAACTCATTGCCAGAGATGGCAGCAATTTGGCGATATGTATCAAAGACCTTTAAAAGGGTACATACTGTAACTCTGGTCCTAGCAGTTCCTCTTGAAATAACTTAGAGCAGGGGTATCAAACTCATTTTCACCAGGGGCCACATCAGCCTCACAGTTGCCTTCAAAGGGCCAAAATCATTCTAGGACTATATAAATGGAACTACTCCTTGACTGTTAAGGAGTTGAATTTACATTCGGCCCTTTGAAGGCAACTGCCAGGCTGATGTGGCCCCCAGTGAAAAGAAAATCAGTTTGACACCCCTGACTAAAGAAAAACCAAAATGGGAACAAAAACTTATCTGCAATGCTACCTTTTACAGCGCTATTATTTAAACATGAAAACATAGAAACAACTTAAATGGCTGAACTAAATAGACCAGGAAGTCTTAAAACTGTCCATTAGTCTCATCGTGGTCCATTGCCTCTTGAATCATTAATCCTGCTGACCTGGCCAAGGCCGACCTGAGCCTTGGCCTGAGACCTGTGCCCCAGCCAAGACTGCCTCACTTCCAGAAACGCCCCATTGCAGGGAGTGACAGGAGGAGCCCGTGGATCCCACCCTTCTAGGCGAAAGTGAGATCCAGGAGAACACGAGATGTCAAAGGGACACGGTGGGATCTGAAGGAGGATGCATAAGAAACACACACAAAATGCTAACAATGGTTGTCACACAGCAGTAAAGAGATGACTTTTACTTTATTCTTTGTGCTTTCTTGTGTGTGTTTTTAAACAATGAACATACATTATTTTTTCATTATAAAATTATTTAAAAGTCAACTTAGTAATATGAGGATAAAATACATAGCAATTAGAAAATGAAAATTTTTGCTATGATGTTATTCAGTGTCTAAAGTTAAAATATAGCCCTGGCTGGTGTAGCTCAGTGGACTGAGCTCGGACTGCGAACTAAAGGGTCCCCAGCTCGATTCCCAGTCAGGGTACAAGCCTGGGTTGCGGGGCCAGGTTCTGAGTGGGGGGCCATATGAGAGGTAACACATTGATGTTTCTCTAACTCTTTTTCTCACTCCCTTACCCTCTCTCTAAAAATAAATAAATAGAACCTCCAAAAAAGATAAAATGAAATGAAATACAAATGTTTTATTTTACCATGGTAAATGTTGGTTCCAAATCCCAACTAATAATTGTGTAACTTTATGCAATTGAAACTGTTAAATGAGGATAATTATCCCACACAGGTTTCTATGAAGATCAATCAAGACATAAACATAAAACACCAAGTAGGAACTCTGGACACAAAGCAGGTCTTCAGTAATACTTGTTGCTAATCTCCATCTCCTTCATATGTTGTGCTTCTAGACAATAACTAGTTGCCTCAATGGTCTCGAAGCATAGCTTTACCCTATGTTCTTTCTCCCTGTCCTCCACAAAAACTCTGCTTTTTGCTTCACATTTTCTGTGGTTCCCACATCCTGGGTCCACCTGCATTCATATAAAACAAAAACTGATCTTCACTCACAGAAATCGTTCCCCTTGCCTCACCATACAGATTGGGATTACGTCCCTAGGTCCGCAAGGCAGCCCAAATGCCCCTTCCTCAGACCCTTGTGAAGAGACACAACACCTCTCAGAGCCATGTCAAGGAGGGGCACTCGACATACAGAGAGACAATGCCATTCTTCTAGGAATATGCACAAAATAGAGGTGGACTGAGATAGATCATTTGCTGAACTGTGCACATGGTCAGCTGTGCAAAAATCTATTCAAAGGCAAAAGATGAAATAGGCCTCTGACGACGACAATGGTCCTTCTAATAATATTCTTCAAATATAAACATGTTTAGGCTAAATGACAAAATCTGGAGGCAAATCAAAACTGTTCTATGTGATCAGAAAGGAAAAAGAGATACAAAGCTATCATAGGTGGGCACTAATACCACAGCAGTAAAAGTAGACTTTACTCATAATCAAAGTGCTAATTCATTCATCCGATGAGATTCAAGTGCCTGTTATGCAAGCATAGTCTACCCTGCAAAATACCGATTCTGAAAGTCTTAAACATTTAAAATCCAACTTAATCTTTTACCAATCATCAAGATATTGTACAATATTACTTTCAAATGCCTTTCATTTGAAGTACTGTTTCCTAAGTACTTTATGGCTGACAATGATTTGCCAGGCTAACCACACTTTAAGTGGAAAATTTAGAGGTTAAGGCAATTTTAACATTTGAAGCATTCCAAATATTTTCAAAGAGAGAGAGGAAGAGATAAGGAAAAGAAGGAAGGAAGAAAATAAAAGAGGGAAGAAGGAAGAGAGGGATTGAGGGGGAGAGAGGTGGCAGCAACTGAACACAAAAATTTTATCAAAACCTAAGATACTGAAATTGAATGAAGTTTCTAAATAGAACCCAATGATTCATTGCAATCAGACTGTGTTAACTTAAATATGCATCTCCACTCAGCTGTGTGAAATAGTAAGTAGGAGCCAACTCAAGATCCTAATAATGAAAAAGAATCAAAAGTAGATGTAGTGATAAAAGTCAACAATTCTCTACTCCCTCCAACCAAAATTTACATTTCCAAAGATAATCGTTATTCTCATGTTTAAAGATTTCAGGTACAGAGAGAATTCAACTTAGAATACAGACAAGACTACCACAAGAGAATGTCATCCCCCACTTCAAAATGCTGAAGTCCTAACGGAGTTGGCAAACCAACCAGGTGAACTGAATTCTAAAGTACCACAAGCCATTCTGAAGAAAGATGGACACATAAAAACGGTTTCACCCTTGGCAAGGCAGAAGAGGGACAGGTAGCAACCATGTAACCAGGTAAGAAGACAACAAGTGGAATTGTAATGGATTCTTAAAGACTTTAGGTAAAGAGACTGTAAGACTTATTATGATAATTAGAAAATGATCCTTAGAATCCTTCCTAATAACAAAATATTTTTTTAAACAGAGGAGGAGCTAACAGTTAATGTGCATTTACTAGATTCCAAGCATGCTTTACTGAATCAAACTTCATAACCCAGCAAGAAAGGACGCTGGGATCCTTGTTTAACAAAGGAGAAAACCGCAGAGGTTCAGAGCGGAGCTTCGAACCCAGACGCCCTGACTACTGAGCCTGGCTCACGGTGAGGATCCTGCACAGTCTCCTCTCCTGTCCAGACATATCTTCCTAATGGAATTCAAACTGTTTAAGTAATTTCTTTTGTTCAGTTTTCACAGTGAACAAATTACAAACATCCTGCTGTTAATTATTCCCTTAGGTAGAATGCTAAGAAAGTCATGTTTAATATAAAGAACTTAACTAAGTCTTTTTACCTTGCAGGTAAGACTGCCATTACTTGGGTAATATATGACTCTAGCTTACACAGGGAAAGTAGAAAAGAAAACATAGAGAAAATTAGAATTGGGAAAGAACCCTTCTTAGTCTTTTGTTCCTCTAAGCTAAATAACGTTTTAAAAACTACAGGAATCTTAAGATTTACCTCACGCTGTGATGGAGCTAAGGAAAAACACACCCCCCTTCTATTTCAATAGAATCTCTTTTTTCATATTTCATATTCAAACACACTAATATACTACTGAATACAGATGTAGCTTATAGTCAAATGTAATTTCCAGTCCTTTTTGGCCCTTCTTGTGCACTGATCTTATAACTATGTTCTTCCCCCTTTGTATAATAAACACTTCCCAGTTTACAAAGTCATTTTGTATTCATCTGAAGCTTCCAAAGAGTACCAGAAATTACTTACTCTAATGTCATTTGTAGATACAAATATATATATAAATATATATAGTTCATCTGTCCTAGATAATGAGCTAGTAATTCTACTTGTAGAAATATGGTATATCCCTCTCACTGAAATGGGACATCAAGTGTGCTGAGTAAGATTAAATGAATAAATTAATCAGCCCTGGCTGATGTAGCTCAGTGGATTGAGCACCAGTCTGCAAACCAAAGCGTCATCAGTTCGATTCCAAGTCAGGGCACATGTCTGGGTTGCGAGCCAGATCCCCATGGAGGGGGGCGGGGCGTATGCGAGGCAACCACACACTGATGTTTTGCTCCCTCTCTTCCCCTCTGTCTAAAAATAAACAAAACTTAAAAAATAAAAAATAATAAAGTAAAATTAGTCAGGAAAATAAAATAATCCACATCAGTTGCAATCACAATGCAATTCTTAAAAACATGAGACATCTATCTGCAGGTAGCTAGTAATTTCAAGTCTTCAGTGGATACAACTCCCTGTATCAAACAGATGCACATGTACCAATTCAAACTTTTATTTTATATATATATATGGAGAGAGAGAGAGGGAGAGAGAGGGAGGAGCCATGATTAGAAGGAATGCAGAAAAAACATATTCCCATTTTAGCAAGCAAAATACTCTGTTACCAGGGCAAACTATTAGTGAAATATCTGTTCTAGAATTTGAAGACTGACTTTCCAGGTTGACAGGCTCTCTCTGAGGTCCTCGCTAGGACCTCACGTTCACCAGCTCATGAGTTCTCTGAGAACTAGAAATGCTCCCTAGCTCTCAGGCACGTACAGCCAACCCTACCACGAAAGTATCCCTCGTCTTTTAATTTAGACCTTCCTTCCTTTAAGACCTATATCAAAATGACTCTCCAAATTACTTTACAGGTCAAAACGTTATTCTCATCATAGTATTTTAAAGTTTTTCATGTGTATACTTTCGCCTCCATTAACTTGTGAGCTCCATCTTGCTTACTTTCCTCAAGGAGACAACAGCTTTTTTCTGTTAAAAATATTTTCTCTAATGACTTGCAATTTTAAGGGAGAGGATGTAATGTCAAGCTAAGGCAAGTACTTTCCTCTTAATCAAAGTAACAGAAAGGTAAGTTTATGTAGGCAAATCACAATATTGCACTTGAAAATATTTTCCATAGAACATCGGTCTAATGAATTCTGAACACTCCACCTAGTTATTCTCAGCCTAGTTTCAATCCAAATCAATTTGTGAACCGATCCCTTCTTTGCGCCAATTTCACCTACTTTTCAAGAACAAACTACAGGTGCGTGAATACATTTCTCTGTCAAGAGGTGGCATTTACTTTTCAAGCTAAGCACCAGGCATGAAAAATATCTCATACCTGGGCACGGGAGTTTTAATTCCTGTATAAAGTGAATCATTAAAATTAGAAGGTGTGTCATACAGCGTACTGATGTAATTTTTGTGATGACGCTGGCCTGTTTACTTGTTAATAAATCCTTCCCATTTGTATCGGGGTTGCAATTTACTCCCCTTCTCTTCCGCTGTTTTGCCGGGTCACGGTTATAGTGTAGTTCGCACAATGGGTTTCGCGTGGTCATCCTACCTGGAATATGGCACACTCTCTACTCTAACCGCCTCCAAACTCTTCTCTGGGGAGACAGGCTAAAAAGCAGCTCCCTTTTAGGAGGCGAGGCAACCGGACGCAGCGGGCAGAACGAAAGCAACAGAAGGGCTGTGCTGGCGGCCCTCGCGTTGCACGCTGTAAAGCCCTTTGCAAGCACAGTCACCTTATCTGTTCCGGTGCTGGCATTTATGAGCCTTGTCAAGGCTGCAAGGGGATGCGCCGCTTTCCCACTGCACCCAGCGAGAACCACTGCGGTTTCCTGCTCCCCTAATTAAACCACCGCCTCCCGTTCAAACTGCGCTTTAACATACAAAACGCTGTCACACGCGTCATTTGATTTGACCCTCCCTCCCAGCCTGTGAGATGAGCGCAGTGCCTCTTTCACAGACGACGACGAAAGGACCTAGTCCACAGACCCGGTCCTGTAAGGGCCGCGGCTTCCGGGCGCGGGGAAGAGCAGGTGCGACGCCCGCGGCTCGCAGCCTTTCACCTGGCGGGCGAACCGGATCACCGCCTGCGCTCGGGGGTTGCGGACGTGGGCCTTGCGGCGGAAGCGGCCGCCGCTCGAGGTTCTCGGGGTCCTCTCTCTTGCCACCGGCATTGGGCCCCGGACCCCAGACCCCGAAGTGTTTGACGCGCCACCCCACAGTCTCACCTTCCGATCTCGCCAGACAGCGTCTGGATGGACCGGGAAACTCCGCCTCCACCACAGTGGCCCAGGGTCTGGGACCCACGCTCCGAGGTGACAATGGTGGCGGTCACCAGAAGGCCTTCGGGCTCCCGGGAAAGGAAAGCCCTATCCCGGTCCAGCCGCTGACATGTCCAAGTCAGCCGAAGCACCGCCCGCTTCCGCTTCCCCGCCTACCCCGTGGGCGGGCCAGGCCCGCACCCGCGGGGGGTTGTGGGTATCTCGAAGGTTGGCTGAGCTGCCAGGAAAGGAAGTAGAGGAGAGGCAGGCGAACTACGAGGCGGGGCAGAAACTACATTTCCCAGCAGGTAGCGGGGCCGCAGGCGGGCAGCCGCGGAGATCAAGTAGAAGAGCCCCGCGCGCGCGGTGGGGATGGAACGTTGCTGGAGTTGGCGGGGCTGGTTCCTGGGGGCCTGAGCCTCACGCCCTTGGACCGCCGCGCGCCAAAGCGGGAATCTGGCTGGCGGGCAAGTCTGCAATTAATGCACGCATTTAAAATCCCAGAATCACTGGACGCCATGCACCGGTAAACCAATTACAAAAAGGGACAGAACATGAATGGGACCGTCTTAATTCATTTAGGCCACGATTATTGCTACTTGCTAAAATTGTTGCTAATGCTGTAATGTGAATGGTTTCTAAGCCCCTTTTGGGGAAAGCGTGGATGGATGGATGCTTAGTTCGGTAATCAGAGTGTGGTTTTATCTTTCTGTAGCGGAATCGCTGTGTGCTTTCTCTCAGTCTTTCCTTGTCTGTTCCCTCCACCTTAAGAAATGCTTGAGGCCTTCTCTATAATCAGGACCGTAAATCAATAAGCCTTTTGGATTTGTTCGATTATTTTTCCCTTCCATTCTTGGGAACTCGCGGCAGGCACGTAAAAAATGCAGTTCTGTTAGCTGCTGTGAAAGTTTTCTACATTGCATAACTTGCAGTTTTCTTTAGGCCTGCCAGTTATCTATGGGTGTGTTCCTCAAAGGAAAGGGGCTGTTGTGCATTTTTGCAGGAAACACCTCCAGGAGATACCCGACCAGTCTAGCAACGTTACGACTAGCTTCACATGGGGATGGGATTCTAGCAAGACTTCTGAACTGCTCTCAGGAATGGGGGTCTCTGCCCTAGAGAAGGAGGAGGTGGACAGTGAAAACATTCCCCAGGAACTGCTCTCAAACCTGGGCCTTCCTCAGAACAGCCCCCCACGAAAACGGCTGAAGAGCAAAGGGAATGACAAGGACTTTGTGATCATCCGCAGACCCAAGTTAAATCGAGAGAGCTTTCCAGGTAAGGTATGAGAGTAAATCTGTCAGTCACCAAGGACTGGGTTGAACTATTTTGTTGGTAAACCTTTGTTTGGGGATCTTTAGGGTGGGGCCCTTTAAAAAACGCCAAATCCTGAAGTTATTTTCTAAAGAAATGGAACAACTCATTGTCAATGAAGTCTATCAGCATCTTGGTAGGTATGTATCTCTTGGTGCACAATTGATTGTTAACCCATGTGACTTTTCAACCCATGAGAAGGCATTCCTGCCTTTTTGTTTAGAAGAGGAATCTGCCTGCTCAAAGGCCAGCTCAATGCCACCAATGAATGGGAACACAAGCGATGAACTTATAGGACTCTTTTTGTTTATATTCTGCTGTTTTACACCCCTGCTTGAGCTTCTTGCCATGATCACACTAGTCACTTGTTAAAGGACTGCTGAAGTGGATGATAAATTTGCTGGAGGAGACTTAAGCAGGTCCACTCCCAAATGGGATTCTTCTATTATGCTCAGTCCCCATTACTGCTAGCATTATCTGTTCAGTTGCCCAAAAACCTGAAGGTCAGTCATATTCCCACCATTCCCGAACATCCACCCAATGACTGAGTCATTCCTTCCTGTCTCCTAAATATTTTTCAAGCTTTCATTACCTCTTACCTGGATACTGGAATGGACTCATCATTCCAGCCTTATCTTCCCTGGACCCATCCCCCTGAGCTAGAAGGGACCGACTGAAATGTAGAACTCACCATATCATTACCCTTTTAATAGCTTTCCATTCCTATTCTCAAGCAGGTGAATAGGTGCCTCCCAGAGTGGGTCAGAACCACAAGAGTACTCGAAGCCATAAGATAGACATAGTGCATTGACCTGGGTTCATCAGTTTTTCTTGCTAGTAAGTCATTTAAGATTCAGCAAGTATTTGCTAAGCACATACTTTGTGCTTGACAATTGTTCTAAGCGCTGGGGAAACAGCAATGAGCAAAACAGAAACATTCCCACTAGAGGGAGGACACACTAAACATAATAAATATGGTATGCAGTATGTTAGAATGTGCTAAGTGCTACAGCTAACAACAAACTTTGTACAAACCAAGAGGGGTTGGAAATCCTGGAGTGGTGGGAAGAGGAATGAAAATTTTAAACAGCGTACTGATGGAAAGCCTCACTTGGACAGTGAGCTTTAAGGAAAGGCACAAAAGTGGGAAAGGAATGCACCATGCAAATATCCTGCAGAAGAGAGCCTTAAGCAGAGGGCGCGACCAGTGCAAAGACCCTGGGGCAGGAGCGTGTCATGTTTGTTGAAGAACAAGAAAGCCAAGTTCTAGGAGTAGAATGAACAAAGGGAGAGGGCTTGCTTGCTTGTTTTTCTTTTTAAAAAAAATCTGGGTTCTTTTTGGCTTTTGAACCTTTTTTAAGGAAAAAAATCTTTAAGTTATGGTCTGGAATCTACATCAGGGGTTGAGTTAGAAAGGCAGCAAAGGAGTATGGTGAAGTCAGACAAACCTGGGTTCAAGTCTCTGTCTTGCTGTTTCCTAGTGTTTTGGGCTCCCTGTGCCTTCGTTTCTTTGTGAAATGGACCCTCTTCATAGATACCCTCTTCAAATAATACCCTCTTCATAGATTGCTGTGGAGACTAAATGTGCCCTGGCAGGTGTGGCTCAGTGGGTTGGGTATCATCCAGCAAACTGAAAGGTCGCTGGTTTGATTCCCAGTCAGGGCACATGCCTGGGTTGTGGGCCAGGTCCCCAGTGTGAGAGACAACCATTTGATGTTTCTCTCTCTTTTGTTTTGCCTCCCTTCCCTTCTCTGTAAAAGTAAATAAATCTTTTAAAAAAGAGATTACATTTAAGAATGCCCGTGAAACTATTAGCATGCACTCTGCACATAACACTCAGTAATAAGTAAAGCTAATTCATTTGGTCAGCGACATTTCTGTCATCCATTTGGGAGGCTACTTCCCTTTTTCTTTTGTCCTTAATACTATTAGACTGACCCTGTTAGTGTCGGGGATTTTCTTCTTCAGAATTTAACGTCACTGCTCTGTTTGGTGTGTGGAATGTGGCACTAGCCATTTGGTGCTTGACCACCCAAATCGGTGAAAGACACGTTTGCTAAAGGAGCAGTGCTGATAGCTTTTCACACAGAGTGACTGCTGCGTGTGCTCCCACATGCACACACACGGGTGTAAATTACAGACATTTTTTAAGCAAGGCCCTCTGGAAACTGAACAAGATTCAGGGACGGTTGCTGGCTTCTAGGCGATCTCAAGCCCAGCTGAGGAGCAAAGACGAGACACAGGAAGAGGAGCTCACAGCAGAAGGTGGCAGCGAGCTGCCCAGTGTGTAGGAGGCCAGAGAAGGGCTGGATCGTTAAATCCGACCTTGGGTGTAGGTCTGAAGTGAGAAGGGGGAGGCAGGGAAGGAAGCAAGAGTACACATTGTGCATCTATGGACTCACCCACAGGATAGACGGGTTCGTTGGTGTGGGGGTGGGGTGGAGAGGGACATCAGTGATGCAGGGGGACGGCAGCTGGTGTGGAGGGTCCCCAGGGGGCCTCCAGGGGCCTGGGCCGCCAGCGTACTGGATCAGCATTCCGGGGAGTTTTGTGTGCTGTTGTCAGGACAGGTGGCCAACAGCTCTGCCAGGGCTAGGGCAGCACAGGCCACACCTGCTTTATGTAGAGCTCTGACGACAGTGGCCCCGGACTGTGAATTTTCCTTGGTTCTTCACTCTGCAGTCTCTCCCTGTAGGCCCTGAGCCAGGCTCACATCTGGCAACTGAATCCTCTTTATCTGTCTGCCCTGGAAGATAGAAACCATGCAACCACCCCAAACCAGGACAGGTCTGATTGGCCCTCGGGTTGAGCGTGTGGAAGGGGTTGGGGAGAAGTGGCCAGTTGCGAGGTCGTTAGCAGGCAGACAGGGGACAGCTGCATGGTATCTGTGGGCACTGAATGCCTGTCCTGGCCCCATCGTCCCCGCTTCCCCATCCAAACGGAGGACAGCCGTAAGGACAAGGTCGGAAGTGATTGTTGTCCTTCTCTTTCGTGGCTGTTAAAACTGCTTGAAATTCCAGACCCTGCACTGGTTCCCAGACTGGAGACTCCAAAGTTTAGAGTAGACTGATATCCCCAAGGGAACTTGTTCAAAGTGCGAAATTCCTGAGATTCCGACCCAAGAAGTCCCGCCTTGAACCTGGGAATCTGCTTAGTAGCCCCAGACATAGTTCTTCCTTTTCTTTTTCTTTTTCTTTTTTTGCCCAATAAGAAATATAGTTTACATTGCAATCCCGGGTGTGTGTCCGAAACAGAAATTTCACGGAACTGAATCCCCGTCACTGAGGTATTTCCTATCCCGGTCCATTCCATTCTTTCAGAAACGGCACTGGTCAAACTGGACCGATTTCGTAACTCACCCGCGAATCTCAGCCTGCAGCTCTCAAAACTCAGCTCCGGTAGAGCCTTTATGGGGCCCTCCCATGTGCTTTCTTTGCTCTGTAGCTTCCATTCATTCATTCCTTCATTCAGCACAGACTGGTTGAGCATCACTCTGGAGGTTAGGAATACAGCAGCGAACAGAGCAGGCCGAAGACCTGGCTCTCACAGAGCCTGTGTACTGGGCCTTGTTCTCCGGTCCCGGTCTCCGTGGTTTGTTGGTCTTCCTCCACTCCAGGGGTGAGCAAGTCTCCGAGAAATCTAGGAGTGTGGGGCAGATGGGATCATCGAAGACCCCTGGCTTTGTGTTGCTTTTTTCCGTGTTGCCCACCTACTCCCCTCCCCACCCCAAAACCCTAGAAACAAAAATCTGCGAGCTAGCATGGTCTAGTGCATTCTCTTTGCGATTTGTGGGAAGAGGAAGAAAAACTCATCTCAGAGGACAGAATCTGTTTGTTGCTCCCCAAAAAGGAAGCATGTGTTAGTACTAGTTACTTACAACGAGCAAGCAAAAGCAAACATGAGGTGAGCCCCCACCCTTAAAAATGCGCGTGCGCACAAACACACACACACACACACACACACACACACACACACACACAGTAGATCCGAACAGTGGGGCCTGCTTCTCCTTAAGGTAACACTTATCTCTGCTGAAAGAGAGGCGCAATTTTAAGAGGCACAGTTTTGTTTATGACTAAGGTGACCTCGGTGCTTTAAGTTGACTTTGGGCATGTATAGGCGATGTTCCGAGAAAGAAATGTTCCAAGTGAGAGGAGTTCCTTCTTATCCTGCAACGATCTAACACGTAGGAAACTCTTCACTGAGCCGCTCTGTCCCGAGGAGTTTGAGAGGCGTGGGCAGCCGTGAGGCCACAGGTGTGGGCGGCTGTGTTTGTCCCCCAGGTGAAAATGGTGGTGACCGCGGGTGATGACTAGCAGGTTTGTAAACTTGGTCTACTGCTCCCGTGTCGTTGAAGACTTCAGGCCTTGGGCTGAATGATTACTTCCCTTTCCGTGCAAGGCTGCTGTGCAGCCCTGGGGGGCCAGAGGGGGCCGGCCAAGGAAAGGCCTGTTCTGGACTTTCTCATCCGCTCTGGGCAAACAGACCAGGTCACAGCATGGTCAGGAATCCAGGAAACAGATGGCTGATGTTTTGAGAACTAAATAGGGCAAGTGAAATTAGGTTAAGCATATCACAGGCCTGGATGCCAGCCGCCAGAGCAGCTCTACGAAGACAGACGGCTGCCCCATCTGCTTGGACAGCAGCCAGGTTCGGGCCGGGAGACCCCACCCGGGGGCCTGAGAATCACTGTCATCCTGTGGTCAGCCCAGGGCGGGGGGCCCGGGTGCTTGGCTGCTCGTGCATTTTCCCGGCCATGGCTCCTTCCATCTGGTAGCCGTGACCCTGATATCCTTCAGCGTCTTCATTCTATGCCCTCTCCCCTCCGCCTCCCCCTCCCAGCCCTGGGTGGTGTCCTTTTTTCCCCATAGAAAGTCAGGTTTAATTCCCTCCTCACTACACTCGTGCAACATCGAGTACTCAGCGTGGAGAGAGCACGAATAGGAGCGCATCCCAGCGTGAAAAGAGGAGGGCGTGAGCTGGAGTCACACCTGGGTGGGAATTCCCACTGGGCCAGCAGCTGGCTGTGGGACTTCGTCCTTTTTGTCACAGTTGCATCTTCCTCTCAGGCCCTGTCCCCCACCTCAGAAGCTGCTCGTGTTCTCACAGGGGACATCTCCTTTGTGCCCTGAGTTGTCTTCGGCCTCATCCCTCCCAACGCCGACAGTGCCACACGGGTCCTTTGCAGGCGCTGTGTCCCCACCTGCAGCACCCTGCACCACCTGGCCAGCCTTCCCACGCCCACCTCTTTGGGCTCCACGCCTTCTCTTCGGGGCGTGGGGTTTGGAACAGACAGAACCACCTTTGACCTCTGGCTCTGCCCCCTAATGGTTGCTGGCACCTGGGTGAGGTTCGTTCGCCTCGCTGAGACAGGTTTCCTCCTCTATCGAATGTGCTGTGTTAGTGCCACTCAGCACACGGGGTTGCAGCTGAGGCTAGAGTCTGCGCTTGAATACAGACGAGAGGCTGACTTCTAGGGCTTTCCGGAAACGGCAGTTTTAAATGTTAGGTAACGTATTTGTTTATTTGTTCATCTCCCAGTGAGGCCATCGGGCGGGGACTGTACCTTCCACCCAGCTCCCCAGCACTGGAGCGTTCATTAGGCGCCCAGGAATGTTTCTTGAAGTAGAGCCATAGGCCGGCCAGCCTTGTCATTCCACAAATGGGGAAACCGGTTTTAATAGGCCAGCAGTGTGGTCGGCGTATCAGATGCAACCAGTATTCTTCTCTTGGCTCTTAGTCGTTTCTTTGGGAAATACCGGTTGAGCACTTTCCAACCGTCGTTGCCAGGCTCTGTCCTGGGCACTGGGCTGTAGCAGTGAGCTGGTTAACAGAGGGCACAGATTTAGCTCCCTCGCAGTTTGCGTGAGAGCGGAGTAGAAGGAATAATGCATTTAGCGAAGGTTTGGCGAATGCCTATCATGTGAGCTCCTATCCGAGCTTCTTCCCCGGTGCAGTAGCTCTCCCGCCGGCTGCCAGGCAGGGGTCAGGCACCAGGTGCCGGGATGGGCTTTGCAGATCACAGTAAGATGTCCACATTAGATTAGAAATAACTTACATGAGTAATTTTTTGCCAAATCAAATGCTAGAATCTGATGTACGGGTACAAGAGACAGCAGGGTCAGGGAGCTCGGAAGCATTCATGGGAGTAAAACTTGAGAAAAACTGGTCCGTCAACGTCCTTCCAATTAGGGGAGCAGAGCAGAAGCCTGGTTTGACGGGGGAGGAACTTTGTGGCAGTGACGAGGGTGGCTGCCGTACGGTGCAGTCTCCACCTGCCTCCCCGGGCCATGGTCAAGGGTCAGCATTGATGATCTGCCTTCATGCCTCACCCCTAGGACTCAGAGCCTTTAATTTTGTGCTCCAGAGAGAGGGGAACCGGCATTAATTGAGCAACAGCACACCTCCTAACTCATTCTTCAATAAAAGCCCCTTCCTCCAGGAAGGCTTCCCTGACCACTGCTACGTGCTCATATGCTGCAGAGCACCCTGAACCCTACCTGTTGCAGCCTGTCGTGATATGATGCTTCTTTGAAATTTCCTCCCTCATCCATGTGTCTCGAACTCAGAGCAGGCCATGCCTTGTGCATCTTTGTATCCCTAGAACAGACCCCAAAATGTCCTACATGTTCAATAAATATATGAGTGGATGGATGTTTCAGACATTGTGCTTGTTCTTAGAACTATGGAGATCTTTTTGTTTTTTAATGAGTTCTTGTTCTCAAGAACTTGTGGTCTAGTGAGGGACTAGAGAGATGAGTAAAGAAATAAATTGTAGAAAAGTGGCCAGTTTTTGGGTGCTGCCGTGGAGGCCTTCCGTAAGAGTGGGGCTTTCACAGCAACTTAGTTTTAAGTTACTAGCAGCCGCGGGTGGGTGCAACCTACACAGAGACAGGAGGTGTAACACAGAAGGACCCATTCCGAGAATCACAAAAGAACTCTAAATGGCTGGAACATCTTCCTAGATAATGAACCTAGAAAAATGTTTTGGGCTCTGACACAGAAGCTTTGAGCTTCATGCTATTCAGTGTAGACTTTAGGCTAACTATTAGGGGCCACCAATGAAGGGTTCTCATTGAGGGAAAGATCGAGAAGATTGCCCAGCAACACCGCTGGCAGGCAGCACCTGCCCTCAGGTCCCCCTCTCCCTCGTGTCCTTGCAGAGCCTGGTGCCGTGGCTGGACTTGTCCAGAAATACTCGCACCTCTTCAGTGGGGGCAGATGGGGGAGGAGGGCATTACATTAGGCTTCTCCAGAGACACAGAACAAGCAGGAGACAGGTGGGGATTTAGCCTAAGGAACTGGCTCACACAGTTAGGAGTCAGGAGGCTGAAAAGTCCACCTGAGCTCTGCAGTCCAGGGGGCCTGAGAACCAGCGCAGCTCAAGGCGGAAGTTCTGGTCCCTGGTCTGCAGGCAGGAGAAGACCCAGACCCCAGCAGAGAGAGCCCTTCTCCCTTCTTGAGCCTTTTCTAATCAGGCCCTGGATTGGGTGTGGCCTGCCTGCACTGGGGAAAGCCCTCTGCTGTCCTCAAGTCTGCGTATTCAGATGTTAATCTCACCCTGAAACAGCCTGCGGACACACCCGGAACACCCAGCATAGTGCTTCACCAGCTGTCTGGGCCTCCCTAGACCCAGCCTCGCTGGCACACAGTGCTACCCTCCACAGAGGGGAGAGGATAGCTGTGGGGCTGGAGCAGATCGGGGGAAGCTGGGAAGGGACAGGCCAGTGATTGAACGGTGCCGACACCTCCTAGTGCTTCTCTTCCTCGGCCATTGTCACATCCTCCTAATGGGTTTGTTCACATGTAAGCGTCGGCTCCTTGCTGGACAGCCATGAGACTGCTTTTACGGGACTGAGAAAACTGGTCTTCCTGTAGCTACCTGCTCCCTCCATTTTTATCTGAACACAGCTGCTAGAGTGATTTTTACAGACTTAGTCACTCCTGCCGTCAGAACCCTGCAGGGCTCCTCCTCCGCACGGTCAGAGTCAAAGCCAAAGACCTCGTCTCGCCTCAGGAAGCCCTGCACGACCTCGTCTTCTGCCCCTCCCCCACACGGGTGTTCTGCCCTCACAACAGGTGTGCTGTCCCTGGCACCCGGGACACACCCAGACCCTCATGGGCGACTCCCTACTTCCTTCCAGCCTCCGCCCACCTCCACCGTAGGGTAGGGTCCTCCCTGACCGCTGTGCTCGGACTTTCAGCACCCACCTGGGCTGCCCGTCCTCGCCTGGACCCTGCTTAGTCTTTCTGCACGGCACTCATCAGTTTTCACCTGTCGTGTCATTTCCTTTTGTTTACGTGTGAGTGTCCACTTCCTGCCACAGTCGCGCACGCTCCGTGAGGGTGAGGCAGCTTGTCTGCCCTGTGTGCTGCTTTCCCCCTGAAACGACCCCCGCTCAGTAGATACTTGTTGGTTAATGGGGGAGAGCACCCTTTGATGTTACACTTTTTAGGTAAAATGGACCTCTGAGTGCTTTCTGTCGACCTGAAAGAAGAGGGAAGAAGGTTCACCTGCCTTTTACACAAGGTCACCACTGGGTCGACGCTCCCTGGAGTCCTTAGCGCCCCTTGGGGACCAGGAGCACCGCGGGGCCGCAGCCCTGCGTGCAGCGTCTGCAAGGCGTGCGGACTCGCCGCGGCTGGTTTAGACTTGGCCGCAACGGAGGACGTGCCGAGAAGACTGCTCAGGGTTTTTTCCCTCTTCTTCTTTGCTGAGAAATGTGGGCCGCACTCCAGGGCACCTGCGCGGCAGGGACAGGAAAGCAGTTGTGAGGATGAGTCATCTGATCGGCGTGAAGTTCCTGTCTGCGGCCGAACAGGAGTGTCCTCCGCAGGCGTCAGGAGTCAGCAGACTCGGCGGTGCAAGCGCGGTGACTGGGAAACACTTTTCTCTTTCCTCCAAGGTGTTTCCTGGGACTCCCTGCCAGACGAGCTTCTGCTAGGCATCTTCTCCTGCCTCTGCCTCCCCGACCTCCTCAAAGTCTCCAGCGTTTCTAAGAGGTGGTATCACCTGGCGTAAGTATTTCTCACCCCGTTTGGCATGTGGGGGAGGAGGGGGAGGGAGAGTTATTTATTTATTCATTTGGGTCTGATGAAACTAAAGCCAAGAAAAATACAGTAGCACAAAGCAAAGTAAGGATCTTCATATTTCTCTTGACTACTTAGAGTCTTATTTCACCGTGAACGGGAGGAGTCTCCTGGAGGTGAAAAGTCACCGTTGCTGAGAAGCTCTTTGCCCTGGTTCGCTATAGCCCACGTTTTACAGGGCCCTGGTCTGTGGAGGGAGTCACACGGGAGGCCCAGCCGGTCCTCCCCCCGGGAGCACAGAGTGCAGGGGAAAGGACCTGGGGCCCCGGTGTTAGAAGGAGTGTGGACCCAGCCCCTGCCACTGCAGCTCTGTGTGACCCCAGGGAGGTCCTTGACGCTTCTGAGCCTCACCCCACCCCTTCCCCCTGTCCATAGAGTGGGAACAATGGTACCTTCGGGACAGGGCAGTTGTGAGGATGCACAACGAGGATGACGCTGCCTGTGCAGTGCCTGGCTCTGCGGGTGTTCAGCACGAGGCAGCCAACCGTTGTTGGTGTTTCGTTGGTTTGGGGGACAACACCTTTCAGGTGTGGACAGGAGCTGCGTATGGAAAGGCTCAGTGAGCTGGAAAGGCAGTAACAGGCCAGAAGCGGTGAAAAGACTTGTTTGTTTTTTTCAGTTTGAGCATTTCTTCCATCTCCTTCCCTGCTCATCCCCACCCAGCCCCTGGCTGTCTACCCTCTCCTTCCCCATTTCAGGGACTCTCGCTGGGAGACAGGAGGACCCCCTTCCTTTCCGTTCAGGGGTGTGCCGGCAGTGAGACGCCCCTAGTAGCTACGGTTTCACTCATCCCACCCAAGTGACCCCGTCTTAATTATCTTCTTCCTCCAGCTGCCCTCGCCACACGGAGTCTGTTGCTCTTTATCTCTGTTGTCATAAAGTAATAGCGGGCGGGTATGCAGCACTGCTTAAGTGCCCGGCACTGCAGTCCTGCCTTCTTACAACAGGGGCCAGGTAGCATGCTGGCAGTTTCTTTATGCAGCCCGAGCCAGTGGTCTGCTGACTTAAAGCCGTGTTAAAAAAATAAAATTCCCTGACTGGCGTAGTTCAGTGGATTGAGCACGGGCTGCAAACTAGGCATTGCAGGTTCGATTCCCAGTCAGGGCACATGCCTGGGTTGCAGGCCACGGCCCCCAGCAACCGCACATTGATGTCTCTCTCTCTCTCTCTCTCTTTCTCCTTCCCTTCCCTCTCTAAAAAAATAAATAAAATCTTTAAAAATAAAAAATAAAAAAAATAAAATTCTGGTAGGCATTTAAAATGTTCCCTCATGTGCTAGGTCTCTGTTTTCTTGTCGAATTGAATTCATCTGGTTGTTAAAGCTCCCTCGTTGTGTGTTCAGTACTGGCTCCTCCTTTTGGCTTTAGAAACACTGTCCAAAACCTAAGTGATGTTTTCCCCTTGTCCGTTCACGTTAGTTCATATGTGCGCATGTATTTCTGTGCATCTGTGGGTGTGTGTGTTCAAGCTTGAAGGGTGTCACCCAGCAGAGTTGGACTGTAACTTCTTTTTCCTAGTAGATGTCCAGGAGGCGTATCTCATAATAAAGTAGTGCCAACTTTCCTACTTTTAGTTACATTTGCATGTTATTGAGGGTAATCACGGAAACCCATTTATGCTTAACAGAAATGGCAAGTGGGGTCACTGGGGCCACGTAAACCTACTCACCTCGTCAGGAATCCATTGAGCCATTTGAGCAATCATTTTTAAAGTTACCAAATGGCATCAAGCGCTGGGATTTAGTGTCCGAGTCCACATGCTGGCCGTGCTGATGACAGGCTCGAGCCACCCAAATCAGAAATCCGTAGAAAGAGGATCCTGGAAGCTTAGGCACGACAGAGCCAGGACATGTTCGCTGGTGCCTTCAAACTGCCCCAGCTGATCCACTGTCACCTGAGAAACAAAGGTGTCTTCAGTATTTGCTTCCAGGGATTCAGTGGCTGCGTCCGCCTTGTCAGTGACAGCCTCAACGGCCTCCAGTGTCCGGTCCCCCTGCCTCACCAAGTCGAGCCCCGCTGTTTTCCAGGTTTGACGAGTCTCTCTGGCAGACCTTGGACCTCACAGGGAAAAACCTGCACCCAGATGTGATCGGGCGGCTGCTGTCTCGAGGGGTGGTTGCCTTCTGCTGCCCGAGGTCATTTGTGGACCAACAACCAGTTGTTGAACATTTCAGGTAAAAAAGAAAAATTCTGGGGAAAAGCTGTTTCTAAATCTTGCAGTGGAAACAGATCCAAGTGGGTTTTTTTCCCCCTTTTGCCCAGCCTGACACAGCCTGGGACAGGCTGTGACTGTGCAGCGGGGGTGGGGCTGCATCTTTGCTCTGTGGTCCCAGGGTCTCCACGACCCCTCCCCTCTAACTCAGGGTGGCCGAAGGCAGGTGTCCTCTGCTGCCCCCCACCGCCCCTGTCAGAGAAGGAAACGGGCGTGTGAGGAATCTTTGCTGGGGAGCTCTCGCTTTCTGGTCCGTCACGGACGACGGGCCGCCTGGAGAAGTGTCCCCTTTTTGTTCGCTCTGTAGAATAGTGGGAGAAGCTGTTTCCCTTGCTGAGTGCAGTAACAGGGCGTAGTGCTTCCTTGTGCAGTCCCCCACCAGAGCCACTAGGCACTGAACGGAAGGATGCGCTGCAGACAGAAGAAGGAAGGACGACGCGTGCGTCCTGATCCAAGCGTTTTCCCGCTTCTCTCCGTGGCCCGGGCTGGTTTCCATCCTTCTGCTGTGGCTGCATCTTCTCGTCTCCTTCGCGTTTCCTTGGGTCACTCCGGGGTCTGTCCCCAGCTGCCCTCTTTCTCGGTCCTCACACTGGCCTGGGACAAGCTGTGTCCTGGGCGCCCACCCGATGCTGGGACCCTCCGGTCCTCATTTGCAGCTCAGCTCTTTCCTTCACACAAACCCCCATGCCGGTGACCCAGAGACTTCGACACTTAGACTTCCTCCAGGCCCCTCGAGGTCAGCATATCTGGCAGGAACTCAGCCCCCTTTACGACTTGCTGGTCGTCATCTTCCCTGTTTGGGGGAAATGTCGAGGCCGGCCACACCCCCGCGCCAGTCCTCGCCAGCGGTCGTCATAGGCATGAGCTCCACACGCACATCCAGCTCCTTCTCGCCGCGCCCACTGATTAATTTTTAAGCGGGACTCTGTTGCCAGCAACTTCTTGACTTGGCAAAAATCCTCTGGGGCTTTAAAGTGAATGAGAATGGGAATTATCCAGGAGCAATTCCTTTTATGGCAGAAACTATAGGGACTTTCTGAAACGCGCATTGAGCGTCTAGTTGGTGATTGGCTGCTCGTTTGGGGAGGAGGCAGGTCGGGTTTGACCTTGATGGACGGGCTGCCTTGCAAGCCTCTCTTCTTCTCTCCTGGGTCCAGCCCTTTCCGTGTGCAGCACCTGGACCTGTCGAACTCGGTCATCGGTGTGTCCACCCTGCACAGCATCCTGTCCCCGTGCTCCAAGTTGCAGAACCTAAGCCTGGAAGGCCTACAGCTTTCGGATCCCATTGTCGAGTGAGTGAGTGGCAACCAGGAGCCCGTCACGGAGGCCGGTGTTCTGACGTGTGTTCATTTTGCTTCCTGAGCATAACTGGGGTGCCCTGCTGTCCACGTCCAGGCGGACTCAGAAAATAGCCAGTGCATTGCATTAGCTTCCGAAACTCCGGGACTCGTCTAGGCAACCCAAGCGTTGCCTGCTAGCTGTAGGCAGCCTGATGCTAGGTGCTAGAGCCGCACACTGAATAAAGGCACGTTCCCTGCCTGGTGCTGGGAGAAACGGGTGGTTACAGTGCAGTGTGTTTGTCCATTTTATCAGTAACTATGTGGCAGCACACAGCGAGACCTAATCAGATGTAGGGAGGGCCGCCTTCCTGGAGGAAGTGACTTGGGATTACGGTCTAGATAAAGCTGCCGGTGGCTGTATACTGGTGAGGAAGTGGGAATTGCAGGAGCACAGGGCTCGGGCGCGGGGAGGTGGGATAGCAGGTGCGGATGTCCGGGATCAGATCACAGGGGCCCCACCGTACTGAGAGAAGTGTGAACTGCACTGCAGGCTGTAGAGGAAGTGTGGTGGAGGGTGAGCTTCTGAGAACGGAAGGAACACGGAACCCGGCCGAGCTGAAATTAGAAAGTCAGCTCACTGAGCACCCCGGAGAGTCAACCAGACATGGGAGGAAGAGATCAGGTGGGATGTGGTTGTGTCCACTCAGGTGGGAGACGAGGAGACCAGACGTGGGAAGTAGAATAGTAATAACAGCAATGATAGCAGCTGCCATTCACTGAGCGCTTACTTTGTGCCGGATACTGAGTTCTTTAAAGGTCGCCTCATTTAATTCGCACAATAGTCCAACACAATGGGTTCTTGTTCCCATTTTACAGATGTGGAATCTGAGGCACGGGCTGAATATCTTGTCCAAGGTCACACAGTTTGTAGGTGGCAGAACCAAGGTTTGAACCTGGCAGGGGTGATTCCAGAACTCTTGCACTTGATCACTAAGCCTCACTAACGTGAGGCATTTGGGAATGTGGAGCAGAAGGCAAGTCTGAGCGACATTCCACTGAAGGAACACTGTGACTACAAGTAGAACTTTGCCTACAAGTTAATTCCTGTTATATGTGGAATGGAAATATGTTTATGCTGTTGCTTTAAAAAAAAAACCTTAAAAAGTACATTGAAGAATGTTTCTTGTGCATTTACTCTGTGCCAGGCGCTGTGTTAAACTCTTTATTACGTTGTATCATTTCATTTCAACCGCGGCACCAAGAAGGTACTGATCCTGCCATTTCACAGATGAGTAAACTAAGGCAGAGAGAGCATCCTGCTCGGTGTCGTACACACAGGGAGATGTGGATTTACTTATTTTATTTGAATGGTTAAATTACATTTGTTGGGGTGGCACGGATACGGTGTCTGTGTATTGCATCGTGCTTTCGCCGCCCAGAGTCGGATCTCCGTGAGACGTGAGCCTCGCTGCTGACTCGGAGGAAGCCTGTCGTTGCTCACCTGCCTCACTAGCCTGCTTCCCTCAGAACGCTTGCTGATCGAGCAAGAGTCTCTTACTATTACCCTTTCGACATTTTTCTCTTTTCCCAGTAACCTTGCACAGAACTCAAATTTAGTCCGACTGAACCTTTCTGGGTGTTCTGGATTCTCCGAATCTGCCCTGAAGACTTTGCTGAGTAGCTGTTCCAGGTGGGAAAGATTTGACGCTTGATTACAGAACTGTCGTTTCAGCTGTGCAGTTGAACTCACATCTGGATAGAAGTGGGGAATTTTTTTTGAGTTATTCCTAACTCCGAGCTCTTGATTTGGATAATGCAGTACCTTTGCCCTCTCAACTTTTTGTCCAAACTCAGGAGCCAAATCCAAGGAGTTTGCAAAGGATGATTGTGTAGTGAGCCCTTTTTTCTTGTTTCTGCTTTAAAAGGGAAAATGTAGTCGTTTGTTTATCCACAGTATGGTTGAAAGAAATCTGTTTTACCTGACTATACAGTCAGGGTTTTTTCCCCTTTGATACCTGTAGACATAAAACTTAACAGTTTTTTAGTAAATTTTGTACACTTGAAATCTACACCGTGAATTTGGGTGATTCCATTAAAAACATCATTTATATTATGTTAATAATGTCAGTGTGAACAGAGGGTGCAGAGATTGCTGAGAGGGGACATGAGTCACCACACACAGTGCCGTGTGTGTGTGTGTGTGTGTGAGAATATCCCTGGGCCTCTGCGTGTGTCCCACACTGCATTGCACCTCTGTCTCCTTAAGGATCTATCTGTTGACAGTCGATTGCCTTTGGGTAAGAATGTTATCAATGAGATAAACTACCAGCCCTGCATTTTCTCAGGAATGCCGGGGAACGGGGTGTGTGGTTTGACGGTGGGGTCTTTTCTTTGAATGTTTCCTTTGCTAAGAGTCCAAATAGGACAAGGCAGGCGTCTCTTTACCAGGGAACAGGGATGTCAAACTCATGTTCACCAGGGGCCACATCAGCTTGGTAGTGGCCTTCAAAGGGCCGAATGTGATTTTAGGACTGTGTAAATGTAACTACTCCTTAACTACCAGCAGGGAGCTTGGTGCTGCTGCCAGGTAGAAACAAGGTATTGGGCAGATAAAACAAGGTGGAGAGCCAGATTCAGCTCATGGGCCTTGTGTGCCACCTGTGGAAAACATCTCAGATGACTGTTCAGTCTGTGTAGTTGTTGTCTAACAACCTGGGTGGCTGAGAAAAAAAACAGGCTGGAATTTCTATTTCCAGTTCTGGAATGAGGTTTGAGCTGGCAGGAAGGGAGGAGAGTGCGCCCCTTTGTTTCCACAAGGGGGCAGCATTCACTCAGGCCTTGGTTCAGACCCCCCTGGCCACCGTCCTGGGCCAACTGGAGCAGGGGAGGTTGTCAAGAGGAAGCTGGGGAGAGGGGCACACTTGTGGGTGAGCAAAGGGGGCTGCTGAGAGAGGCAGATGGTAAGGAGTGCCTGGCTCTGTACATGCTTTGCAGCCAGAGGCAGGGCTGCCTGGAGACTCGCTCCTGTGTGACGGTCTCGTGCTGTCCTTGTTGCCCCTCTGGTGCGCAGGTTGGACCAGCTGAACCTCTCCTGGTGCTTCGACTTCACTGAAAAGCACGTGCAAGCGGCCGTCGCGCACGTGTCGGAGACCGTCACCCAGCTGAATCTCAGCGGCTACCGGAAGAACCTCCAGAGAGCAGGTAAGAGCGCGGCTGGCGGGCCCTGGACGGCAGTGAGCTGCTTCTGGGAGTCTCCCCTAAGGACAGCCCTGCCTGAGCCGTCTCTCAGCCCGGCGCCCGCGTTTTTTCCCGTTTTCCCAAAGAGGCAGCAACGGATCAGAAGGGCTCCCCAAAGGCAATCAGCTAGCACCAAGGTTTGGATCCAGAGTCTAGGAGTGGAAATCTTCTATACTTTCACACTATTTACTTACTTACTTATTTATTAATTTATTATTTTAATCCTCACCCAAAGATATGTTTATTGATTTGAGAGAGAGGGAGAGAAAGATTGGTGTGAGAGAGAAATACCGATTTCTTGCCTCCCAAACACGCCCTGACCAGGGATCGAACCCGCCACCTGTTTGGTGTCCAGGATTGTGCTCCAACCAACCGAGCCACCTGGCCAGGGCCAGACAGTTTATTTTTTAAAACAGAAGAATTCTTTTAATCGACTAGACTTTTAGTTGAACTCCAACGTAACTCCAATATAAAAATAGATAAATGCAGCCTTTGATTAGTATTTAGCAGTGGTTTCAACCAGGGATCATTTATCCCGCCAGGGGACACCTGGCCAGGTCTGGAGACATGTCTGATGGCCGTGGCTGTGGGGGTGCTCCTGGCATCCAGTGAACAGAAGTCAGGCGTGTACAGAGCCTCAGAACAACGCACAGGGAATAATCTGGTCCAAAATGTCGAGGGTGCCAAGGTTGGGAAACCCTTTTATAAGTTGCTCAGAAGCCCACACTTAGAACTTTTACTTGAGAGTTCAGTCTAAGGGCAGGAGGTTGTTTGGAGGGACACAGGCATTTGAAATCAGGGGCAATGCATGACGGTCACAGTCTTCATGAGCCTCAGCTTCCAGCTACCGTTTGGTCTGCTTGTCTGAATACAGAGAAAATCTTGACTTGCAAAGGTGTTTGCAAATGGCAAGATTTTCTTTAACAGCTTCACCTTGCGACCTGGGGCCGTGAGCCGCACAGAACCCGGCGGAGCTCACTTGCTTCAGCCCCGTCATGGTGTCTTGATGCTGCTGTTGGCTCATCTAAGCGCTCTGTTATTACAGTTCTTATCATACTTGGAAAGATTTGAGTCACAGGTTTGCAGAATATACTTGTCTAGAAATGGAGCAGTATTTGAAAACTCTTGTCCCAGGACGTGATCTGCCCTCCGGTAAGATCCATCAGGGTGCAGACAGTGAGAGCTGGGTTCTCGTGAGTGGCCCGGATGTGAGTCCCTTTCCCGTGCCTGGGTCCAGGTGCCCGCGTTTTCAGACAGCGGGGACATTGTCTTTAGAGACTTGTGAAAGCAGCAGGGACATCTTTCCCACCGCTCCCCTGCACAGACCGTGTTTCTCTGTTCTACTTCTTTCCCCTTTAAACACTGTTTTCTATCTGATTACAGTATGTATATAGTCATTCTGAAAATACGGATAAACACAAAAACAATCCGTAATCTCACCAACATATTTTTCCTGTAGACGAGTTATTTATTTATTTGTTTGTTTATTTATTTATTTTTGGAGGGGGAAGGGAGGGAGAAAGAGAGGGGAAGAGACATCGATGTGCGAGAGAAACATCCATCAGTTTGCACACCCCAACTGGGGACCAAACCCACAACCCAGGCATGTGCCCTGACCGGGAATCGAACCGGTGACGTTTCACTTTGCAGGAGGACACCCAACCACCTGAGCCACATCAGTCAGGACGAGAGTGGTTTTTAGAATGGGACCCAGTGTATTGAATACTTGGTCATATGCTTTTTTCCCAGATCACCTTCTTTTCAGGGGCTGCACCACATCATTTTCAGTGGCTGTATGAGGCTCCGCCCAACAGACGTGGGGTCATTTGTGTTGGCTCGATAACAGTGTACTCAGTTGACCTCCTTGTAATGGACTTTTGGAGTCTCCAGTTTTTTTTCCTTTTATAAACAGCTTTGTCATGGAGAGGAACAGTTCATGGAGTGTACTCCAAAGGATGCAGTCTTAAAAGTGGAATTGCTAAGTGAAGGGTGAAGCTTTGTTCTCAAGCTTTGGATAGTTCTTGTCAAATTACCTCCCGGGGGTGGCGGGGGAGGCGTTTAAACTCCAGTGGGCAAGCGCCCTGTGCACCTGTAGCCCCGCCCCCAGTCCTTGTGCTGCCAGTCCTTCCCCCAGTCCTTCCCCCAGTCCTTCCCTGTCCGTCCCCAGGAGAGGAGAGGAGAGGAGAGCACAGTGCCTGTTCGCGTTTCCTTCTCCTGTCTGCATTTCCCATCCCTTCACTGGGAATTTTTCTGAAATGAACCAATTGCAAGTTCGAAGAGCTCTGCTGTGGGCAAACTGCTGTTAATTTTGTTTGGCTTAATCCTTTCTCTTTGTTCCTCTGAAGAAGAATAGCTGGCCTGTGTACTGAGTTTTGGCAGCAATAATAGGTAATAAAATCCCGCTTGCTGAGCACAGTCAGGGCTACGGCAAAGATGCAGAATAATATTGAAGTGTCAGGTTTCTTAATTATACAGTGGGAATCAGATTTTTTAATGCATGTCCTAACAATAGCATAGTGCTTCACTGTATAGAAGGCACAGACTTTATTTTAGCTCCTAGACTAGCACCAGATTGCCTGGGTTCAAGTACCCACTCTGCCGCTTACTGGCTTCCTTAAACAAGTTGCCTAACTTCCCTCTGCCTCTGTTTAGCGATCGATAACTCGGAGGTAACAGTGCAATCCCCCTCTCAGAGTCACATGAGGTGTGCTAAACTGCTCTTGGTACACAGTGAAAACTCAGTAGTCATTGGCTGTCATCGCCACCCCCACCCACTTATCACTGCCCCCCCCACCCCCACCCCTTTTGGGACAGTAGGTAAGTGCTGGAGGAGGCCTGGGTAGACCTGGCTTTTGGTCTTGTACTTGACCTTGACTGAAATTGTCTTCCTGTAAAATGACAGATCCGATTCGGTGGTTTCTCAGGTCCCTCCCCCTCGAGTGGATGTCCAGTTTGTGGTGCAGTGAAGGGGACAGTGAGGAGGGAATCCCAGCAGTGACTGAGGGTCACTAACCCCCCACCCCGCCCCCCATCACCAAGGGAGGGCGGGGCTTAAAGCAGGGCTGGAGATGGAGACTAATTAATGAGTTTTATCCCCCAAGGGTTCCTTCTTTCCTAGGTGCTGCCAAAATACGATTGCATCTGATTTGGGATGTTATGGGTGGCTGGTTGGCCAGCTCAATGACCAGTCACTCAAAATTGTATCGTGCACTTCCTTCGTTTCTTTTTAGTCATTCATTAAACTAGTGTTTATTGAGCACGTACAAAGCCTGTCCCAGGCTTGGGAGACGTGGCCTTGAACTCAACAAATGAAGTCACCGCTGCAGGAGTCCCTTCTAGTGGGGGGGCCAGACAGTCAACAGAGAACTGAACATTGTGAAAGATGACGAAAATGCGAGGCGGGAAATACAGCTGAGTCATCCATCAGGTGCACACAGCAGGAAGGGCCTGTTTCTGGATGGACCCGTCGAAGTGAGGAGCGCTCTGTGGAAGTGACACTCGAGAGCAGAGACCTGCAGGAGTGGGCTGCACAGATATGGGAGGGAGTGAGGGAAGAACATTCTAGAACTAGGGACCAGCAAGTGTAGACCCTTGCTGTGGGAGCCAGTGCGGAACAAGGAGTAAGGAAGGCAGTGGTAGGAGATGAGAAAACCGAGGGCGGTACAAACCAAGGAAGAGCTTTGTGCAGATTTTTTTCTGAGTGAGGTAGGAGACCATCAGAGCAGGGAATAGTATCTGACTCACACTTTACAAGTCATGTTCTGCTGCTGTGGTGAGGGGAGGCCGCAGGAGGCTAGAGTGGTAACATTCAAGGTGCTAAGAAATGATCAGACCTGTGTCTGACCTGTGTGGCTCAGTTGGTTGGGTTTCGTTCTGTAAACCCAGAGGTTGCCGGTTTGATTCCCCGTCCGGGCACAGGCTGGGGTTGTGGGTTCGGTCTTCAGTGGAGGCGCCCACGAGGGGCAACTGATTAATGTTTCTGTCTCACGTCAAAGTTTATCTCCCTCTCTTTGTCCCTCCCTCTTTCTCTAAAAATAAATAAATAAAACCTTTTTTAAAGGAAAAGAAAATTAACTGTATTCCGGCCCTGGTCGGTGTGGTTCAGTTGGCCAGAGCGTCAGTCATCCAGTAACCACAATGTCGTGGGTTCGATTCCCTGTCTGGGCGCTTATGATCCTCGGTCGAGGCCTGCACCCGAGGCAGCCAATCCATGCTTCTCTCTTGCACGCGTGTTTCTCTCTCTCTAAAACCAATGGGAAAATGTCAGGTAAGGATTTTTAGAACAAAGAAGATCGGATTTGGGGCACACTTTGAAAGCGAACAAAACAAGATTTAGCAACAGATTCAATGTAAGATGTGAGAAAAACAGTCATATGACTCCCAGGATTTTGAACTAAGCAACCGGCTCAGCGCAGTTACCACTTACTGAGATGGGAGAGACTTAGGGAAGGAGCAGATCTAGAAGGGAAATCAGGTGTTTGGCTTTAGGCATAGATTTAAGGTGCCTATTAATTATCTATCCCAGTGGGGATGTTGAGGAGATGGTTGAAAATTCAAGCCCAGGGTTTAGGGGAGGGGAGGGGCTGAAGATAGAGCTGTGAAAAGAGAAAAACCCTCAAACATTAATGAAGTTTTTTGTTTGTTTTGTTTTCTGTATTGGTTTGGGGTACACAGCTTAGTGGTCAGATAGTTATGCACCTTGCCTAGTGTTCCCCTCGATATTTCCGGTTCCCCAAGCTATACTCAGTTACAGTGTTACACTGACTGCATCTCCCATGCTGTATTTTCCATCCTTGGGACTGTTCTGCACCTGCCAGTTTGTGCTGCTTCGTCTCCAGCTCTTTCACCCCCGCCCCCCAGCCCCTCCCCTCTGGCAGCCCCCGGCTCTCTCTCTCTGTGTCTGTGAGTCTGTTTCAGGTTTGTTTAATGTGTGTGGCAGGCATTTATTTCCAGTGTTCCGACACTTCATTGATTCTGTTTTTATCTTGCTTTAACATGGTATGGTTTTAAAATTTTCCTGTACTAGATTAGCAGTGTTGCTTTTTATCGGTGTTTTTTTTTAATGTTTAGAAACGCCTTATCTATCCTAAGATCCAGTGAGTACCCAAATTTCTGCATTTAGAACTTTTTAGTATGTGTGGAATTTATTTGGTTCTATTAAGTTGCAGAAATGGATTTTTTTCTGGTTGTAGTAGCAGTATTTTTTTTTAATCTGTTCTCTCCCTCGTGGAGCTGACGTGCCGCCTTCACGTGTGGTGTTTGGCTCCACAGCCACGCCCTGTTAGGTGATTCATGCTCTGGCGAGCATCACAGAGGGATGGTGTCGCCCGCTGCGTGCCTGGGCTGTGCGGTGCAGCCTGGGGCTCGTTGCTCCTGGGCTGCAAGCCTCCGCGGCACGTCCCTGCACAACACAACTCGAGACTCAATCGGAACAAGAGAAGTGACGCAGTCCCGAGGCTCAGCAAGCACGCGGTGTGTAAGGCTGACGCCTGCGTTACACGACATGCTGTTCCCCTGCAAACTTTGTCTTACAAGGAGAAAGAGCGCGCTGTGAAATAACACAAAGTGTAGAATAGTAAATACGTGAGCCACGTCATCATCATCGGTATTGCGTACTGTGCGTAAGTGCACGCGCTGTGCCTCCACCGCACGGCCGGCGGCGCGCAGGTCTGTTTGCGCCTGCACCACCGCAGACACAGGAGCAGAGCCATTTGCGTGGGCGGTCACGATGACTATGTCGTGACTGCTGGGAAACTGTCACCTCCCTTATAATCTGTGGGACCTTCATCGTGGATGTGGTCCGCCTTTGAAACATCATGTGGCCGGGACTGGAGATGGTGGTGTGTGGTTTTGCCTTTGCTGTTCTGAATGGCATTCTTCCAGGCTTTGGGGACACACGGATAATAGCTGTGGATTGTTGATAACCACTTGTTTTGCACAGTTCGCCTACTATTTCCAGTAGCTTTTGAGTGGCTCGCTTGGGTTTTTAGGGGAGAAAAATCTTACGTGCCAAGATGACAATTTTGTTTTTCTTTCTGACAGTGTGTGTTTGACGGCATTGCCCGAACTTCTGGCACAGCGGTAAAGGATGGTGTTGAAAGCGGACATCCTTGTCTTGTTCCTATAGAGTAACCGTCATTTTTTTTTCTAGATCTCTCTACCTTAATTAGAAGATGCCCCAGTCTTGTCCACCTAGACTTAAGGTATGTTTGCATTCATTTATTTTAGAAAAAAAAGTGAAAAATCATGATTACTCCTTGAGTGGGAAGAGGATCCTCATGTGTCGCAGTGAAGGAACTCAGCGGCAGGCTGCTGCCCCCGCCCCTCCGGACAGGACGGGCGGGCGCTGACCCTCTCTTTGCTCTGTTGCAGTGACAGCGTCATGCTGAACCACGACTGCTTTCCCGAGTTTCACCAGCTCAACTACCTCCAGCACCTGTCGCTCAGTCGCTGCTATGACATCATCCCTGAAACTTTACTGTGAGTATCTGTGTCTTTCAAAGCTACTGGGATGCAGGGATCACAAGAGATGCCACTGAGGGTGAAATCCGTTGTTATGAACGGCAGATGTTTAAAACGTAAACATTGATATCGGTGTGCCACGGGCCGGTTAGGAAAGACCAACAAAATAGAAGAACCAAGGCAACACGGTTCGCTTAAAATGCCTGGTGACGGTGAGTTCACCGAAAGAAATTCGCTCCCATTTCTTGTTTCGCTGTGAGCAGGTCGCAGTGTTAGCACACTGTGCTAGCGTCTGGCGGACGTGCTGCGGAGGAGGGTGGCCTTCACGTCCAGGGAGCTCGGGGTGTAACTGGAGAGCAGACCCAGTGGGGTGGCTTTTGTTGTTTGTTTTCCCCCAAAGTTTTCAAATCCACTCCTGATTCCAAAAGCCTTCATCTGAGCTAGAGGGAAAATTCCGTCATCCTTTAGTGATGTCTGTCCTGGGTGGTCCAAGAGGGGGAAGAATAGAAATAGGTAAGTGGTAAATATTGTAAGAGTCTGCTGCTCTCTTTGCAAACCGGGAAGGTTGAGGTCCCGAAGAAGCAAGTAACTTAACCCAAGCTGCATGGCAAGTCAATGGCTCAGCTGGGTCTGCAGCCCAGGTCTCCCGGACAGATGGCAAATGGTCTGCGTCCAGTCTGGTGGCTCTTAGAAGGGTTCGTTCCGCACCGGCTCAGCCCCTTCCACAAAGTCAGGGGCTGCAAAGGAAAAAGGAATCTGGTCCATCCTTGTTTTTGCAAATGCTGTACCCACGTCATGCTGGGAATAGTATCTCTTGCTTTTTTTTTTTATTACTCTTTTTTATCCTCACCTGACGACATTGATTTTTTAAAAGATTTCCTTTTATCCCAAAGGGCTGGAAAATTCTTTCTCATATCAAATGTAAACGTATAGCAGATTTACTGAAAACCCCAAGAAGCCAGTATCTTGGACTTGGCCGGGTGCCCCTTCCCACTCCAGGCGGGGTGCCTGGAGTGAGGCTGCTGGCCTCGTGGAGCTCCCTCTCCCAATGAAGACGGTCGAGCTTCTGGCATCTACCAAAGACGGGTGGTGGATTTGAGCAAAGAATTTATATAGTCCTCAAATCATTGGCTCGGACCTTGTAGGTTAGTTTCAGGAATTAATGAATAAATCAGATACTTCATCTATACAGGGCTAACTAGTAGGAGTCCAGTAATCATTATTTTTAATTACTTACTTCAGTCAATCTTGGGGCTCAGGGTCTGAGCTGGCATCTTACTCGGAAAAGCATCGCCCGTACGGGAAGCCAGTGGTTACCTCCACGGCTCTTAGATGTTGGGTCTCGGTTCATGTCACACTGGGGCTCTCACTAGAACCCCCTGCCCTCTCTAGCACCCAGACCCCCCCCCGCCGAGCATCTAGCATCTCCCCAGAAGGTTTCTCGGTCTTCAGTTCTCTCCAGTCCTTGCCACCCCACTCCAGCTTCATCTGGGGGGGGGGGGGCCTGCGCGCCCCCTGGGGAGTGCCGAGATCATTCTTTTTCGGTTGCTTTTCTCAAGAGAATCCATCCACGTGTGTTACTTTTGTTCTTTCTCTGCAGAGAGAAAGAAGCTAAGCAGGTAATCCCCAGGTGCTGCTTCTGGAGCAGAGGCTAAGGGGGTTGTGAGCCCTCCCATTTCATTGTTCTGTCCAGTGGGACGCTAACACGTGCTTCGTGCTTCGTGATATCTGCAGCCGTGTGATAGGGTCTGAAGTCACACCTGGGTGTGAACCCCCGCTGCATTGTTACGACGTATTTATCTAAATTTTGTATCGAAATAAGAGAAACGGGGGCAGCGGTTTCGTTTTAAGTCTGACCACCCGAACAGAGTGCGAACAGAAAGAAGAAAAAAAAGATGCTGTCCTTGATCTTGAAGGAGAAGAGTGTGTTTGTTTAGGCCTGCAGGCTTACCTTGTGAATCCAGTAAGAAGGTTTTGCCAGGGCTCGACGCCTGAAAGTTTCTCAAGGGAAGATGTCTTCCCCTCCAACCTACCTGAGTCTTCCTGGCAGCCGTAGCGTTTGAACGCATAGGGAGAATTCTCGTGCCCTCGGCAACAATTCCCAGAGAGCTATTGTATGCCGAACGATTTTTATTTCTCATCACAGACGTAGGCAGGTAAACTTGGAGTGTCTTTCCTCTGTGGTGGTAATGCATTAAAATACTTGGAAAACCAGCTTTTCTTCCTCAGGACGCGCTTTCATTGTATTTATTCCTTTACTCTTTAATTGGTCTGATTCCCTACGTCTAAACATTCTTCTGAACTTTCTTCTAATCGTCCAGTATTTCTCACTCAAGTGAGAAACTCTAGCTGGAGGCAGTGAACTGGTCTGGCATTACACGGGGCTAAATAAGAATTCCTGTGGTGGGGGGATTTGTGGTTGAGGGATTTCAGGTTTTATAAGGAAAACAGGGTCATGTCGCTGACGTAAGGAGTGAGCCTGTGAAAAGTTTACCAGTACCTTCTGTTTACTAAAACTAACGGAAGATACCCGAGACCTTTGTAATGTCATTTTCTACTTAAATTAGACATAATGGCTCTCATGCTATTCATTTCTATGTACTATTCCTTAGTTTGCTTTTCAGTGTCTTCCACTATAGATTTTTAGAGAGGCGCTTATAAATGTGTAGGCGATGCACACACTGAGGCTTTTTTTTTTTTGGTCTCCTTAAGTGTCCAGCCCATGGGCTGCATGTGGCCCAACACAAAATCATAAATTTACTTAAAACCTTTTTTGGCTCATCAGTTTTCCTTAGTGATTGTGCATGTGATGTGTGGCCCAAGACAATGCTGCTTCTTCCAGTGCGGCCCAGAGACGAGAAAAGGTTGGACACCCCTGGTTGAAAGACTTGCTAGTTTTTCCGTTGGGAATGGCCCTCCGTCCTTGATCTCATCTTACACAGCTCGCTCCCCCTCCCCTAGGACACCTCGTGTCTTCTAAGAGCCCGGTCCGGTTTCCTTCCTCGCCCAGGCTCCTTGTCGGTGCGACCCCGAGGACACTTCCTCTTCTGCCCTCTGCTACAGCTCTTCTCGTCCCACCCGTAGTTTCTTCCTTTGCACACTGTCACTGCAGAACGGCTTACAGTTGGGCCGACCTGGATGTCCCAGAGCCAGACTTCTCGTGGGTGTCACCAAGTTCTTGCACACTCAAATTCCACACGCCAGGCGTGGGGCGGGATTGCCGAGTTCTCCAGTGATAAACATGACCGTCGGGGCGCGATGGCCGTTCTCCACACTCCTGCTTCTGTGCTCCAGAGATCAGTTTAAGAACAACGATTTGTTCCTTTCGCTTTTCTTTTAGGCCTGTTGTGACCTCCATGTCTTACTGTCCCCTCGGGAACACCAGGCACATTCTTCTATTTAGATAGCACTGTTAGTTTCTAACTCACCTTTCCTGTTGCATTTAGCTAATGCGTATTGAATACCTTTGGTGTCGAAGACACTTTGTCAAACGTAGAATAAATACCCTCAGAGGAGTGGTGGGAGGACCGGGCATGCAGGTTCGGCAGAGAGGGTCTTCGGACGAGCCGAGCAATTCGAGTTCCACAACTACGAGGGGAGCACCAAAGGTTTGGGAGCAGGGGGGTGAGATAGCCTGAGCCCGGCTTTCGGAAGATGCCGTGGGCTTTGGTATCTAGGCTGGGCTGGAAGGAAGGAACATCAGAGGCAAGGTGACGGTTATTATGAGACGAGTTTGCTCTGGAAGTAACTGCTGGCAATGTGAAAGCATAGAAGATGCTTCCAACTCGAGGTCGTTGCTGTGTCCATTGATTTGCGGTGGGCCTTTGTTGGGACTCCAAACCAAACATTCCCTCTCTGAGACTTTGTACTGTGTGCCCCAGTCCGGAGCAAATACAGATCAGAGAAATGAAATTTCTAAGCACACAGAGCTGGATTACGAAGAAAGAATCGTTACCAAAAGCTATTGACTTTGGATAAACGAGATCCCCTTTTCTCAGGAGCCAGAATTTCACTGCTGACAGAGTTCCATGTCAGCGCCACCCCTGAGAGGATCAGCCCACGTGTGCGAGAGGCGGGCAGGATGGCTGCGGGTCCCCAGGAGGCGTGCCTGCCCACCTCTTTTCCTCGCCTGTGGACCCCACCACATCACCCTGCCTGAGAATCCCCGTCCTGGTGAAGCCACCCGTAGGCTCCATCACGTGTAATGGGCGTGTGGGCTGTTACCGGTTACTAAGGAGTCTTAGCGGTTACTAAGGAGTCGCCAGCCTCACCGACGTCTTTTGAGATGAGGAGCCTGGGGTTGAGTCTGTATCTTTACATCGCACGTAACCTTTGGTGATTTGCAGTCGGTGCCACAGTAAAACACTTTACTTCTGCCATCGCCAGCTTGCTAGCTCGTCTTCACAACACAGTAACACCTTCCAGCACAAATCAGGAATGGGGAAAGGAAGCAAATGTGGTTGGATTTCCAACAAATCCGGGAGCTTTTTGGCTGTTAGAAATTGAGCAAAACGCACTGCCTCATTTCCCAAGGCCACGTGGCCCGAGCTGTGGCCTGTGCTTTGCTGTTGTGTTTTCTTAAATCATCAATTGCAATTTAGGTTTTCAGTTTGTATTGTGTAGAGTGTGATACGAATTGTCAAAATTGGGTCATGTGATTCTTAACGGACTGGTTTCCGTAGATATTGCTTACTCTGAAAGTCTCTCTCTTCCTTTGCAGTGAACTTGGAGAAATCCCCACACTAAAAACACTACAAGTATTTGGCATCGTGCCCGACAATACCCTTCAGCTGTTAAAAGAAGCCCTTCCTCATCTCCAGATTAATTGCTCCCATTTTACCACCATTGCCAGGCCTACTGTGGGCACCAAAAGCCACCCGGAGATATGGGGCATCAGGTGCCGACTCACGCTGCAAAAGCCCAGCTGTCTATGAAGTACGCGCTGCAAGGCGATGTCTCCTTTGCCTTTGGATCAGGGAAAGTAGGTAGAAGCCTGATGGCTGGAGCACTCAGCTGTTTTTATTCTTGGTTTTCCCTTTGCCTTCCTTCTTCTACAAGTATATTAGAGAAGCATTTGAGAGAGGAAACGAAGCGTTTTTTGTTTTTGTTTTTTAGCGACTAAAAGCTTCTGTCACTGCCATGCTCCTAAGGGTCTAGTCATGGGCCTTAGGGAATTTCAGAATGAGCCTGTAATTTTGGGATCCTTGAAGAGCCAAATCTGAGGGATCTCTTCCAAGTGCCCTTCTTATCAAGTCTGTTGAGAAACAAGCTTAAAAATCACCAGTAAGCAAATCATTTTCTTGATCTCTATGGTACCTTAACTTTCCTCTATTTAATTCTTCAGTGTTGCTTTATAAGACATAGGCTGGAAAAAGGATAAGCTATTCATATTGGGAGCTGAAAGGAGAGAATCATAGGAGAGTCCATTTGAGGCAATCATTCTGGGGATAGAAAAATACACATTTCAACTTTGCCTTTGGATTTTTGCAGTTAGGTTCCAGAAAACAAATAGTCCTGGGTAATTCACCTTAAAACCTAAACTAAAAAAACCACCCACTGGAGATACAGAATGTGAAGGGCCAGGAGGCAGTTTTCTATGGCAGGGTAAGCTGATGGGTGCTGTGATGCACATTCATGAAGTGTCCTCTGACGTGCCGTTCTCCCAGGATACTGAAGTAACTGAGGAGCTGTGACTGTGCTCTTCTAACTGGATAACCAAATGATGTTAGCGTGGGTTCCTTAGCTTTTAAGATGCCCGGATTTGTTTTATACGGTGGTAGTCAGCAGTCTGTTTGCAGTGTCGGAGGGAATGCCGGACCGAAGCTGCCTGCCATTTGCCTTTATTGCTGAGGTTCTTGAAGCTATTTTTCTATTACTCTGGAATCGAGTCTTTTAAATTGTCTTTTTCCTTTTTTATTTTTTTAGTGTTTCCCACAATCGCTGTTTTACACTACCCACTTTGTCAGGTTCCTGGACCTAACATTCCCTGAGAAGACTCGCACGCCCCTCTGTCAGGGACACGCCCACTAGACGCAGGTGCGTGTCCCGTGTCTCAGAGCAGTAAGCACAGCTGCACCTGCGGGAAAGCGAAGACTCAGGTGTTGAACCTTTTGATAGCATCAGTGATTTTTTTTTAATGACCCATAGAAGCAAGTGGATTACATTCTACGTACAAAAAAACACAAAACATTTCTTTTAAATTGATTATCTCCCCACATGTTCAAAATGGAACAAGAGAGCCAAAGCCCATCATTTCTATGAACATTGGATTTGTAAATCAGCTTTTTCAAACATTAGAAACAGTGGCATCTCCCTAAACCTAAGGAGGAACATTTTAAAAGTATTACCCCTGAAATGATTGTGTTTCGATTTTTGTCGTAGTTCAGAGGTGCTAACTACTACTTGAGATCATTGTTTACAGATCAGTGACCAGGGCTGGGGACAGGGTCCGGTGGGACTCTGGCTCCGCATGTCCTCGAACACGTCCATCCACACTCGAGACCAGCCGAAAGCTATTTTGCTAACATTTCAGAGTAATCTGTATTTTTGTATGTGATTTCTACTTTTATAAACCTGTTTTAAAATAAAACACATTTTTAGAAAAATGAGTACTTCTGCTAAGTTGGATTTCTTTTTTCTTTCTCTTTCCCTTAAGTGCTGTGGTTACGGTGGGAGGGCATCTGTGGGGGTGCCATGTGTCCCGGCTGTCGGGGTGAGGAAGGCTCTTCAGGGCGAGCCCCGGCCTGGTCCTCTGGGCCCTGCCTAAGTCCTGTGCTTCTTGGCAACTTAAAATGACAGTTTGTAATACTTCTTTACCAAGGTGCTAAATACTAGCTTATTTATCTTTAAAGTGCTTTAAAAACAGCCTTTATAAAACTTTGGAAATTTAAATGATCGATGAGATTAGTGAGGTGCCATCAAGGAAAGTCGGCTGCTAGCACTTTTTAAATCCCAGACTTGACTTGAACAGCTTCGACAGTGCATGTGATTCTCAGTAGGAAACTTGGACTTGTTCGCCCTATACCCGGGAAGTCTTCCGGGAATTCGGTGCCTTTTGATCCCACCCCTTCGAACAGAAGGGTGACTCCTGCCAATTTTACCAAGTTGTTTTTTGTGTGTTTTTTTTTTACTTCTTTGTTCTCATTGTCACTACTGTGCTTCCTTTTCTGTTTTTAATTGTGAAAACATGAAACGGATGCAAAAAGCAGAGAATATGGTGAACCTCATCATCCACGTTCAACAATCGTTAACTCGCGGTGAATCTCTTTATCCCTCTTCTCGTGAATCCCTTCCTCAAGCTCCCCAAACACCGATTGTTTTGAAACAAAACCCAGATGTGACTTCCTAAGTATTTTGGTACATACCTCCAAAAATAAAGGTTCTCCTGGGTTCATTCTGAAACATTAACTATCAAGTTGTTTCAGGTGTTTTCTTACATAGGTTTGTTTTGAGCAGGCTGCAGACATGGTCCACGTACTGCATTGATTGGCATCTTTTGTTGGCGAAGGTTTAATTGGCCGACATTGTATTAGTTTCAGCTGTACAGCATAGTGATCCAGTACTTTTAAGTATTGCAAAGGGATCACAGTGAGTCCAGTTAACATTTGTCACCATGCTTACAGAATTTTTTGATGAGAACTTTTAAAATCTGCTCTTAGCAACTTTCAAGTATGTCGTAGAGTGTTATTAACCATAGGAGCCCTACTGTATGTGACATCCCCATGACTGGAAGTTTGTAGCTTTTGACACACTCTATCCATTTCACCTACCCACCCACCCCCAAGCCTCCGTCAGCCACCCATCTGTTCTGTACTGTGTGAGTGGCATGATGACATGGCATTTGGTTTTTCTTTGACTATTTCACTAGCATAATGCCCTTAAGCTCCATCCATGTCCTTGCAAATGGTAAGATTTTATTTTTTTATGACAGAATATTCCTGTGTGTGCATGTGCATATACACAACAGAAACACTGACTTGAAAAGCCATACATGCCATGTTCATTGTAGCATCATTTACGATAGCCAAGATATGGCAACAACTTACGGTAAACGTCCATTGATGGAAGGATGGATAAACCAAAGGTGGTATATATTAGTATCTTCTACACATTTTTAATCAGACTTTTTTTTTGCTATGAATCGTATGAGTTCTTCACATACTGTGTATATTAACTCCTATCAGGGGTGATTGTAATGTAGTTTGAAATCAGGGAGCATGATGCCTCCAGCTCTGTTCTTGATCTCAAGATTACTTTGGCCACTCAGGGTCTTTTGTGGTTCCATACAGATTGTAGAATTGACTGTTCCATTTTTGTGGGAAAAAAAAATGCCATTGACCTTTTGATAGGATTGCACTGAACCTATAGCTTGCTTTGGGTAGTATGGACATTCACAATATTAATTCTGAGACTTCCAGCCAAGATGGAGGCATAAGTAGACACACTGTGCCTTCTTGCACAAGCAGGATAGGGACAACAACAATTTAGATACAGATTAACAACCAGAACTGACAGAAAATTGAACTGTATGGAAGTCGGACAACCAAGAAGTTAAAATAGACCCATTCATCCAGACCGGTAGGAGGAGCGGAGTCGGGCAGCTGGGCATGGGTCGAGGCGCAGAGAGCTTTGGGACCGGGCGTGTAAGGCATCTGGGGCGCGCAAGACTGCAGCAGGCAGACCCTGGGCGCACAAGTACCAGCTAGCAGACCCCGGCCGAGGGGTGGCAACCGGCAGACCCAGTGAGGCACTGCGCACAGTCCCAGCGCTGGGAAATAGAGCCTCGGGGCACTCATTGAAAACACCTGTGGGGGTTGAGGCACAGGGAGAGACTCCCAGCCTCACAGGAGAGGTCCTTGGAAAGTCCCATGGGGTGCACAGGCCCACCCACACGGGAATTGGCACCAGAGGGGCCCAGTTTGCTTGGGGAAAGCACCGGAAGGGACTGAGGTCCGACAGACAGCAGAGCAGGCACCATTGTTCCCTCTTGGACCCCACCTACACATACAGCGTCACAACCCAGGGACTGGGGTGCCCCGCCCTGGTGAACGCCTAAGGCTCCGCCCCTCATACATAACAGGTGCGACCAGACCAAAGGAAAAAAAAAAAGATGGCCCAAGCAGAATTGAAAGCCTCACAACCAGTACTTTGAAGCAACCGAGAGATAGCCAACCTATCAGATGCACAGTTCAAAGCACTGGTGATCAAGATGCTCACAGAATTGGTTGATTTTGGTCACAAATTAGATGAAAAAAATGAAGGCTACAATAAGTGAAATGAAGAAAAATGCACAGGGAACCAATAGTGATGGAATGAAAGCTGGGTCTCACATCAATGGAGTGGACCAGAAGGAAGAAAAAAACATACAATCAGAAAAAGATGAAGAAATAAGGATTCAAAAAAATGAGGAGAGGCTGAGGAACCTCCAGGACCTCTTTAAACATTCCAACATCAGAATTATAGGGGTACCAGACGAAGAGGAAGAGCAACAAGTGGAAAACTTATTTGAGCAAGTAATAAAGAAGAACTTCCCTATTCTGGCAAAGGAAACAGACTTCCAGGAAGCCCAGGAAGCTCAGAGTCCCAAAGAAGTTGAATCCAAGGAGGAACACACCAAGGCTCATCATAATTACATTAACCAAGATTAAAATGAAGGAGAATCCTAGAAGCAGCAAGAGATAAAGAGAGAGTAACCTACAAAGGAGTTCCCATAAGACTGTCAGCTGATTTCTCAAGAGAGACCCTACAGGCTAGAAGGGGCTGGAAAGAAGTATTCCAAGTCATGAAAGGTAAGGACCTACATCCCAGATTGCTCTATCCAGCAAAGCTTTCATTTAGAATGGAAGGGCAGGTAAAGTACTTCTCAAATAAGGTCAAGTTAAAGGAGTTCATCATTACCAAGCCCTTATTTCATGAAATGTTAAAGGGACTTATCTAAGAAAAAGATAAAGAGCATGCATAGTAAAATGACAGCAAACTCACAATTATTAACAACCACACCTAAAATAAAAACCAAAAGAAACTAAGCAAACAACTAGAACAGGAACAGAACCACAGAAATGGAGATCACATGGAGGGTTAGCAACAGGGGAGTGGGAGGAGGAGGGGGGGGGAAGTACAGAGAATAAGTAGCATGGATAGTAGGCAGAAAATAGACAGAAGGGCAAGAATAGTATGGGAAATGTAGAAGCTAAAGAACTTATGACGCATGGACATGAACTGAAGGAGGGGAATGTGGGTGAGAGAGGGTGTTCAGGGAGGAGGGGAATGAAGTGGGTAATGGGACAACTGTAATAGCATAATCAATAAAATATATTTTAAAAACTATTAATTCCTCCAGTCCATGAACACAAAACATCTATTTGTCCTGTTTAATTTCTTTCATCAATGCCTTATATAGTTTTCAGTGTATAGGACTTTCACCTTCCTATTTATTTTTAGGTATTTTATTCTGTTATACACTTATAAATGGGATTTTAATTTCTATTAGTTCAGAAATGCAAGATTTCTATGCACTGATTTCACATCCTGCTAAAACTTTACTAAACTCATTTATTCTAACAATTTTTTTAGTGAGGTCTTTGGGTCTTTCTCAATGTCATCTGGAAATAGTGAGTTTTACTTCTTTCCAATTTGAATGCCTTTTCTTTTTCTTGCCTAATTGCTCTAACTAGAACTGATTGACATTCTCCACTCTCTTAATCTTTGGGTTCCCCTCCCCTTCTTTTTTCTTGCAATTTATTGAAGACACTAGGTTCTTTGTTCTGTTCTAGGTCCTGGATTTTGCTGATGTAATCCCTGAAGTAATGCTTAACTGGTTAATCTGTCTCCCATTTCCATAAATTGGTTAATTAGGTCTACCAGCATACGGGTCTAGATCAAGGGTGCCTTTGTACCCCAGGAGATATTTGGTAATATCTGAAGACATTGTTGGTTGTCAAAAGTGGAGAGGTATTACTGACATCTAGTAGGTAGGGACTAAGGTGCTGGTAACCATCCTGCAATAAACAGGAAAGTTTCCCAGAAGTATCTGATCCAAAATGTCAATAGTGCAGCATTGAGAAACCCTGATGTACAAGGCTTATGTTGCCAAGTTGGTTTGTTTTTTTTTTAAGGAGGAGATACCTGATGGGTAGTATTACGTTCGTCCATCAAGAGACAGAACATCTGTCTCTGGCTCTCGATTCCTCCCTCTGCTATACCCCAGCCACAAGGTGCAGAGGTATGAGGGACACTCTGGCCAAGATTTTGATTTCTGCATAAAGTGACTGCATGGGTTCTGTACCCGTGAACCCAATCGCAGTCCCACATGTACTGAAGAGCCACAGCGTGGAGGATGCTGTGTTTGAACAATCACGTGGGGGAAGCTACAGAGCACTTCAGCTAGAGCACTTAAGGACAGGTCCCAGTTTGGGGGACATGGAAACTAGAACCCCTTTCCACTGGATACCCTAATCCTAAACAAGCAGAAGGCAACTCCCTCTTGCATTACCACTGCTGTCCCGTGATTTGGTTTACTGAGGCCAGAAATATAAAATACATACAGGTCATCAAAAACATCAAGTCGAAATTATCTCAAGAGTCTCCACAGCCACAAGCTAAGTGCTTCATCCTCTGACTGTATAACAAACCGCGGTTCTGTGTCAGAGATGGGCGGTGAGTGGAGGCAACGGGGAAGAGGAATACCCAGCAGGGGGAACAAGACTTTGGAAACGTAACATTTTGGGAAAACCAGGTTTTCAAATAATGACCCTATAAGAGTTAGTAAATGACATAACAAAGAAGAGATAGTAACAGTTTAATTTTATTCACATCTCATTGCCATTAAAGTTTGCTTCATAAAAACATTTTTGCTGTTCCAACATCCTTTGCCTCTCAGTATCTCTTACAAGTAAATCCTCACCACATAGCAGAAGTATTAGAAGTTATACTGCAAATGGAACACATTAGGCATTTTTAAACCTTTAAACTATGGCTTATGAACAATTTTACACAGAAGTTACCTATTAATATGTTACATATTAACAGATCTATAATACCATACGGACAGTCTGATTTCCTTGATATTGAAGATGAAGTTGGCATTTTTGTCAAGAAGGCATCTTAAACCTACTAGGGGAGTTCTATAGTGTGGAATTTTACTTCGTAGCATAGACCTTAAGTATATTATTTTTAAACCAAACCAGAAACCAGAACCAGTGCTGGGGAAATGCTAGTTTTTACTGTGTGCATCATGCAAACTCTCTGCTAGTGAGTGTCTCTGCAGACACGCCCAACTAAAGAAAAAGATTCCTGTTCTGGAGATACAACAAACCCTAGGTTACTTTTATGTGGTAAGGTTTTACAGAAAAAGTCTGACAAGAACACGGTGCATGTTGACAACACTAAGAGCACTCGATCTGACTATGCATCCCAGCTTTCACGGAACGCACTTCTGAGCTTACTCGGCTCAGGCTCCATCAGGACAGCGTCTGTTTTCTTCGTCAGGGTACATCCGGTAATCAGTACAGTGCATGGCACAGAGTGGATATTTAATAAATATTTCAGTGATTGAATACAAGTCTTTAATAACAAATGAAAAAACGACAACTTTGAATAAATGGCACGAGACTACCGATGGTCTCATGATGCAGCAACAGGTGCCTTTTGTGAAAATTCTAGGATTCCATATAAGTAGATCAAGAATTAGACAAAAATGTCCTCCAAAAATAAAGAACTCTCATGGGCAGGCAGAGAAAAGCTGTAACATTTACCCCCCAAAGGTAATGTGTGAAATTTGGAGTATGGGTGAGTTGAAGACTACCATGATATTAAAAGTAGACAAAAATACTTTCTAAAGGTTTGACCAAACTCCTAGTGGAGTATGTCTCGTCAGTCCATCCTTTTAGTCTTTGAATCCATGTTAGAGTTTTAAGTAAAAACTGTCTATCACTGAACAGCTAATGGATAGTAATACATCTGTACAAGCATCCCGATTTTGTCCCGCTACATGTACTTCAATGAACTCAGCACGGTCAAAACTAACCTGCAAGTCACGTAAAACACATTTCAAAAGTGATTGCTTGAACGTCTTACACCCATAGCCATACCAGTATCCGTGTGTTCTCAAATTAGAAAATTCACAGCACATATAAAAACACATTCACCTACTTCAATTAGGTCAATGTCAGGGTTTATCAAAATTCTCCATCAAATTTTTTTAAATCTTGATTTGTAGGTGCTATAAAAAATATACACTAGTCAAATGAGCTGTGTGTGTTCTGACCAATTCTGCAAAGTTAGGAGGAAAGGGAAGGAGAAGTTGTACAGTTAAATTACAAATCCTAAACATTTAATCCTTTATTTGCACTTATCTCTCTAAATCTAAAAAGGCATCAGCACTCTTGGATACCAATAACAAGACAGACAGAAGTTTCACTGGTGTCAATCCTAGACGCGTAGTCCATCCATCTTCTTGCCCAGTGAACATCTTCTCCATCAGAATCCAAGAGGGGAATACAAATCTCAGTTTCTTAGTCACCTTTGAGCCCAGGGCCAACCGGTCTCGACAATAACCAAAAGAGGCAGCTTTATGACCGGTCGCCTGTTTCTGCAGTTAAAGTATTTTTCAGGTAATCAAATTTGTCATCGAAGGGTACCCTTCACTGTTCTAGAAGGACAGTTCGAAGCTCATCTTCTTTATTGATCATCATCGAAGCAATTGCTCCATCGTTAAACTCAAAAGAAGTTCCTCCGTCCACAACCATGCAGGCATCCCAACAACGCGAACGGACACAAACCCTGAGCAGAAAGCACAGCTCGTTAAGAAAGTTTTCTTAACCTGAAATAACAGTTTCTTTAAAACCCCTACTTTTTATCTGAAGTGTCAGATGCGGGAGGGAAAAGAGGTGAATCCTACTCTAAAAGATTTCCTGCTACCCAATTTAGGTTTTATATAAATGTCTATCCTTTTATTCCACAGGCACGTATATAAAAAGGTTGCTTTGCAGTCAGTTTCTTTTAAAATGGCAACTCGACCTTGTTTTGTAGTGGAAATGCATTACCAAAAAAGTCCACATCACCCTGTTAAGGAACTATGCTCCTTCTATCTATTTGAATTTTAGCTTCTCTAAAACGGCACCTTAGGTGTGAAAGGAAACATCACTTTGGCCGGGTCAGCAGGACGCACCTCATTGGTCCCACAGGTGCTACCTCTCCCACCAGATTCAGTGTCAGGGAACCGAACCCGTGTGTTGAAGACCAAGTGTGCGCGGCAAGCACGGGGGACACAGACCGCCCCGTCGGGCCCCGGACGCTTGCTTACTTGGAGGTGAAACACCGCTGCCGGCTGCTGGAGAAGACTCTGTTCGCTATGGGTTCTCGGATACTGAAGAGTATTTTTGGTTCCTCTGGACTGTAGAGCAACGATTCGTTATATTCATTTGTTACTGTGAAGGAAGGAAAGCAAATATGAGCGCATTTAATAACAGCTCTTGAGGAGCACAAAGCGAAGAGTGGATGCTATCCCCCAACTTAACAGCGGTCTGTTCCAAAGGCCCGTCTGGTATCAAGGACCTGGGAGTTCACTTCCATTTAAAAACACAAAAAAACATACAAAGCAGGATTAGGTTCCCAGATTAATCCACAGAAGCCTACATCACTCACAAGATAAAAGAAACAGGTATATTTTGGGGGGAAAAATTCTAGGCTAATAATCAAACAAAAACAGAGGAACTAGTTTATGGCACTCAAAAATGGAATTTGAGTTGCCATAGCCCCCTGCCACGTTCTTTCCCAAAAGCCACGTCGAAGAGTTCGTGAGTGTGGTTGTAAATCAGCAGTCTTGTGTAACCCACGATCTCAAACAATGACAGGCAACGTGCTTTCGCTGCTGAAAAGGCTGTTACTCAAGGTAGTTTTAGCAATCCCCGGGACCTGCTTTCTCTTTAACCAGGAGGCACATGAGACATGGCAGGCAAAGCACAAACTGGTTCAAGGATCGTAACATAAAAATCCAGTTTTAAGGTTTTAGTTGCTTAAATAGATTTAAAGTGATATTAAAAGCCTGTTTGAGTCAAAAAAAAAGTCCTGTGCTTTGCTAGTCAGACAAGAACATGTCACAATAACATCTTAAAGTCAATACAGAACTTAAATGAAACCATTAGCAATTCTGATCGTTTGCCACTGACCTTTCTCTACCAGTTCCCTGTTCAGTGGAAGACTTAAATTTCCTTGTCGTTTTGCTATTGAAAAAACGGGGAAAATACCTTGATTAAAATGTTTCATATCATAGAGTAACTAATGTCATAAAACATATACACTATATAGTATTTTAAAATTATAATTATAATGGCTATTTTGGTACTCACCAATATTTAAAACATCTTCCACAGCCTGAGTTGCAACCCTGTTAATATTGAATGACCTAGAAACAAACACCACATAAATTCTTTGTTTTAATTCTAAAAACATACTAAAAGTGAAAAAGGAGTAATCTAATTATTATACAAAGAACTCAGAAACTAACAAGAAAAACAACCAAAAGACAATAGCCACCTCACCCAGTTTTAAAAAGTAGGCAAAGGATGTGGACAGTTCATAGGCCTTGATGAAAAAAGGGTCAATCTTACACTTTAAAGCAATACAAACCAAAACGAGCTTTTCCTCAGATGTGCAAGGATTATAAACTGATAAACAGTGTACTGGCACAGGTATGGAAAAAGAAGTATTCTCATACACTGACAGGATTATAAAGTCGCAACAAGTAATTCTGAATTTTGCACTATTAAAATTTAAATCCTGTTTTCTGAATATGTACACACGGCTCACCTCCTCACACAACCACATCAAAATTACAAGCTATAAAACAGCCATCACTCAGAACCATCAGAAATCAAGTTGAATAGAAGTCTAACCACTATGAAATTAAAGAAACCACATCCATGCAGACTGGTAGAAGGGGCAGAGCCACAGAACAGGCTGGTCCCACATCCATGTGTGGTAGACAAAAATTCAGGAGGGATATCTTGGGAGTGAGGAGTCCCAGCCCCACACCAGGCCGCCCAGCCCAGGGTTCCAGTGCCAGGAAGGTAAGTCCCCATAACTTCTGGCTGCAAAAACCAGCAGGCACTGAGGAAGTGGAAGAAACTTGTGGAGTCCCAAGCAGTGCGCCCCTTAAAGAACCCACACATGGACTTACTCAGAGTCACTCCTTCTGAGCTCCAGCACCAGGGTAGCAATCAGTGGCATACGGGGAGGAACTTCAGTGTCTGGCAGCAAGGCAAGAGCTGGGGGACGGCTTTCCTCCAGAAAGGCAGGCAGAGGCTACCACTGTCCCTTTTCAGAGCCCTCTCCCCACAGACCCACAGAGCCAGCAAGCAGTTGCTATATCTGAGACTCCATCGACACAGCTAACACTGTTTGCCCCACCCTGAAGATCCCAAGATTCCATCCCACCCAACTTACAAGCCAGGCCCACCCAAGCTGCTGACAGTGACTTTTCTATACAAATGGATGGTCCTGGGTCATGCTTCACAACTTCCCCAATCCTCTCAAACAGGCAACAGTCAGCCTCAGTGAGCCCTTAGCTCCTATACCACTTGTCATGTGGCCCCAGGCCAGGCACTAGCAGCAGCCAGCCTAGATTCACAGCTTGGCTTCACATGGGAATCTCCAAGCCCAGCACACGCAGCCATCTCAGATTGCCTTATAGCTCAGGCAGGGTGGCCCTGGGCAGAACACAGGTGGAGGCTGAACTTGGCCTGCACCACCTAGGAAATCCCAAAGCCTGTGTACCCAGTGGACAGCTACAGACCACATTAGAGCACCACCAACCTGTCCCTGCACAGCTTGATCTTTACAGAGGGCAGAGCTTGGTGGTCAGTGGTCACAGCAGGTCCTTGCAGCTGACGGGCCTGGGTAAATCCCTCCCATTGACCTGCCACAGCAACCAAGGCTCAACTACAAGAGGAGGGTATACTCAGCCCATACAAAGGGTGTACCTCAAGTACCCAGCTTGGGTGATAGGGGAGGCTGTGCCACTGGACCCTACAGAACACCTACTACATTAGGCCACACTGCCAAGACACGAAGTCAAAGCAGCTCTACCTAATACATAGAAACAAACACAGGGAAGCTGACAAACAAGGAGACAAAGAAACATGGTCCACATGAAAGGACAGATCAAAACTCCAGAAAAAGAGCTAAACGAAATGGAGATAAGCAATCTATCAGATGTAGAGTTCAAAACACTGGTTATATGGATGCTCAAGGAACTTAGTGAGGACCTCAATAGCATAAAAAAGATCCAGTCAGAAACAAAGGATACATTAATTAAAATAAAGTACAATTTACAGGGAAACAACAGTAGAGTGAATAAGGCTGAGAATCAAATCAATGATGTGGAACATAAGGGAGCAAAAATCAACCAATCAGAACAAGAAAAAAAAAGGAACACAAAAAAATGAGGATAGTGTAAGCAGCCTGTGGGACAACTTTAAGGATCCCAACATTCACATCATAGGGGTGCCAGAAGGAGAAGAGAAAAAGCAAGAATTTGGAAATCTATCTGAAAAAATAATGAAAGAGAACTTCCCTAATTTGGCGAAGGAAATAGACATGCAAGTCCAGGAAGCACAGAGTCCCAAACAAGATGGATGCAGAGGCCCACTCCAAGACACATTATAATAAAAATGCCAAAGGTTAAAGATAGAGAATTTTAAAGGCAGCAAGAGAAAAGCAGTTAGTTACTTACAGAAGAGTTTCATAAGGCTGTCAGCTGATTTCTCAAAAGAAACTTTGCAGGCTAGAAGGGACTGGCAAGAAATATTCAAAGTCATGAAAAGCAGGGACCTAGAGCCAAGATTGCTCTACCCAGCAGAGCTATCATTTAGAACCGAAGGGCAGATAAAGAGCTTCCTACATAAGAAAAAACCAAAGGAGTTCATCATCACCAAACCATTATTATATGAAACATTAAGGGGACTTACTTAAGAAAAAGATCAAAATTATGAACAGCAAAATGGCAATAAATACTTATATATCATCAATTGAATATAAAAAGCTAAGCGAAGAAGAAGAACAGAGACAGAATCATGGATACCGAGAGTGTTGAGACGGCAGGGGGTGTGGAGGAATGGCTGGAGAGGTGAGGGGATAACGAAGTACAAATAGGTGGTTACATAATAGCCATGGCGATGTAAGATACAGTGTAGGAAATGAGTAGCCAAAGACTTAGACTCATGGCCCACGGACATGAACAATGGTGTGGGGATTGCCTGAGGGAGTGGGGAGGAATGGATGGAGTAAAATATAATGTAAAAAATGAACAGATTCTTTAATCTAGTAATTTATCCTAAAATATACTTGCATATATAATACACAAAGACATATACAAGGATATTTACTGAAGTACTGTTTATAATAGCAAAATTCTAATATATATATAGCAACAGGAAGCTGGTTACATTATGGCAACTCGGCAGAGTACTACATATGTATTAAAGAAAATGAAACAGAACTAACTACATGTGCTGATATACAGAGATAACCAAGATCTTAGGTTAAAAAACAAAGGTATTATATGGTATATATGTTACTCCCTTGTTTTATTTACATTAGAAAAAACAATTATACATATATATAGTGATTGTGTCTGGAAATTAGTACCAGAGATAGGAGATTAAAGAGAGACTAGCTTTTCACTGTGTAACCTTTTATACTATTTAACATATTTTAACATGTGTATTTCTTTAAATCATAAAATAGCTTCCTTAAAGGTGAGAAATCCTTTGCCAGTATAATGCCTTAATTAACCACTTAAAAAATACGTTAACCCAAACATGAATAACGTTTAAAAGTTGCTCTGTCCTGGGGTCTATGAAGATGCTTAAGGAAAGGTGTTTTTTTTATTAAATCTTCTAGGAAACAGAAGTATTCTGCCTCACTGTCTTCTCGCACGGCATGAGCAGACAGTGCTGATGAGAAGGAGCAGCCTGATGAGTCACTCACACAGCCCTAACCCCACTCAGTGCCTCTTGCCTTTTTCCGGGGGGGCGGGGGGGGGGTTGGGGGTAATAAACACTCCACATACCTTACAACCCTACATCCTCCCATTCGGAGCAATGTGAAAATACTGTGAACACTCTCTTCAGAAAAATGCAGATTTTTTACATTACCAAGTTTTTACATTAAGAATTTGGAGTTATCCCCAACCCAAATCTCTCTGCTACAAAAATCTAAAATCTGGCCCCTCTTACTCTACCGTTCCCCATTCTGCCCCCTAATTTCACATTCTGATCATGCTAAGCTCACTCTGGCCTGCGTACCTTTGCTCTTACTATTTGGTAAGAAAGCCAAATAGTTTAAGTGTCCTGAGTTTCTTATTGTTTCGTATCAAGTTTTCAATGTCACACACTATGAGACAGAAAGCACTTAGGTCACGACCTGGCTCATGGCAAGAACGCTGCACAAAATGAGAATGTCAAATACGAGGGAAATGTGTAAGTTATATTCTAATTCCTGCGAATATCTACCTTATTGGGAGATACTGTTTTAAAATTCTATTTTACATCTAAAATTCACGTAAGTATGAAGTATGTTCATTAGACTTCAAATATATAAAGGGCAAAAGATTTCAGTAGCTACTGATGGAGTTAAGATTTAACCGAAGAAAACAAAAGGCTGAGGAGACTTGCTGGAATAGTCCCACATTTCCCTTATGAGGACTATCACGTTCCTATTATTAGGGATACCACAGACCAACCCAAACCAAGTCCTCTGAGCTGTAATTAAATTAGGACTAATTTCCTGTTGTTAGAACTTGGGCCGCAGCCAATTCACATCAAAGACAGACTGTATGACTAAGCAGGTGTTACAGCTAGCACAGGACGTTTTTTTCCACAACCTTCACCATTCTGAGAGTTCCCATTTGAAACCAGGTGCACCTTGTGCTCAAGAGAACCAACTTGAAAGACTAATTGAGTCCATATCTTCATCAGCTAATAAAACTTGCTTCACTTAAGAACACCTCCTCACCCTTATTTAAGTCTGCTAGGATAGCATGTATGGAGGAGGAGGACTGGGGACAGTCTTGAGAACAGAAACAGAAATGCAAGCATATATGATCTCCCAGAGTATGTAGCCAATCACGGCCCACAATGGGAAGGGGACCGAGACGATACCGCAACGATTCGGAGACAGCTGCTCTACAACATAACCCCTAACCCTGCGTCCCGTGGAAGAAGTTTCGGAAATGCACAAATGGGACAGTGATCGCCCTGGGCACACAGGCTCTGTGTGAGCCACGGGCCTGAGTCCCCAGCGAAAGGAATGAGAGTGGGCGCCACGGACAGCACTTCTCAGCCTGCCCCCAAACCTCCCACCATGACCTGCCTGCTCCCCTGCCCCCTGGGACTTGATGTGAATGAGCACAGCGACCTCGGGGGCCACGTTTAAAAGATGGCAGAGCTGCAGGATGGAAGGAGTCTGGCTCCCGGACTCACTACTTGGAGGACGGCCACCTGCCAACTAGGAACGCCCACTCAGGCTTTACAAGAACAAGTAATGTAATGAACTTCTACCGTGTTAACCCACTGAGAGCGGGGGTCACAACTAGCTTACCCTACGTTATTACACATTTCCACATTCCATATTCAAAGCAAGGGCTGAGAAGGTCACAGAGCAAAGCAAACTTTCATCTATCTGTATCAAGAATGAAAAGAAGAATAGTAAAGGAAACAGGCTTTCCTATTCTTTTTTCCCCAGTGATTTCTCAGGGGGATCCAGTTTAGTTAAATCTAGAATTTGAATCCTGCCTTCACCATTTATTGGCCACGTGACTTTGGGCAGTCAGTTAACTTCTGAGACTCTTTACTGATCTGGTCTCCTAGTTCCAGAGTATTTAAGAATTTAAATAACAGACTTAGCTTGGGACAAAGAAAATGCTCAGAAATGGTGGAGGGAGGAGATAAAATTATTAACGTATAGAAACGTACAGCTTTCCCTTAGCCCTCAGGATCCTTTTCTCCCCCTCCACCTTCCGAAGAGAAAAAGGACCGGAGATGAACGCAAAGTGCCGTCGGCAGTGGGAGGGCGAGGGTGGAACACGGTGGAAGGGAGGAGCAAGATGCACAGGGCTGAGTGGTGAAGACACTGGGTAACCAAGGTGGCAGGGACAGATCACAGTGACACTGAGAAAGTTCTACACCAGAGCACAGGAAACAACAGGAGACTTTAGTAAGCAACACAGAAAAGACCAACATCTAATCTAAGCCACGCTTCTCCAAATGCACCAGCAACAGAGGACTCAACTATCAGGTGCACTTCTGAGATAGTTGACACTTCTCAACTATCACGGAGGAGAGGAGGCGCACTTTACAACTTAATGGTTCTTACTCTTTATGCTCGTCTCACTGGTGAGAGGCTGGAAACTAAAACCATCAAAATTACACACACACACAAGGCAGAAGTCAAAGCCCCCTGCCTTTTGCATACATAAGTGTATTTCTCCAAGACAGGCTGAGTTTACCTTGACAGTTCTTCAGTACAACCTAGTGACTCATCTTTCAACTGTGTGACCTTCGTTTAAAGCTGCCAATGAGAAAGGCATTGGTTTTACAGTCAAGCACACCTATGCCTGTGTCCAGGCTATGACACTTGCGTGACCTCAGCCTAATTATTTGTCCTAAGCCTCAATGTCTTCCTTTACAGAACAGGGATACTGCTACTTTCTTGCAGAATTCCTGGAAGGATTACAGTCCATGTACAAAAAGTAGCACAAGTATACTCAAAGTAGGGACTACATAACTGATGGTCTGCATTATTATTACAAAACACAACTACAGAAGTTCAGAGGATCAAGTAATCTCACTCATCCATTCCACTTCCCTTGTTCCACAGACAAGAGAACCTGCACAAGGTGACAGAGCTCATCAGCGGTGTAGCCAGGTCTCTAACTCCCAGGCCAGATCGTTTCAATTGTACCATTTTGCCCATATTCAAAGGACGAGAATACCAGGGGATGAAAAGGGAAAGACATGGAAAAGCATTTCTATTTCTCAGTCCAGTTTCCAACAAGTGACACGCCACGCTGAGCAGAAAGAACAATGTTATGATAAATTAAAGCTGCTAATTTTAATGTTTTCAATTTACAAAAAAAATTTATAGCATATATGATTACATGTATCCTTTCAAATAATTATTAGGAAAAATCATTTTAGAAATGTAGTTCTCCTCACTGGCCCTCAGGGACCTAAGATATTGACCAATCTTTTTAAAGGACACTTCTCATTTTTTTTCTAAAGGTTTATTTATTTGGCTAAGGCGAGGATCGTTTCTTAAAGATGTTAAGGTACTGAACACTTATGAGTGAAGCAGCATGTCTGCAAACTGCGTCAAAACAATACGGGATGGAAGGAGCTACAGGGGGACACAGAAACAACACTGGACACGCATCGGTAGCTACTGGGTCTGACTAATGAGTATGCAGGCCTCTTGTAGGTATTTAAAATTCTGCACAACAAAAAGCTTTAAAAAGTAATGCTGAAAAAAATAGGAAATAAAATTCTATTTCAAACTTAAGATCACAATTTGATCAGCACTATTTGTGAGTATGAAGTCATTTATTCCAAAAGATGCCTGCAGGAATATGTACTAGGTATTATGCTATGCACGCAAAAACAATTAAGCAGGAAAAAAAAAGACAACCACTAGTCACTATCCTAGATGCCTCAAGTTGCTCAAACTTGGATATTAGCTTATTAGATAACTAGCAATGCAGTACGTGCCGTGGAAAAAGCGCTGGGATTAATTATGCTTGTGAAAGGAGCTAGGTCTTATTCAAGTTCTCCTACCGAGAATGACATCTGAAGACTGGAGTTTTCAGCCAGTGGACAGAAAGTGGAGTGTGTCCAAGTACTCGAGGCAGAAAGAAGATGCATTGAGCGAAGACAAAAAGCCCAGAGAGAACATGACCTGTGCCGGGAATTGCAAGTAGCCCGCAGTGTGTCCAGTGTGCTGACTGGTGGGTTGGGGCGGAGCAGTACCAGGCTGGAAAGGACCTGAGGTCCTAGTGAAAGGACCTACATCATCTGAACAGAGTTAGGAGTCAGTGAAAGTTTGAAAGCACAGAAGGGGTGGAATCATATTTTATCCACACTGTAGAAATATGAGTCTGTTGCCGGTACCGATGACAGCCTACAGAATAAAGGGCGAGGAGGCACCAAGAATATTCACTAGAAAGATAGGGGCCTGGGCCAAAGAAACAGCAGTAGGAGCTGAAAGAGGGGGCAAGCACTTCAGAAATGCCACTGGCTGGATTTAGAGCCTGGTGTGTGGAGAGGGGAGAACAGGGAGTCTTAAATGGACCAGCCAGGTTTGAAAGAAAAATGGTTTTTCTCTAGAGCACAAGCTCAGCACAAACAGTGAAACTATCAAGCAATTCAAGAACACAGGCAGAAGAACCAAAGACAATACACTCAGTTTTTTTTTTTAAGATTTTATTTGCTTTTAGAGAGAGGAAGGGAGGGAGGGAGGGAGGGAGAGAATCGTGAATGTGTGGTTGCCTCTAGTGCACCCCCTACTGGGGACCTGGCCCTCAACCCAGGCATGGGCCCTGACTGGGAATCGAACCAGCAGCCCTTTGGTTCGAAGGCCGGCACTCAATCCACTGAGCCACACTAGCCAGGGCATACATTTTTAATGCACTAAATTTGAAAAGCTATGACTGTTTTATCTACTAGGTGATTTGAGAGTACCATCTGTGTTCAGGAGAGAAGACTGCTACAGACAGAAGCCGGGGAGGCATCCACATGTGTGCTAGGAAGCAACACCCAGAAGAGGTTACCAGGTAAACTCTGGTTAGACCTTTATCAATGGACAAACTCCAGCAGGTGGTTCTTGTATTCTACATTGTTTTCACTTCTTTCTTATTATTGAAGACACCCTTCATTTTGAAAATACGTAGTGCCAAAAAACATTTTTCATTTTCTTTTTTCTGTTCGCAAATCGAGTGAGGTAGGCTAAATCATGACCACAGCTAGGCTGCAGCTTCAGTCTGAGAAGTCAGGGCAAGGCTTCCAGACCCAACCCACGGGTGCAGCAGAAACCCAGCCAACCACCACCCCCACCCCGACCCCCGCCCCGCCGGCTCCCTCCAGTGCACCAGAGGCCTTAGAGAGGCCGGTATTCTATGACAAGGAAGTCACATTACTTAAAATGTTTCACAGAAGTTGATAAGCAACATCCCGGGTTACTCACCAGGCCTTTGATCCTGTTCCAGTACACAAATTGAGCCCTGAACTCTTCTGTTTTTCCCATGGACCGTCATCCACTGAAATCTCATAGTAGGAAGCCCTATGAATTGAGAATACAAAACTGGATTTGCTGACCGTAAGGCTCACAGTAAGGAAGACAAACACAGTCTTTTTCGGAACCGATGAACCCTCAGTAGGCCAGCCTGCCTTAGACATGCCTTAGTAGGCACACACGTCGTGATGCTAACTCTAACATTAAGTGGAAAAGCTACAAAAGATGCTGCATGTCTGCATCCCTCTCTCGTCTGTATGTTCCTTTCTATCCATGCTTCAACATTTCAAACAGGGGCTTCTTCTAGATGTTGACCTAGCATCGCTGCTGCTGCTGTTATGGCCTCTAACATATACAGAGAGAGCCTTATTTCAGAATCCAAAAAGAAAACACCATTCTTCACTGAGTTTCTTGGTAGCTAGTCCTTGATATATTTAAGTCTATATATAATCCTTCAAGTGACTAAGAGTTTCTGCTAAATTTTTGTTGAGTTACATACTATTGTGCCTTTTGAATTGGTAGTAAGCTAACAAGTTCTAAAGAAAAATCTCCACCAGTACTGAACTACTGGGCAAAACTATAGATAAAACTAAAACTGTAGTTTCTTTAAGGATTTTTATTTCTTAGAGTATTTCATAAAATGAAATCAAATGGGTTTTCTAACACCAGCAAAAATGATACTGCTCTTTAATTGCATGAAAGAATAAATGATTTGCAACTATTCAAAGAACTTTTCAAACATGTAAGAGCTGATTTTGTAAATTATATCTTAAAATAATGGAGTCGCTAATCAACACTGGGTTATTTTTCTCTTGCAAATAAAAACGTTAAAATAAACCCTTAATAAAATATGGCTTTTCAAAACAATAAATTGAGACACACTTGCAAACAGTGACACTTAATAGACAAGTCAACTCTTATTCTATCCCTTTCAATTCCCTGCCAAGCTCTGACTCTGTGAAGGTTTTGCGTGATACAACTCCTTTTCATTTTTTCTCTGAACTCAGCATTCTTCATAAAAGTAAAAATTGGCAGGCTTAATATTCACATTTTATCTATTTCACAGCTTTATTATGTCTTCTTAGAAAATTAGTAATTTTAGTCTCATTAGGAGCCTGTTAAACGAGTGGAGTGGCTGCTACTCGGCCAGAATCACGAACAAACAGAGATTAGCAGTTAGTGGTGATAAAGAAGCGGAGGTGGACAGGGGGAGAAGTAACAGTCAGGTGAGGGATGTGGAGCCCAACACAGTGAGCAAATTTAGTGTCATTGTCTCATGCAGGTTTATCAAGATTAGTCAACTCAGAATTTTTGTTTCAGGGGAATTATTTTTTAAGGCAGCAGTAAAACTCACAGTCCCTTTAGAGTGGGTATACTTCTTCTTAAATTGTCCACTGCCACAGCCCAAGAATAAGACATTCTAGGTTAGAACAAATAGGAGAAAGGAAAAAAGTTGGGCTTTTAAAATGTTCTTAAATCTAGCCCTGGCTGGCATAGCTCAGTGGATTGAGCACGGGCTGCGAACCAAAGTGTCGCAGGTTCGATTCCCAGTCAGGGCACATGCCTGGGTTGCAGGCCATGACCCCCAGCAACCGCACATTGATGTTTCTCTCTATCTCCCTCCCTCCCTTCCCTCTATAAAAATAAATAAATAAAATCTTTAAAAAATGTTCTTAAATCTAAGAACATTATAAATGAAGCAGGAATATTGCTGCACTTGCTATTTTCCAAGCCAAGCACCTAAGTCTCCAGGGTCTAGTGAAACCTAACGCAGGCTCTGGAACTGGAAATACTAGCTTTATGTGGCAGTTCTGATGCCAACTAATGCTGTGACCTTGGCCACGTTATCTGAACTCTCCAGATCTCAGCCTCAATTTTTTTTCACCGGTAGATACAACTACCCTTCTCAGGGCCACTTTGAGCGCGGCTGTGACAACACACCCCACACAGTGCCCGACACACAGCAGGCATCTGGCAAGTGTCCCCCACTTCCTTTCTGCCCAAGGGGCTGTCTATGTCGTAGAATCTTTTTTAAAAAAAGTTCTAGCATCTTCAACAGTGAAACCTCTCTCAATAGACACCCCACTGCTGCCCTTGCTTAGTGAAGATGTAGGGTGAGGCACCGACGAGCACAGGAAGCAGCAGCAGCAGCATCAGGTACGATTCAGGAGGTGAACCAACCAAACATCTACGCCACAGAGGATAAAAGCACTCGATCTAAAAACTCCTGCTGGGATTTCACTGAATGCCCAAAGTCTATCACTTTATCCCAGTTGTCCTGCTTTTGTATGTTACGTAATTTTTTGGTAAGTACGAATTATAAAGCAATGGTAGCAGAAGCTCTCAGAAGTTTCAACCTTTAAAATATACAAACAAAATAGTATAAGCCATCAAATGGCTCTCCTAGAGTAAAAGCATGAACTCATAAAACATTTCTACCTTTGTCATCTATTTATTTAGATGACAATGCCTATTTATTTTAATAGACTTTCTCCAATCTCATTTAAAGTTGTTACTCTCTGTCTTAAGTCTTTAGCAATAAAAACTAGATTATATTACTAATTAGTTACATTTTCTTCCTTCTCCCTTCTATCACATAAATACATGTATCCATTATTCATTTCTAAACTGCTTCAAGCTTGAGATACAGCAAAAGATAAAACTTTATATAAAACATGTCTTACTAATATATTTATACTTTATGAAGTTCTTTAAAGAATATATTTTTATTTCTTTGAAGAATAATTTTATTTTTAATAATTTTTTAAAGTTATACATATTACCACTACCCTCCAAAAAATAAAGATAACACTACCTTTATCTTACTCATCTTATTTATCTTCCTAGTGGCTCCCATATTACACACGGCAGTGCAACAGACTTTTATTGAATAAGTTTAAAATTGCATTAATCAAAATAATTACAATTACTCAAAAAAAACGTTCACGTCATCCTGTTGAATCAGGCCTTTTCCTTTTCAGTGCTACTTAAGGTAAGTCATTGGCTAAAACATGGGTATCTTTTCAAATGAAGACAAATTTTTCCCACCATCATTAAACTCCTTGTGAAAGGGCATGACTTACAACACACAGAATTTTAGGAGAGGTGCCCCTCTCCTCCGTAAACCAGGAAATCAACTACACGGCCTTCAGAAGGTCACGTGGCTCTGGGAGCGGGAAGCTGGGTCAGGGACTCACCTCTACGCCCCGCCCCTGACTGACTCACACACACAAAAAGGAGCAGGCAAGTTCTCCAGTGCTGCTGTTGGGCACCTTTACACTGCAGCAGCCATTTCACAACTGGCCACACACGCAAACATTCTGCTGACGATTTAGGCCTGAGTTACAGTCAACTCCCACGAAACAGATTTCATCCCTAATAAAACACGTGCTATATATTTACATATTTTTAACATTTTATTTTATTTTAATTGTTGTTCAAGTGCAGTTTTCTGCCTTTTACCACCTCCCTCTCCCATTTCCACCCCCCTTGTTACTGTCCACGTGTCCTTTATATATTTATATTCTTAATGAAGAACTTTATTAACCTCAATCTTTTACTATTGGTTGCAAATCTTAAACTGTCAATACACTTGCCTTATTATGTCACACTAAGGAGGATGCAATCATCACTTAGGTGTATTGTCAAAAATAAGTTTAGTCTAACTCATCATGCAGAGAAAAATAAAATCACACAAATCTAAAATAAGGCATGAACTTTTCAGCAAACGGGCTTAGGCCACTGAAACAGCATGATCACGAATGACAAAACGGGGGTACAGCTAAGGACCTTCCTTAATTCTAAAGGGCCGTAATGGCCAAGTGCAATGCGTGACCCCTCACTGGGTCCTGGATCAAAACGAGCAAAGAAATCAGCTTTCAAGGACATTAAGTCAACGGTTAAGTTTTAAGATGACTGTCTATGAAGGCTGTGTAACAACTGCAAGGGTACTCCTGCTAAGTACATCACTCCCTTCAACATGCATGCGATCAACGTAAATGCACCTGAACGGCAGGTTAGAAGTCCTGGGAACTACTGCAATGAAGAAACCTGGTTTAGCCTGTGTTCTCACACACTCTTTGGGCACAGAACTTTCTTTTCCCTTAACATGAATGAAGGTGTCAGAAATATTTCATTACAAATGTCACTTCTATTAGTTATACAGTGTTAATTACTCACAAATCTTAGGTTGTAGAAATTCAGCAAATATCTAAAAAACACTACGGCATTCAATCCCAAACTGAGGACCACAGGTGTAAGCGTACCTGGACGACAGACTCTCCCCAATGAAGACTTCGTTCAGTGCTCTCACAGGCAAAAGCTGGGGTCCTGACACCTCGGGCCCTGCAGGTAACAAAGGGAAGAAACCAAGACAGCTCTTAAATTTTAGCAGTGTTATGAGATAAATTTCTGTAAAACATTAAAATACTCGTATTTTTGTTGTGATAGAATCTAAAGTTTAACATCACTAACATATAAGTAGTTCTTAAAGAATTCATAATATAAACCTCAAAGTCATCTAACATAGTTGCCATGAAGCCCTGACTCTCCAAAATAATCCTTAATTCTGCTTGAAACAATTTTTCGAGAGTGATAAAGTATTTATCCATCTCATGAGATTCTTGTTGTCACACTTAACTTGGGTTTACTGTGGAAGCTTCAGAGACAGAAATGGTCAAGCACCTCCAAAGGCGAGCCATTCTGGATTTCAAGCAGCACACTGAAAGCACGGCTGATGTGGGAGACCAAACCAGCTATGTTAAAAATCAGGTCTGCTCTCTTAGGGAGAAAACCTCAAGAGTGGTCAGCAGCAGCAGTAGCTGTGCTGGAGGAACTCTGCCCCATCTCCTCTCATGAGTCCTAAAAGATGTTCCCTTTTCTTTCACTCTATAAGCTGGATGCACAGGTTAACGAATCTTCCTGGGCCATTCTGACCCTGGCTGGTGTGGCTCAGTGGATTGAGCGCCAGCCTGCGAACCAAAGGGTCGCCAGTTCAATTCCCAATCAGGGCACATGCCTGGGTTGCAGGTCAGGTCCCTGGCAGGGGCGGGGTACTTGAGAGGCAACCACACATTGATGTCTTTCCCTCTCTTTCTCCTTCCCTTCTCCTAAAAATAAATAAATAAATCTTAAAAAAAAAAAAAGACATCACTTGGTGTCACAAAATCCTCCAAAGGATTCTCACTGCTTTCTCGATCAAACTTGTGCCTGTCACAGCAAATGGTTTCTTTTGCTTTTTATCTTTAATCTCCAACTAGAAATGCCAACCCCATTTTCTGAATGTCACCAACAGCAGACTCACTGCACCTAAGAAGCTCCCACTGGGCAACTACCATGGCACAAGCTCCCTTTTCTGTCTCCTCACACCTCCGAAGCCAAAGCTTCGACGCCCGCCCAGTTGTGGCGGCCAGCCTCCGAGATGGTGCCCAGGGACTCCACCTCCCGGTCTCACATTCTTGCGTGACTCTCCCCCTCACATCATGCTGGGGCTGGTCTGTGTGACTAATGCATGGCAGAAATGGCGTGTCGCTTCAGAGTATCAGTTAGAGAAGACACCCTGGCTTCTACCTGAGTGGCTCACTCTCGCAGATCACCTGGTCTGGGGAGGATGTTCTGTAAGCCGTCCAGTGGAGAGAGGCCAGGATGTCGAGGGACAGAAGCTTCCTGCTGACAGCCACGTAATGATCTGGGACACAGATCTTAAGTCTCAGTCATCCTCCTGATACCGCTGTCCCAGCTCACAGCTTGCCTGTCACCTCCTAAGGGGCCCTAAACTATTACTAACAAGCTAAATTTTAGGGTAACAGATGTCTAATACACATCAGACACTTAACACGATACACGAGTAAAACTTGTCAGCACTGCACCAATATCACCACTGCTCTTGTCTGACCTGCTGGCCTGATTATTATATTCTTCTGTTTATATGTCTACTGAACACGAATTACATGTATCTTATTTCCTTTGACTTACAATTGCCTAAGGGGGACCCAATATCCCCTATTCTTCAAATATAACAATTTGTTATTACAATGTCAAGTTCCCTTTGAAAACTTGTTATGTGAATGAACTATACAAGTATAATGGGTTAATATTACCAGCTCAATCGTATAATATAGTAGAAAGAACTTGACACAAAAAGGTATATAAAGTTTGATGTGTTTAATCCAATTTGATTGCCCTTAAGACTGTAAAACCTGCCCTGGCTGGTGTGGCTCAATGCACTGAGCACCGGCCTGCGAACCAAAGCGTCGCCGGTTCGATTCCAGTCAGGGCACATGCCTGGGTTGCGGGTCAGGTCCCCAGATGCGGGTGTGCGAAAAGCAACTGACTGATGTACCTCTGGCACATCAATGTTTCTTTCCCTCTTTCCCTCCCTTCCTCTACGAATAAATTATTTTTTAAAAAAAGACTGTAAAACCTGCTAACTTTTGAAACTTAGTTTGGTACTAGTTATACCTTCTCATACCTGACAGATTTACAATATAAACATAAAAAGCTAAAATTTATTGCTTATTTTTTACGTAAGGTTAATTACTGATTGAATTTGTTTTACAACTCCACACAGATTTTCTACAAATGACCAACTAAAAGTAGATACTCACCAAATATTACTAATAAATCTGAATTTTCACCATCAAATTATAACCATGTTTTTCTTTTATATGATTATGACTTCCCTCTACAACCATGTTTCCTCATCCTAATTTTCCTTTCCATATTGCATTTTTATCTGCACTTGCTGAATTTCACCTGAAATCCTCTGTCAAAGGGGGAAGAGAATAAGTAAAATCACTTCATCTCATTAATCATCTTAATTCTGCTTATATGTTCTTTCGTGCTGAGTACCAATCATTTCCTCACTAAACTATTCATGCATAACTTGCTTCAACGGGGTGTTAAAAAAAATGGACTCAATGACCCTTCACTGCCCCAAGTCCCTCCTCTCTGGTCACCCCCACAGGGTTGTCTATGTCTGCATTTCTGTTCGTTTTTCTTCATTATTCATGGGTTGCTTTCAGTTTTACAACCCACGTATGAGTGAAAGCACACGGTTAACTTTTTCTGTCTCACTTATTTGGGGGTCAAATATCGGTGACAGAAGATCTGATTTTGGGTCGTGGGCATACAACACAATATACAGATTATGTATGCCAACAATGTACTCTTGAAATCTACATAATTTTATTAACCAATGTCACCCCCAATAAATTTATTTAAAAAATACACTCAATACCAATTAACGCTTTTCTATGCAAAATAATAGGTTACAGTATTAATTAAAACTTGTATTTTTAAATGAGCAAATGTAGTGAAAAGGCCTGACTCCTAGACTTCCCTTAAGGTTCTCTCCGCGTCTTCACTGAGCTCCTCCACCCACAAGCTAGAGAAGATCCAGCAGGAGACTCTGAGGCCTTAGACGACGGTGGAAGCCACCGTCGGAAGTTGCCTGAACACCTCTTGGGCAGTGAGACGAGATGAAATAAACTTTCATATGTTAAGCCACTAAAATTCTGGGAATGTTTATCAAATCCATTCACTTATTCAAATCAATACAACCAACCTTGAGTATAAGAAAGTTACTAGTTTAAGTGATTAAAAAAATTGTTTTAAATAATAAACGAACCCCACATCCTATTGATGGTATACAGGTGATAAAAATAAATTCTTCGCTAACTTGCATGCAAATACAATCTAGCTAAGGACAGGTTACACCACATACAAATGAAAATTTTTATTTGTTTAAAGTTACATCATCCCTTTCTTAAACTGAAAAGTAAAAAAAAAAAAAAGTTTTTCTCTGTAGTCTTTTGTTCTAATTTAGAAAGCTAAATAAGGGATCAGCCCTGGCTGGTGTAGCTCAGTGGACTGAACATGGGCCTGCAAACCAAAGGGTCAGTGGTTTGATTCCCGGTCAGGGCACATGCCTGGGTTGTGCACCAGGGCCCCAGCTGGGGGCACATGAGAGGCCACCACACACCGATGCTTCTTTTCCTTTCTCCTCCCCTTCCCCTCTCTATAAATAAATGAAATCCTTTTTTAAAAAGGAATCAAACACAATGATATATTTATAACTTCAAACCTACTCATATATTCAAAAATCCCAATGGCAGCTTAGTAGGCAATGTTTCCTGCCAACCTGAAGAGAATTTAAATAGGAAGTATGAGCTATACCTTGAAATCTTCCTCAATTTTGTCTCAGAAAAATAAAGCTGTCAAAAACCACAGTCAAAACTAGTATCTAGACATTGTAAATATGATTGTTAATATTAAGTACAGCCATTTCTGGTATTAATGTTAAAAATGGGAAGCTCTCCCAATTCCAGGTTCTTCGTGCACTGAAAACCCTGCTGTGACCACAGCCGCCCCCCCGCCCCCCCGCGCCCCAACCCCTCTCACGTCCTCCCTGGGAACGTGCGGGCGCTTCCTTCGTCCTGTCCCCAGCATTCCCGTGTACCCTGGGTCGGACCTCTCACCTCAATTCAAACACTGGGACCCGAGTTTTGAGAAATTCTCTCATATGACTTTTCTTTTAATGTTCAGCATTTGCTCTGTTCTTTTTCTAAAACTATCCTAAATCAAATGTAAACACCACCTGGGTATTTACTCAATTTACATGTCATTCTGTTTCTGTATATACCCTTGATTAACTTAGTTTATAAGCTAAGAACAGTGAGTCCGAGATAAAAGTCTGAGCAATGACTCTCTAAACACCAATCTCCATCTTCCCTGTATGACTGTTGGTAAAAGGAGCCAAATTCCGAACATCTGCTGAATTTCTTTTGGTGCAGGATAAAATAAAATCTCTAAGATTTTTAAATATCTTACTCAGTAGTTACTGCAGTCTTTCAAAATCAGTAACAGGAATTCATATACATGTAATTACTTAAACCATTTCTAAAATCAAATAATTTTTCATCAGGGAGAGAAGGAACATCTTCAAAGCCCGACGTGCACACACGCACAGGCCAGGAACACGTGGACCCGTGAGGCTATAAACCGCCACGGAAAACTCCCACGCAGAGACAGAGCAGACACATACAGGGAGCTTCTCCGGGTAAGTTTAGCCAAGGAATGAAACATCGGAGAAAAAAATGGATCTATAATTATTATGAAATCTCCCACTTATTAATTTTATTTCTACCGCTTTCTTTTTCCCTTTTGCCATTTCAAAGAGTAAGGCCAAGAATCTTTCCTTAAATGTCGCCTATCCCCTTGGACAATTTCTAATCCTTCCCTCATCATCTAGCTTTCAGATCCGTCCTAGCAAACATTCCCCCTAGAAACGTGCTGCGTTTCCTACCTCCGTGTCTAACAGTAAGCTCTACGCCTGCGGTAGGTCCCTGTCCTTTCTGGAGCGCTGTCCATGGCACTAAAATCCCCATGTAAGTTAATTATAAAGGGTTACTTTTAGAAATTGGCCATCAAAAGAACTGTTAAGTTAAATACTGCCCCAAACACGTCTAACTCCCGATCCACCTACTTTCATCATGAACTCTTTCGATATTGAAGGCTCTGCTATGTTGATTCAAACTTAGCTGCTGTTCGTGGAGGTCCACAGGAATGGGGTTTATGCCAGTCCCTTCGAGGTATAACCTGATTCGCTGCCTCCACAGCCACCTTGGAAGAATGAAAAGCAAGTTACTTTAGGATAGAATAAATTAAAAATTAGACATTATAACTTTACCAAATTAAAAATTCACTTAAAAAAACACTAGTTATTCCAGAACAAATTATTCCAGAAACCTAAAAAGCACAGGTTCCTGCTTAGAGACAGATTTAGAAGTTTATTTCTCTGTTCAATTATAACAGAAATATTTAATGTATGTCTACAAAATCTCCCAATAATTTGAATTCCTCAAGTCATATTCTTTATCAAGGGTCCAGTGAATCCAAGATGCTGAGCCAGGTATAATTGTGTTGTGCTCATCAGAAAGTATAAGATATGCCAAAAAAAGGGGGATTCTGAAATTGAAATAATATTGTGTTGAGGTGGTCAGATTAGATAAAAATCCTTCACCTTAAGCTTAAATGACATTTTTGGTAAAAAGTAAAGAAGAAAAGAATCAGGTTTGATTGATTTCAAAACCAAAAACTGATGTATCAAAAAAACCGATGGGACGCAGTCTACCAGACCCACGTACAAAAACATACTCTCACTTGGCAGCTACAGTCACTTGCAGCGGTGCCAAACTTCTGAAATGACCAGAAGCGAGAACCATTATTAATGACGCCAGAAGTCAGAAACATGCACTACAGTTATCCACATACCCAGAGGAAAAGCTTTCTCAAGCTACGAATTCCGGTCCAAGCCAGGGAGTCAAAAGCGGTGCCACTGGGCTCTCGCTAATGCAATCGGCCACCCCACCGCCACTCCTCCCTCACCCCTCTCTTCTGGGGGCAGTCTGACCGCTGAACAGAGTCAGTGCAAGAAATACGGGAAAACCCATCCCAACTGCCTAAGAAATAGTTGACATGTAAGACAGCGATCTACCAAGCTATCTCAGCAGGGCTGGAGTGTAAATCTAACCCTCTGTCATTCTGGACGGGAGAAGATGAGGATGAGAAGTACAACATCTCAGCAAACTGGAACACTCAGTTTTAGCCAATAGTGTTAACTGTCTTTCTACCAAACTGCCAGGAACGTGTAACAAGGTTAAGAAAGTGGAGACAGGACCTCTATCTCACCGAAGGAGAAAAACGTCTACTTGCAACTACTTCCTAGGCCAGCTGGCGTCTGTCAGGGTTTCTCTGCTGTGGTTCCATCGGACTAGGAGAAGGTAAGGTAGGTGTGGTTCTGACCCAGCTGACGTACGGCTTCTCATGACTACTGTTGTAACTATGGGCTAAACCAAATCTCATCCCATTCAGTGTCACTGCATTTTAATGGCACACATTTGTTAACAATAGTAAGAAATTCCTACCTGAACTCACCGCGATAGAACTTCTGTAAGGCTTCTGGGAAGGAATGTGTGTATCGAACAGGAAGACATAAATGACCCTCAGACCTTTAAGGGGGATTTGGGGTGGTATAAAGGGAAGAAGAAAAAACAATTCAAAAATCACATGAAATTTCTTAAAACTTCTACTCTATACTCAACTTTTTGCCACAAAATTGTATTTTCAACAAGGACAAAAAAAAAGCAAATAGACAGTTTAAGTCCAGCTTTACTGCCATAATACACAATACTACTTAATTTCCACATCACAGTGAAACTGAAAAGACAATCATTTTGCCACCGACTGCCCTGCAAAATCACCTGATAGCACAGTGCTGTTTGCATCTTACCTTTAAATTATTTAACTATTAACTGTGGGCACGCCACTTTAACATCAGCTCCTTCATCTCCATGCAGTAACATAGGCCACCAATCTCAAAAGGTTATTCTGAGGAATCAAGCTAATTTTTATGTGAAAGTGTTTTGAACTATAAACCTCTTTTAAGTGTCATTTAAAATATTCCAAGTCATTAAAAGAAAACTCAGAAAGCTTAATCCAATGTAATGCTTCATTTACTCAAAATGTTATCAGGATAAACTCCTTCGAGGAGTTAACAGCGTGACGTAGACAGAACACAGAGTTGCTGTTGTTTTTTTCATTGCAAATTACAAAGTGCTAAGATTGCCTATAGGCTGCTACAGGAAGAGGAGAGAATGTGGCACCTAACATGAGGAAAGGTGTCCAGGAAGCTCAAGGAGCATCAATCTTGAAGGAAAGGTTGAGAACACCCTTCGAGACCACACCCTTGGTAATGCCTGTAAGTTAACTTGTGAGTGTGAAGAGCAGGAAAACAGGTCTTCGCAAAGCTGTGATTAGCCAGTGTCTTTACCCGAGAGTTGGGTCAACGCTGAGGTCTAAGACTTTCTGTTCTCTGCAGTGCCTCACATAGTGCTAAGTAAATAAAAGGTGTCAACAGTCACTTGACAGAACAAGCCCTGCGGCCAGCTGCAGGTCTAAAGCCCCCTGGGGAGCAGAAGCTCGCCTGCGCCTGCCGTGAGTCGGACAGCAGCTAGAGCTATCAGCCCCTGAAAGCCTGCCCCGGCCTGGAGGGTGCACAAACTGGTGCTAGCTGTTGGCAAGAGGCCTCGATTCCTCTCCAGTGAGCCTCTCCATGGGGCTGCTTAGATATCTCACACCACGGTGGCTGACTTACCCCATAATGAGTAATCCAAGAAACTGCAATATGAAGCTGCAATATCGTTTTAATACCTAGACTTGGAATCCATACACTGATCCCACACACCACGGTGGCTGACTTGCCCCACAATGAGCAATCTAAGAAACTGCAATATGAAGCTGCAACATCATTTAACACCTAGCCTTGGAATCCACACGCTGACACACCGTATTCTATTGGTCACGCAGGCCAGCCCTGATTGAACATTGAAGGGGAACCACACAAATAGGTGTAAATACTAGGAAGCTTCTACCTTGCAGGCTGGCTACCACATGCACGCTCTCTCTCATTCTGATTATTAAGCATTCAAATGTCACATTTACCAGGCTTAGTAAAGTGAGTGCAGAATGCAGAAGAGACCAGCAGAAATTATATATTTAATTTAGATGAATGCGCGTAAGGATCTAGTAAGAAATAGATCCTCTAGCCCAAGTCAAGCCTTCCATGCCTGAAGCCCAAGATGGCATCCGACTATAAACTCATGAGAAACGCCACACCAACGCCACCCAGCCCAGCTGCTCCTGAATTCCTCACACACAGAAACTGTGAGAGATAATCGGTGATTATTAGTGTTTTAAGCCTCTGAGTTTTGGTGTGATATGTTATGCAGCATTTGATACTTAATACACAGGAGAAGAAATTTAAGTTGAGCATTAACTTCGGGGCTTATGTAAGGATTGTGAAAGACCACAGTGCTTAAGAAAAGAAATCAGGCAAGCTGAGTTACTCAACAAGTTAGCAGGCTTCACCCACTTCTACCTGAAGGCAAGAAGAGAAACCAAAGGACCTGTGAAAGCTATTATTCCTGGTGAAAGTCAGAGAGGCAACACAGTCAACTCAGCATTCCAAAATCCCCACGGCTTATATGAGTATTAAGTCATCTTTTTAAAGGAAAATATACTGTAAAAAACAATATGAAATTTGAATATAGAAATATCTGGAATCTCTTAATGATATAAAAATATGCCATTAAGAAGTTCTAAAATACATATACATCAACAATGAGGGCAATCAAAAAATAATAACTGAACCAATGATGTCAATTACTTACGCTTAGGGAATCTTAACTCAGCTAGGTGGGGGTCCTCACCCTGCTCCCTAAGATCATTTAATGAATCATTCATTTCAAATTCTGGTTTCCTACTGACTATACAGAACACTGTAACAGTGATAGAGAAATTAAAACACAAAGTCCTATACTCGGGGAATTTTGTCAGGTGGAAGGAAGAAAGAAATCAAGCAGGGTATACAACATGAGGGGTAAGTGCTCTGTGTGCAGGGGGACTTACAGTCAGGGCCCGGGGCAGGCGCCAGTCTGGAATGAGTGAGAACCACTGAAATGAGGAGGTGGTATTAGGGCACTCCGGGCAAAAGCACATACAAAGGCATGAAAAGAACATGGCCAGTGGAGGACTCACTCTTTCCAGTCCCGCTATCTTCAGAACCAGCAAAGCTCCTCACCAGCAAACCCCTCCACACGTGAGCCTCCATGCACGGCATCAGCCTATGTTCACACACTACATTTGCACTTAAGAGCAGCCGTTAGGGCGGAGGGTGGGGGAGTTAGACGAAGGTGGTCCAAAGTGCAAACCTCCAGTGCTAAGTACTGGGGACATAATGTACGACATGATGACTACAGTTCACTCTGCTGGATGGTATATTTGAAAACTACCAGGAGAGTAAATCCTAAGAGTTCTAACAAAGGGAAAAAAACTTTTTTTACTTTTTTTTCTGTATCTAAAGGATGATAGATGCTAACTAAACTTATTGTGGTAACCATTTCAAAACATATGTAAGTTAAACCATTATGCTGTATACCTTAAAATATACAGTGATGTATGTCGATCATAGCTCAATAAAACTGGGAAAAATACAATTCAAAAAAGAAGAACAGCCTTTAGAAAGGACTGCAGGCTGTTCCCTGAGGGGCGTCAGTGCTATTTTTTAAGTGAAGAAGGTATGGTATGAGGAAATGAGGCTGGCTGCAACTACAAAAGCACACAGGCAAAAGCGGATGGTGAAAGATCATGTGTACTACACGCTAAGAAATCTACAATGTACCCAGAAGGTCATGGATTTCAGTTACAAGATTTTACTTGAGCCCTGCCTGGTGTGGCTCAGTAGACTGAGCACTAGCATGTGAACCAAAGGGTCACTGGTTCAATTCCCAGTCAAGGCACATGCCTGGGTTGCGGGCCAGGTCCGCAAGGGGCACATGAGAGGCAACCACACATTGATGTTTCCCCCTCTTTCTCCCTCCTTTCTCCTCTCTCTAAAAATAAAATCTTTAAAAAAAAAAAAAAAGATTTTACTGGAGGAGTAGACACAATCAGACCTATACTTTGGAAAGAACAGGAAGGCACCGTGTAAAGGATGGGTTGAAAAGGGTGAGAGTGGAAGCTATTTTAATAAAAACCAACTACAAACGCCTGAGTTATGATTAGGAGCAGTGAGAGCAGCGAGGATGGCAAGAGACGGATTCGAAGGTAGGGTCCCTAGAACTTAGACTTAGCTCCTTAACCAATCTGATGAGAGAGGTGAGGGTTGGGTAACCACAGCTTGAGCACAGGCTATGACTCCGTTCATCAAGTGTGGAGGGGAGGGGAAAGGAGATAGGCTCCTCTGTAGATACATTACATTAGTAATGCCACTGGATATATTTAAGTAGGGGACAACATAGCTAAAACAGCAGAAGGAAATGGGAAAAAAAGGAGATAAGGACACAGAATAGTCAAGGACCAGGTATAGTCTTATATGTCACAGTTAAGGTGAACAACTGTCACACTTTGCCTGGGACTGACAATTTTCCCGGGACCTAGGAGTTTTAGTGCAAAACTAGGAAAGTCCCTGACAAAACAAGATGAGATGGTCATCCCAGCCATAATAAAGAACTAGATTTTTTTTCTGAGAACCACCATAAGAGGCCAAGCAGAGAAGTCACACAACAGTATCAAACTTTCACCAAATGATCACTTCGGCTGCAGAGGGGAGGAGAGACTATAAATAAGAGTAAGAAAGGAAGCGGAATCAGTGTTGGATATCAAGATTTTGGAGTCGCCGGGATCTAAGTTAAAACCATACACATTAATCAGTTATTCTAAAGACAGTATAAAGAAGAGGAAAAACCCAGAGGATAATATGTGAAAACACCAGCAGGTAAGCAGTGGCCAAAGAACAAGATCCTTTGAAAGAGACAGTGACAACGAAGTGGCCATAAAGGTAGGAAGAAAGGGGCATCCTAAATGCCAAAGAGGCGCAGATGCAACAGGGGACCAGTCAGCACCGGAAAGTCCCCAGAACGCAAGCAGGACCAGACCTAAAATGTCCAGCGGGCTCAGTAACCAGAGCAGCACCAGTGTGCGAGGCAAAGGCAGCATCAACGAGCTGGCTGGGGGCAGGTCCAGGGAAGACTGCAGAGGCTGAGAAAATAACTGTCAAGTAAGGAAGAGGAGATACCAAGCCCCCGGGGGGAAAGCAAGGGAAAAGAAAATAACCAAGACAGTGACACCAGATAAAGGACTTACTAAATTTTCATGCAAGATGGAAGTCTATAAGTTTTTAGCCTAAAAGGAAATCAGGTGTGAAGGGAGAGAAGAGGAAAGGAAATGACAGAATAAGGTTGATTTTTAAGTGTGAGAAAAAGCTGCAGTTCTAATCCAGTGACTTCCGTTTCCTTTACGGGAGAAGCGTGTGTTGAAGGAAGAAGGGTAAGAAAAGCCAGGAGGATACAGAAGCTGAAGAGTGACCCCTGAGGGAGCTGTCACAGAGAAAGGGAAAGGGAAAGAGATGACATGGGCCAAGTAGGAAGCTTTCTGAGCGCGTCTGAGAGCGCAGTCCTAAGTGCTGGAAACTCTAAACGGAAAGTAACTTTGAGCCACCGAACTGGGCCACCAAGCACCAGTGCCTATGACTTTTTTCCCACCTGGTATCCACAGTGCTGATGTAGGAATGGAAAGGATGATTAACTGATCTAGGATTAAGCAGAAAGATAACAGTACACAATATTTAAGAAATCTATCAAGAAAGTAGGGAAGAATTAAGTGAAGAAAAGAGAGGGAATCAACTTGGTAAAAATCAAAGGGTAGATTTAGCAGGATTGGGGGAATAAGGCTGCTGTTACAGTAGGAGGCTGTGGTTAGAGTGGAATTAAGATCGGAGAGATGGGGAAATCCTAGATGACCACCAAGCCCAGGTATGGTCATGGCTGTGGGCAGCTGCAACAGAATGAAAGTCAATGTCAGTGAGGCTGAGGAAAGAAGGAAAAACGATGATAAAATGTGGCCTATTCATTAAGTCAGTGAAGTCACCGGATATCAGTGGAGGCATAACCAGGAATGTAGATGAGAGTCGTAAGAAGGAACAGAAGACGGAATACTATTAATTCATCCCTCTTCAGCAATACCGAAGGTTGCTAACGCTCACCTGGGGCAAGGGTCAGGTCGATTCTGTCTCAGGTACTACTCCCAAACTACCTGGGAAGTCAGATGTGAGGACTCGTCTGTCCCGTATCAAAATTTCCTACCGCCAATGCCAGTTAAATATACATTTCTCATGCCTGAGCTAAAAACAAGAGCTGTGTTCCTGAAAACAACTACACAGAAGAAACTTCTGTTAGAGGTAGAGATCTATTCTATATGCCTGAATTCCGTCACTAACTGCTTTCGGAACATGGTTCTCGTGTTCACAACAGCCAGGAGCAACGATGCTTCCAGTTAAACATTATGCGCCACAGTCAACTCCTTGGAGCAACAGAACCCAGCAACAACTACCGTGCAGACAATTAAGAATGTTCAGATTTATCATAAACAGATACTATGCAAAGCAAATCATAAATGTCTATATGTATTACACTAAAAAAAGCCAAACAAACGAACAAAAACAAAACAAAACATGTTTTTCCTTACCGTTCTGGGTCAGTGTTTACTCCAATAACTGGTTTAAGTCTGTCCAACACTTTGCTTGCCGCCAGGAGCATTGTGCCATCACCTGAAGGACAGACAACACAGCCAGGCTTATTACAAAACCGCATCCTTTGAACACTGGTACTTTTGCTTGAACAAAAAAAAAAAGAAATGGCCCAAATGAAAGGACAGATCAAAGCTCCAGAAAAAATACAACTAAGCAACGAAGAGACAGCCAACCTATCAGATGCACAGTTTAAAACACTGGCCATCAGGATGCTCACAGAATTGGCTGAATTTGGTCACAAATTAGATGAAAAAATGACGGCTGTGCTAAGTGAAATAAAGGAAAATGTACCAAGAACCAATAGTGATGGGAAAGAAACAGGGACTCACATCAACGGTGTGGACCAGAAGGAAGAAAGAAACATTCAACCAGAACAGAATGAAGAAACAAGAATTCAAAAACATGACGGGAGGCTTAGGATCCTCCAGGACATCTTTAAATGTTCCAACATCCAAATCATAGGGGTGCCAGAAGGAGAAGAGGAAGAGCAAGAAATTGAAAACGTATTTGAACAAATAATGAAGGAGAACTTTCCCATTCTGGCAAAGGAAACAGACTTCTAGGAAGTCCAGGAAGCTCAGAGAGTCCCAAAGAAGTTAGACCCAAGGAGGAACACACCAAGGCACATCATAATTACATTACCCAAGATGAAAGATAAGGAGAGAATCTTAGAAGCATCAAGAGAAAAGGAGACAGTTACCTACAAAGGAATGCTCATAGGACCTGTCAGCTGATTTCTCAAAAGAGACCTTGCAGGTAAGAAGAGGCTGGAAAGAAGTGTTCAAAGTCATGAAAGGCATCCAAGATTGCTCTATCCAGCAAAGCTTTCATTTGGAATGGAAGGGCAAATAAAGTGCTTCTCAGATAAGGTCAAGTTAAAGGAGTTCATCATCACCAAGCCCTTATTATAAGAAATCTTAAAGGGACTTATCTAAGAAAAAGAAGATAAAAAACATGTACAGTAAAATGACAGCAAACTCACAGTTATTAACAACCAAACCTAGAACAAAAACAAACTAAGCAAACAACCAGAACAGGAACAGAATCACAGAAATGGAAATCACATGGAGGGTTCTCAGTGGGGAAGTGGGTGGGGCGACAGAGAATAAGAAACCAATGAATGGTAGGTAGGAGACAGACACGGGGGCATTAAGAATAGTACAGGAAATGTAGAAGCCAAGGAACTTATATATATGACCCATGGACATGAACCAAAGGGGGGGAATGTGGGTGGGAGGGAGTACACAGGGCAGAGGGGAATAAAAGGGGGGAAATGGGACAACTGTAATAGCATAAGCAATAAAATATATTTTTTAAAAAACCTAACCCTCTGAATCATACTTGAAGTTAAATGCACAGCTTGAATAGACACACAGAAACATACACTTGGAACCTCACCGTAACATCATTCACTTAAAAAGGGAAATGTTACATAAAACAGATCTTTTTAAACTTGATTCTGGAAATCCAAAACTCTGCCTTATGGGAGGAGGACTCTGCAGGCTGCGCCACAGCTGGGCCGCAGGGCACCCGCAGTGTGGGCATCAAGGAGCACTTCTGTACGCACTTCTTTATCTCAGTGCAACTATTACCTCCTGCGGCTATGACAGCATCTGCCCATCGAACCGTTTCTTCATCATATTCTCTCCTCTTCACTAGACGGACCTCAATCCCCTCGTTCCTGAGGCAAAACACAAAGTATAGGTTGTAGAGAAGTTCCACTAGCAACATAAAGGAGTGTGTTTTCTGAGAGGCAGATCATTACAATGGAAATATAAAATGAACACTTTTGTTTCATAAACAAATGTATGTTTAGCTTTGTAAAGTAAGCTTCATTTTATTTTAATTGCAGCAGCCAGTTAACTATCAGTCAGGAGGCATATGAACAAAGTCAAAGTTAATGCTTTCTTTACTTTCTCTATTTTCTCTACTGATGTTAAAATTCATTAATACAAAAATGGCCCAGAAGACTAACACCTTGAGACATATTTTTTAATTACAAAACTATATAGCTATTCATTTAAATCCAATAAATATTCATTAAGTGCCAGATGCTGAAATAGTGACTAAAGTAATTTCTAATTTGCATGTTCTCACACTGATTCTCCTATGTACACATAAACATATTCACTAACTACACTGGGCCCCAAATTAACCGAAGTTTCTATAATGATAATTTTTAGACAAATGTTATAAAAAAACACCCACATAATTCAGCATTGTCTAAGAAATAAAACTTTACACAGTTGAATTTACACAATAAAACAGCCGAAGCCTGCTCTGTACAGAAATAGCCCTTTGTAGACCAACCACTTCTCAGACAGGGCAAGCAACTGAAAATCTGTGAAACTTTCAGAGTACGATAAAAATTTCCTTAGAAACACTACATCAGGTCCATTAACCACAATATCATTTTATGAAAGTGATTTTATAATGACAATCTTTACTGAAAACCTAACGACTGCCCTGGCCAGTATGGCTCAGTGAGGTGGCCATCGTCCCAAAGTTAAAGGTCACGGGTTCAGTTCGAGTCCCAGTCAGAGCACACACCTGGGTTGCAGGTCCAGTGCTTCCGCTCCTGCCACCTCCCCACCCCACACCGGCCCCTGGTTTGGGGGGGATGTTAGTTTAGAGGGGGTGTTGAGGCACACACGGAAGGCAATCAATCAATGTCTCTCTGACATTGATGTTTCTCTCCCTCTCTTTCTCCCTCCCTCCCCCTCTCTAAAAAATAAAACATTTAAAAAAAAACTGAAAAAAAAAGTAAGGATTAGCTTCTAGTTAGGGAAAAACTGGAATTCCTGACTACAAAAACCCACCCAAAATCCAATCCCACAGACTTACCGTAAACTATCTAGAATATGCTCAACATTTTTGGTGTGAATATGATGTCGTTCAAGCAGTCCACTGTAGCTAGAGCCTTTCAATGCAAGCTACATCAAAATAAAAAAAAAGTTTTGTCTTATTAGATGATATATAGTACATATAACATATTTCCTTAAAAAGTCCTACATAAAACAGAATGAGGTTTTATCTGAAAGCACATTTTAATGACTACTTGTGAAACTTAAGTTTAAAGTGCACTAGAAAGTCTGATTTCAGAAAAATCACAATACCAAATACATTGTTTCCTGAATCATGTAGTCAACAGGCTCTCATAATCTGCATGTTTTAAAACTGGAGTGTTTTCTCTTTTAAGTGGATTTTTAACAGATCGCATTTGGCCACTCGAAGATCAAAGGTAAACCAGTATCTTAGAAGGCAGGTGACTTTTGTTCCAGTTGGATGTGCAGCCCTCTCGTGTTCAGATTCATGGACTCTGTTGGTGTTTACCCTGCTCAAGCCAAACAAAGGGCGGGTCAGCTCCCTGAGTGGGTAACTTTTAGATAGGAAGACATGCTACCTTTCAAGAATTCTCTCTCCCAGTCTATTGGAATGACATTTTATAATGTCACACTCTTACCTTCAATACTCTCCTTCTAAAGTATACCTTCTAAATAATGCATAAAGTAAAATGCTAGGAGAGAAATTCAGGAATATCCTCAATGAAGGTCCATTCAAATCATCCAACAGGAAACTGATCCACTGGAGTAAGTGCTAGAATTAAAAGCATGCTATCTTTTTCCGTCTCCCAAGTCCCTTGTTCCTTGCCTCTTTAGGATGCAGGCTCCGTGTTCAGTGCCTGTCTAAAATGCCATCTTAAATATCTTTTGTTTTCAATCATCACTCACGATTATAAAGTAAAGTCAATTTTAGATAGAATTTTTAGTAATGTGTATTTTACTTTTTAAAATGGCTATAAAATAACACAACATGAAAGATGCATATAGAAAGAAAATTTTAATTAGGTAGAACCTTGTTACCCCAAGATAATCTGTATTAATTATATTTGACACATACCTTCCCAATCTTTTTTGTTTGTAAGTACTGAGTTAAGGGTTTCCAAAGAGGAGCACAGGACCCATTTGGCTATGTGAAAATTAATACACAGATGATAAGGCACAAAGATACACACTGGATCGGACAGCCTGTGCAACAGCTTAACGCCTAGACCTAAGTCTCATATTCAGGGCAAACCAATAACAAATTTTTTTTTTAAAGAAAAGCAGTGACCATGGTAATAATTAGATGAACTTTCATTTGCTCATTTAATCAAGAAATCAACATGAACCAGGTTTGGAAAACCACTCTAAGAGTAGAATTGCTGAATATGAATGCACATAGCATTAACTTCAGATTATCATCACTCAACTACAGGCAAACTAAAACTACACTACCTCCCTCTCAATGAATACGGATCACGATGCTGCTTCTTCTGTACTCTCTCCCTGGGGACTCTCTAGTTGAAGGCTTTCTTTAATACAGATCTGTATGCAGGTGCTGACGACTCTCAATGGCTGTCTCTAACTTACTGGCCTAACTTTAGCACTCCGAATGAATGCACCCAACAATGTACTAACATCTTCCTCTGGATAGCTAACAGGCATCTCATCCTACCACGGACAATTCATGATTTTGTAGCAGAATAGTTACGATGCTGTAATGTCACAATAATTGTCTCTCATAAGCCCATCTCGAGAGTGAACATTTATACAGCTAGAAATTGAGCTCTAAAAATTAAATTTATTCATTCAAATATCTGAGTGCCCACTACTGGGTTCACTTGAACATTAGTTGAGCTCAATCAAATGTATCAAATGGAGTACTAAAAACTGCTAAGGACAATGAGGGCTAATTCAAATGTACAGTAAGTCAGATTTACCGTCTCTAATCCGCTATAAATAAAATTTAAGGGTAGCTGCCCTCAGACTTCAATTCCCGGTCCAGATTTTTATCTTATGTTCCAATCTTTGGTTTGGACCAGATAGAACATGTACCCGGGAATAAAGGATACAAATGCTACTCTGGTGGTTCAGAAGCTTTGGTGCTTACTTCCAGGCTCTCAGAAAAATCTGGAAAATTAAGGTTATTCAGCAGCTGAGTGTTAGAAAACTTAGGTTTTCGACTGGGAAGGGAGACTGAATTTGTGGGGAAAATAATTTTGGAGAACAAACAAAAAAACTTCAAGTGTTTCCATGATTTTAGTAAGTTTTCCAAGCAATGCTAAAATCCCAAATCTAAATACAAAGTTCATTTAGCATCAGAGTATCTAATATTGGAGCAGAAATCTCATTTCTTAAGTTCTTGTTCCCACTCAAACTTCTTGTAAACTAACTCTCTCATAACTTACGTGTCAATTAGAGAATACAAGTTATTATGTTATTTTCTTTAAAGCTCTAACTGGTTTAAGTAGTACACTTCATTCACATGGACTGGCTCAACTAGGCGGGTAAGAAATAAGGCATTTTTAAAAATTACTTAAGCATCAATTAGAAAGTCTTAAAAGTATTCAACTTGCTGTCATATTTTTTTAAATGTTTCAAAGTCTGGTAAGAAACTTCTAACTACTGAAAAAAAAAGACATCTAAAAAGTCTTCTAAAAAAGACTTCTAAAAATGAAAGACTTAAGTCAAAGACTTAAAAACATTCTTTAATCAGACAACAAAAGAATTGAATTCTTTGCAAAATGTGTTATAATTAAGAGGGTTAGACAAATTATTGAAATTTAGAACAGTCTCAATTCTGTACTACTACACCTTAGGTATCTGTAACAAAGACTATTTTTTTTTCAAAAACTTATTTTGGTACATATGTGCATTTAAAAGAATATTTTAAAATATGGTTCACCAGGATACCAGAAAAAGCGGTATGAATCTAAAAGATCTACAGACACATTTTGGATTAAGCAATAGTGTCTTCTACAAAACTTCCAAAAGCCAACATCATCTCTCCCCACACAGTTCTGATGTAAAAGCGCAGCAACATGAGGAGATAAAAGGAAGATTCAAAATGGAAAGAAATTTACCCCACCTTAAGGTCAGATGTGATAGTTACGCTATTTTCTAAGTGACCCAAACACTTACTTTAATTATACTTCACCAAAACTGAATTTCTTACAAATACAAACTTAAAAACTTGTTTTACCTCAACTGAGCATTACTACTTCATACACCATGTAATTTCGACAAAAGCTCAGCAAGGGAAGGAAACACATGAGAAATGCACAAGCTTTTGAGACAATGAGTTTAACATATAAACTCACTGGTCATAATTTAAGTACTCTTAACAGCTGATGCACTTAACTAAATGGTAGACTGTTACTCAAAATTGCCTTAAAAGGGTCAGTGACCTCTAACTAGCAGCTAGAAAGTAAACTACACTCACCTGGCCTAGTGCAATGACCCTGAAGTGTTTCTTCAGATACACTTGGTATTCATCTTGGATCACTGCTATTCCACTTACACTCTCTCCCAGGCTCTCACTTTTATTTTCCCCACTGTTACCGTCCCACCTCCACATTCATCTTCTGAGCTCTATTTCCCCATTCCCTGATATGTTGGTAATGTCCCAGTTTCCATCTTTGGCTTTCCTTTTTCAAAAATTCTTTTATTGCCCTGGATGGCGTAGCTCAGTGGATTGAGCGCGGGCTGCGAACCAAAGTGTCGCAGGTTCGATTCCCAGTCAGGGTACATTCCTGGGTTGCAGGCCATGACCCCCAGCAACTGCACACTGATGTTTCTCTCTCTCTCTCTTTCTCCCTCCATTCCCTCTCTGAAAATAAATAAAATCTAAAAAAAAATTCTTTTATTGTTGTTCGATTACAGGTATCCCCATTTTCCCCCATTACTCTCCTCTCCCTACCCACCCCCCACAGTTAAGCCCCCTCCCCCACCATTGTCTTTGTCCATGGGTCCTTTATGCCTGTTCCTTGACTTTCTTACCTGCTCCCGCTCCACTTTCCTTACCTCCCCACTCCAGAGACTTGATCTACCAAGCATACACCAGTAACTATGAAATCTAGACTTAATTTAAGGCTTTCTCTTGAGCTACAAGCTCAAATTTTAAAATCCGCCCAGAGGTAAATCAAATACGTCTCCCCCAAAACATCTAAATCTAATCACATATCTCTCCTTCAGATTTGTTCTTCTGAGTCCCATGTATCAGTTAGTAATACTTCCCCTGACCTCGTCAACAGAATAAATCCAGGTAGCCCCTTTAATTCTCCCCTTACACTCCAACTCACAGCCAGTCACAGAAGGCCAGTAATTAAAATGTGTTAAAACTGTTTCTCCAATCTGTCCTTTACATTCATGAAGCCACTGCTTGAGTTCCGGACATCAGCTCTTACCTACTTTCATGCAATAGCCTGCTTCTAGAGTTTCTCAACTAGTTCCTTCTTTGAAAGTGTGATTTCCCATTGTTTCAACCTAACCACCACCTTCAGAAGCCTGCTTTCGAACCAGTCCCAGAACACTGTCTCAGAAACACTGACCCTCCTCACTTCCCTCCCGTGGGAAAAGAGGCAGGGGGGAGCAGGGGTTGTATTCCACCACCACAGAGTGGAAAACCACTGCGAGGTGAAACCAGCCCCTTCACGGGACACAGAACACCTTTCCAAGGGCCAGCCTGTCTGCTGAGCCTCAATATACTTCCTCTTGAACAATGACTGCCAAACCGCCCTTACAGTGGTCGCCAGGGCAACCTAATGATCACAGCCAGCATTATCAAAGAGAAAATACACTGCCCTACATGTAACAAGACTAAATTGTCTCACGTTATCTTTTATTTTAAATATGAGTACATGAAATACATCTCCGTCATGCTGTAAAGTTTTTGGCTGTGGATTTCAGTAAAAAAATGTTTGACTTCTTTTCACTGGCATAAAAAATGAACTTTCCCACTATCTTGCTAGTACTGTCCTCTCCCCATCATATATGTATTCTTCCTTATTCTTCAATATTTAATTCAAACATCCTAAAATGAAAAGCTGCCATTTCACTTTCATCACATTGCCAAAAATATAAGTCTACAAAGTGCTGATAACAATGTAGGA